ACTTATTTCCTGCATTTGTGTAATGATGAATGTTGAGATGTTAATATTTCTTAGAAATATTACCCAACTATTTCCTAGTCAAGAGGCCGTGTTTCCGTAGAGGAAAATTTGGGTGTTCTTGTTTCTCTATAAATGGCAGTGGGTACCTGTTAAGTTGTGGGTGAACATATCAGACGACACAGCAATTCTTCAAACAGCTCTTGTTTATTCACAGGCCAGAACAGAACTGAACTGAAGGATTCAGCCAGCCTGCTTATATAGAGCTCCAGAACAGCGTAATTGTAACAACTTTCTGTAACTATCCAATCACTGAACGTCACTTTCGATCCCTTATTTGCATATGTGGACCTGAACTATCTACAGTATCCCCCTGCTGGACCAGGGTGAGAACTTCAGTACATAACAGTACCAAAAATGGGCACCTTGAAAGATCAGCTCCTGCAGCCAATGGTCTTTATTCCTCTGGGAAAAGGCAGAGGTATAATGGGCTCAGGTGGTGGGGGGTCATGTGGCTGCTGCTATTTGTGTGATCATGTCAGGTGCCAGTTCACACAATCAATGCTTCCGCATGACCCCAAAATCCACAAAACCCATTCCTCTGGTGGAATATCCTCAAAACATTGTGGCTGTCTCTGAAAATAATTGACCTCAACCAAGCATAAGCTTGAATAAAATATGTCATATTATTACATCCATGCAACATTTGAATTGTTAATGTGTTCTAAGAATGTTTCCTTTTTGGTTTAGGAAACCTTTTTAAAAGTTTTCATTTGCATTTGCCAGGTGTGGGGAATTTTGACTGAAAGAGCATGACTTGTGCAGTGACTGTAGGGCTGTGAAGATCTGCACAGACTGAAGTCAGTGGACCACACCAGTTGACCTGCAACCTCTGAGGTTTATGGCTCCATGCGAGCTGTTTTAAAAACAGGTTATAACTTGTGGTGTTCCACTGCCTGGATGCCTCAAAGAAAAATATACAAACTTGCCTCTGGTTCTAAGTTAAGAGCCTCCAAGCACAACTTGACTCATAAACAGATTATGAGCCAGCAAGAAGTTGTTTACATAAGCCCCATGATGCTAATTGATATTTTTTAACCTAGTAGGGAAAAGAGCTGCCTTCTCTTCACTTTTTAATAATGTTAAGTCTAGCATTCCTGTGAATTCAGCCATGCCCTATATATGTACTGGTAAATTAAATGCCAATAACCATGTCATCTTCAGAGCATAGTGAGTAGTATAACAGATTTCATTAGAAAAAGCACTGTGGCACTTTAGAGGCTGACTGATTTATTGTCATATTAAGGCATATTTGGTTAAAAAGCACATAAACTACTCTCGGAAAACCAAAGAATTCAAATTTTACCTTCTGAAAATGTCAGATAATACTAAATAATCATAATCACAATCATAATCAACAATAATATAGAATGTTTCAACTTTAAAAAATGAAGGGTGCTAAAAAGTTGTAACATGACTTAGGAATTCAAAAGATATTTCGGTTAAATTAATATAATTTTGTTTTGCTTGGTAAGTAAAATGTGTGTAAAATTGCTTGGAAACCATAAAAAATGATTGCCAAGTACTTGAAATTTTGTTGTTGTTGTTTAGTGTTATTTAGTATTACCTGACATGTTCAGAAGCTAAAATTAAAATTCTTTGGTTTTCTGAGAGTAGTTAATGTGCTTTTTAACCAAACGTAGATTTACCAAGCTAAATGTTGTCCAGTCACAAAAATAATAGCAGTTTTGAATTCCTCACACCCAAAACATATTTTTAAGACTCCTCCCTGAAGAAATTTGCAAAAATTAAATTTCACCTCCTGAAATGATACACCCTGTTTTGCCAATGGTCTTTCATAGCATATTTCTCCATGGATAATGAAAGGTGACCAGCTGAGGCAGTGAACAGAAAAGAACTGACAACTTGGCTATAGAACAAAATGAATGTGCTGCTGTGATTATTGTATACTTATCTCCGGCTATTTTAAAATCTGGACAACAGACATAAATCAGGGGATAGGGTTACCATACCCAATGGAAACGGGGGAACTGGCAAGCCAATTATTCATCCGACTATATCAAGGCAAATTTTGTCTGGGTGAACACTCATACTGACAAGCCCTGAAGGGATTTTGAGGGAAATAAAGAACAACTCTTGCTATGTTTGCTCGTACAGAGAAAAGATACAAGCTTATATCATCAGCTTGTGGAGATAAGCAAAATATGCATAAGGGGCAAATCTATGTAGGTGTCCAGAATTTCTCTAGAAAGAATTTTTACAAGTTTTGGAACAGCTGTGGGTTAGATACATTTTGATATATTACCAATCGATTTAGAATATATGAGAAATAATCATGTATGGTAAAACATATCAAGCTTCATTTTCCCACTGCCTGCCAGTGAAGAAGCACTTTGTAAAAATGAAGTCAAGTAGATATTTGACTAGGTCTGAGCACTTGTTGGGGGCTGCTAAGTAGATTTGAAGGGTTTGGTTTCAGAATTGAACAAGTGTTTTTTTGCAAAGCACTTTAAAAAAGAAAAGAAAACAACATATGTTAAGCTTGGAGAAGGATTTGGAGATGGAAATAACTGAGGAGGATTGGGCAGATATATGGTACAAAAACAAACCCATTTAAGTGCTTCTCTGAGGGAAGTTAATTTATAAGATTTTGAGCAGGTGGTATGTAACATCTGTGCACATTCAATACATATGTAAAAAGAGTAATAGGGTCTGTTGGAAATAATGTGGGAAGGGAGGCTCCTTTAAGCATATATGGTGGTCTTTTAAATAAATTCAAGGATTTTGGCAAAAAAAAAATATAGGAGTGGATTAAAAATATCAAAGGCCATGATATTCCCCTAGGCCCCACATCTTTTTGAATAGGGTTCGAAAGATACTGAATGTTATACTTTTAAAGAACTTTTAATTTTGTTAATAGCACCAAAGTTACATATAGTCCAAACTGGAAAATTACTCAGGCATCTACATTTATACACCTGGTATACAACTATTGGGATATTTCAGTCATTCATTAGGTAATAGATCTTATGCAGACAGTACAAGCTCTTTAGATGGAAAGTGCATTTCTTGATAATTGGAAACCCTTTTCCTGAGGCCTGCAGATATTGACAAATTGCTTAGCCATTAGAACATAGCCTCCATGACGCTACAAAGAATGTAGTAAAAGGTATAAGCAGATAAGAAATCGTTTCATGCCTGGCGGGAGTATCCAGTGGCATAAGGTAATATAAATTTAATTTCATATAAATGTAGTGAAAAGGTCCTGCACTGGTCTTATTACACTAAATTGGTCAAAACAATCCCTTGGTCTCCTACAATGTCTGTATCTTCCATTTGCATCTCACAGCAAACATTACATGGGCAAAATTATGCAAACAGCTGAGAGACTGGATGGGTATGATTCTGGAGCAGCTTTCCTGCCAAGTCTAAGCAACTCAAAGTGAAGAGAAGCAATTTTCTATTATTACCACTTGGTTTTCATTCCTTCTCTATACTGTATTAAATCTCCAAATGAGAGATCATGCACAACACAAATTAGTCTTTTTTTATTAAGTTTTTGTGTTTTATTAATGGCTACTTTTTGTTTTTTGTGCTCACACAGGTAATCAGTCTCACAATATGTAAATAGATTGCTTCTCATACACTATCATGTGTTTGTTCTGTTGTGTCGTTTCCCCCTTGTTACACACTGCTGAACAGTGTGAAGTTTCAGCAATCCCAGCACATACCTTGGGGTTGGTTCTCTTGGAATGAAGATAAATGAGACTGGGAGTATTTTTATGACATAATGTTTATTTACACACATATACAGGCTGAGCACATTAGCTTTCTATGAGAACCACCCCTCCCATGCCCTAGCATTGGATTTTGATGCAGAGCAACTCAGGTCTCTGCGTCCAGTTTCAAGACAGCCTGGCTGACACATTGATCACATCACATCCAGACAGGGGAAGGAAAAAGAAACCCCATCCAGAAAGGTCTCTGTCCATTTGCTTCTGCAGCCACAAATCATTTGCACACTATCAACACTTTACTTATGCAAAGGCCCATTTTCCCAACAAAACAGAGTTTTGACTTGTTTAGCTTGACTTGTTTAAACATCCCTCGTTCTGCAAAACTGAACGTCACAGCTCTATAACAGTATTGGAGAGGATCCCCAAAATCCATTTTGTCTAATCCCAATTTCACTGTCACTTTTGTATACTTGAAAAGAACAATACATGCATTGATGTTTTCCCCACCCAAATATGAATAGCCTGAATCTGAATACTAAAAAAGCATTTAAATGTTATAAAGGGGAAATATTCTTATTGGGACAACGCATGGTGAAATATATCCCTGCTGTTGTCCTTCTATCTTTGAAACACTGGGACTTGTGAGTTAATTTTATGGTTGCTGTTGCTGTAACTTTTATAGTTCCATTTCGGTTTGTAATTATGTTCACCTTTTTTGGCAGGGGGTGCTGAAGAGAATAAAATTATGTATTGAAAAACGAACCACCAGTGATGATTGACTTTTTAAGCAAGCATTTTAGGTGTTGGCTAAGGTGTTCATCCTTACACAGTTATTTAGGCAAAAGAAAGATCAAGCATGCCCTGGCAGATCTTGGAGGACCTGCGGCAAGGGCTTCTGAATGATCCCCAGTCATTTAACAACAGCAACAAGAAAAAAGGCGGCCACCCTCTCAAAACAAAAATAAAACACTGCCTCGAGATTCCCCGCAGTACGGCGTGTGTGCGCGCGGCGCGTGGTTGGCGGAGAGGGTGGTCGGCGAGACGATTGACGTCTCGGGCAGCCAGTCGAGGAAAGGGACCCCCACGTTGCCGCAGATGCGTCCCTTCCCTTCGGGAGGGCGGTGCTTTTAGGAGGAACCCCCCCCCCGCCCGCCGAGGAATGGCGGTGAAGGAGGCGCCTGCCTTTGTTTACGGGAGTCTCCTAGCAACCGCAGGGCTCTGGTCCCTCCGGTCTCCATGGCAACCACGCTGCGCTTGTTCTCCGGTGGCGGCGGCGGCGGCACCTGCGAGGGTCGCGGAGGAAGAATCCGGTCGGGGAACGAGGGGCGGCGAGGGAGCCTCGGGCTTGGTGCCCCTGCCTTGTTTCTGGTCCAGGTCACCCGACTGCTGTCGCTGAGAGGCTTCCGCGGATCCAGCTCAGCCCGGGATAAGGAGAACCGGGACTGTGTGGCCACAGATACTTGTGTGTGTGCATTTATATAGCTGTTCCTCATCTTCCTGAAGGTATCCAAGCGGGGGCCTGCTCAGCACCCCCTTTTCCTCAGCCAATGACGGGGGGGGGTTTGGGTGGGTGGGGGGATGCTTAGGGGGCGCCCGTCTGGCAACTGGGCTCTTGCACCCATCATCATCTCCTGTCCTTTTAGCTAAACCAGAAAACCGTAGCCATGAAATTGCCAGCAACTGCATCGTGCTATGAAGCAACACGTGTAGAGAACGAAATTCTAGGTTACTGCCAGTGATTTTGTTCTTACTAGTCCTCTCTCTTGTCTTGCTCATTATGGTTTTATATATATCGTTACAAAGCTTCTTTTCTGAATGCGGGTCCTTGACTGTCCTAAAGAGATTGGCTGGTATTTAGAGCAGTGGTCGTCTTCAGCCTTTTCAGACCCAGGAGAGAGCTTTTGCCCCAACGCAACATGTGTTTGGGGATCCACTTCTTAATTACACTTGATTTGCTATTTATTCTGGAGGGGTGGTGTGCTTGTTATGAGCCAGCCTTCGGCCAGTTGTGACCCAGCAGTTGGTCCTGACTCACCAGTTGAAGATTAAGTTTTTGGATAATTTGGAGAAGGAACCCCCTACAAATGGTTTTTTTGTGTGGTGGTGACTTACATTTTGCCCACTTTATCAGTTCCCAAGTCCATGGCTGAATTTAATGCTTGATTGTACTTTGCTATAACAAGTTCTGGGTTTTCTTACCTTTTTAAAAAAGCTTTAGAATGGGAAGACCCACGTTCAATTCCCAGCTCAACCTGAAGTTCAGTAACTTGGGTTGCCATATTTCAAAAAGTAAAATTCTTGACACCCGCAAAGTTGCTCCCCCCTCCCCCCCAAATAGGGGAGGTTTTGGAGCTGTTTCCACTGCTTTTTCTATTGCATTGCCATACATCCGGGGTTTTCTCTGACATTTTGCAGATTTGGCAATGTTCCTTCCTGACGCCATTTTTACACCTGAAAGCTGGGACATGTCAACCAGCCTCACTGCTTTTGTGTGGTAATGGCATCCTGTGCATTAGGTGCAAAAGAGAGCAGACCTGTGTGTTTAAAAACTACGGAGAAGAGGAAATTGAGCCAGGTAAAATGTGTACAAGTGCAGCTGAGAAAAGCTGTACGGGCTAAAATTCTCTCGTACAGCTATCAATACCCTTTACAGAGTGTGCTGGGATTCTGCAGGACTAGGGATTACTGCATTTATAAAATCTAGTAGTAAGCAGTTTTGAGAGGATTGCATGACAGGAGATGTGCATGGCTTTGTCCCTCCTGCCTTTAGACTTGCCACCTTACCTTGCATTTTTGCTGCAACAGCAAAATCTATCTTCATTGGACCCTGGTGTCGTTCTATATACAAAATATATTTCTAAGTTTTTGTTTTCTATATTCCTTTCGTGAAGGGAAAGGACCCTGGGATGAGCCTACGCCATGGGAGTAGCATTGACAAGAGCAGCTCAGTGGACTGCCGCTGGTTCTGGAAAAGGAACGCTGGAAATCACACCACTGAATGAATCACTTTTGAATGAAATCATTAAGTTTACGGAAAACTTTAGCAACAAACATCCTCAAGAAGCTGCCTTTGTCTTTAAGGAACCACTTGAATGGCAGACAAAACTAGAGCCTTCAATGTTTGAGTCAGGCTATGAAGTCAGGTAAGACCAAGGTCAATGACCATTTCTGAAATAATGTAAGTATAAAAAGTGAAGCCTGCCCATTAAGATTATTGTTCTTTATCACTCCTTTATAACATATCAACATTTCTTGCTTTCTGTGTATAGATGTTGTAGGAAGTAGGCAGAATGGAAAACATTATGTTGTGATTTGTAACTTCCCATTCCACCCCTTTGGGGCCTCCTCCTATTACTTTGCACTTACATTTTCACACCATCCGGAATTCAATAGATTTCACAAGCCTGTGCATAGATTCATAGTGACGAAAGCTCACCAGTTCTTGTAGTAATAGCAAAGGGGATATTCCAACCCAAGTTAAGCACTTTGTCATTGATTCAATGGAACATAAATCTTATCTTTGACTCTGTTGTACCCAGAGGTATCTGTGTTTACTGATGCTCTGACCAGGCATGCATATTAAAGAGGTCCTGAAGAAGAATGACTGTAGAGGGGTAGAAAGCATTGTCAGAAGCAGGTTTTAATCCCTCTGCCTCTTGAATACTCCTACTACATTCTTTTTAAACAACTTGCATCACTCTTGCAAATTTTGTATTGTGTACAGTACATCCAGGAGATGCAGTGGCATGGCTTGTATGTCACAGTAAACCACAGTTCCTTGGTAGACTTTTATGGCAGAAAGAAGAAGAGGTGCAACCCAGACTGGAATAGCCAAATTATGCAGGGAATGGGTTTCATTCCCATTATTGTACATTCTGTGGAAAAGGCAACTGGAATGTACAAGACCGCTAGGAAAGGGAAAACACACACCTCCTAGGAAACAGGGATGATGGAGAATGGTGCAAGATGCACATTTAACCTTTGCCCTTAAGGTATTCCCTAGCAAATCTCTTCTGTAATCTCTGATATAAGTGACTAGGCATCTTACTTATTTATTGCATTTATAGCCCACCTTTTTCTCCAAGAATTTCAAGGTGGCATACATATAGTTTTCTGCTCATCATCATTTAATCCCCACAACCTTGTGAGATAGGTTAGTTAGGCCAAGAGGCAGTGACTGGCCCCAGGTCACCCAGTGGCCAAGTGGGGATTTGAAACCTGGTCTCACTCCCATGGGAAAAGTGAAGTGTTGTGCATTTGAGACACTGCTGAGATGAGGACAGAGCATGTCCCTGGGAGGCCTCCATATAACCCTCTTCAGATAATATGCCAGACACAGATACATTGTGCTTCCAAGTGTCAGTACATGAGTCCTCTCTTATGTTTCCCCTTCTCCGCAATCATAATGGTGAGTATTTTACTAGCAATTGCTGTATTACAACTGCTAAGTGAATACCTGTAACATCTCAGCGATTTACAAACATATGATTAAAGCTGACGTTGTCTCTGGAAATATTATCATAGACTGGAAGGAGAAGAGCATGTGCTATCACATAGTGATAGCACACATATCAGTGTCCCTTTTCCCTGTTGTTCATATCACAACTTTAGGTCTCTCTTGCAATTTTTTCCAATGCCATGTATGCTTTATTATAAAATTGTTAAAAAAATAAATCCAGTTGTTGTGAATTCTTGCATATTAAGTTGTTGTTTTATTCTACCAGTGAAAAAACAGCTAAGTCTCAAGAATTAGACAAAGATGGGCAGCCACTGCTCCTGCTCAAAGGATCAACTATCAGCGTTCGCAGTTTTGCGCAACTGTCTCGTTTGCTACATGTCGCTGGAGAAAAATCCCTAAAAGAAACTCGTGCATGCCTTGAAGGTATTCAAGACTTATTTGCCCACACAACTGGAAGCTTCTCAGCCATACAGGGATGCAGCTTTTTTGACCCCATCCATGTTTTGCCTTTTTCCTGCCTTAAAAAGAATATAAAGTATGACAAGGACTAACTGTGAGGGGAATCCCATTGTTATCTTTGTGTAAAGTCAGAAACTATGTTAAAATTGAGTAACCTTTAGGCCTATTTAAAACATTACTCTGTGCTATTCATGCAAAGTTATTTTATGTGAACTTAAGCTGTTAACTTCCTGGTGTGATGTTTATCTGAATTTCTTACACTACTATGAATTCTTTACAGCCAATAGAGATCCCATTGTGAAAATTCTTGGCCCCGGTTATGGGACAATTGAAGGAGAGGATATGTCCATGCTTCGTTTACTAGACAAAATGAAAAAAGAAGAGGCTTCTGATAATGAAATGAAAATGAAGATTTCCTTACTTCTCCAGCAACTGGATATGCAACTACTTAATAGCTCTTTAAAACAGATTTCACAGTGAGTGTATTTCAGATAGTATTCGTTATATATATGTATTCCACTTTATCATGCCAAAACCTAAGCCTCTCATGCAGGCTTACTTTATGTAAGATGTTACAGTAAGTGCCACACTTTTAACATGGGGGGAGGGGGGTGCCGGTACTGCGTTCCCTTGCGTACCCTCAGAAAAAAACCACTGGTTTTAGCAAAGAAGGTTTTACACTTAGCTTTATTAATGTGAAACCCAAGTGATTTGAAAGGGATTTTTTCAGGTTTGCAAAAATTAAAGGTATGAAAATATCTTTAATGTTTTCTATAATCTTGCAGTACAAATATGTGCAATATGATCTTAAGATAAGTTCAGGACAGACAAAATGAATTATTTCTAAACAACGGAATCCACTCCCACATGATATAGTAGGGCCTTGGACAGCTTTAGAAAGGGATTTGACAAATTCATGTATGATTAGGCTATCAATGGCTACTAATGCTGGTTATATATTACCTACAGTTTGAGGAACAATATGACTCTGAATGCCAGCAGTAGAGATCCACAGAACTGAGAGAACAGTATATAGTGCCCAAGGCCACTATACAATTTCAAACTTTTCATTAAATCCAGATTTGCCCTTTCCGAGAAAAATGTGATTAAATTTAAGAACACCAACACTGTCGCTAGTGACCTGGTTGCACCATCTGAATGGCCTTGTTTGGTATATCAAGTGTCCATTTGGAAGCCTTGGTTTAAGAAAGACCCAACATTCCTTTCTTCCCCATTAATACTATAAATATCTGCTTGACAATTAGAATATAACTCATTTATTCTAATTACAGAGAAGTGAGGTTAACTCCAGCTGTTGTGAAAAATGAAATAGAACTCCTTAAACGTTTCTCAGGAGCAAAAGAAGATGCAGTCCTTGAATCACTGGAATATACATCAGGTCCAAACTCTACTTTTTATCCATATCTTATTTTTGTAATTGCACAGTCATTGAAAATATAGGCTAGTATATTAGCACCTACGTTATCGGATGGCTTATCAGCATCCATTCAGCAGAAATCTCACTCTGCCTTTGCCCTCATGTCCTTCTTTAAGAGCTCCAAAGTGACTGATGAAATATCTCAGGATTTCACTCTTCATTTATATTAATACTAACAATTTTTACTATTTTAATAAAATGATTTCATGCCTCTATGCTAGTCATATACATCACAACTATGGGCCAAACATTGCTGTTGTTTGATTACAGACTACGAATTTTCAAATGGATGCCGTGCCCCACCTTGGAGACAAGTCCATGGTGAAATTTGCTATTTGGCCATTAAACCAGTTGACACAGATCTTATGTACGTCACTTGCAGCACGGCAGGAGTATTTTTAAATGGAGTAAGTAATACTTATATTCAAGAGTAAACCTTGATGACATTTATAGTTAAGAACATGCCAAAACTTCAGATAAGTTGCATTTGTCTATGAGCAGCCAGTTCTGAACCAAACATGGGAACAGGTCAGTTAACCTAGATCAGTGTTTCTCAACCAGGGGGCATGTGACAAACTTGGGAGAGGTGGAATGTTTCCAAAAAATATGTACAATATAAGTAAAAAAAAAAAGTCACAACATTTCAATAAAATAATTAGGAGAGCCATGTTTGAAGGCAGGGGGCTTGGGATTTTTATGTTAGCTAAAGTGGGGGGCATAGATTTTAAAAAGATTGAGAAACCCTGATTTAGATGCTAGTACTTCTGCTTAGCGGGTGGCGCTGTTGGTTAAACCACAGAGCCTAGGACTTGCTGATCAGAAGGTCGGCGGTTCGAATCCCTGCAACGGGGTGAGCTCCCGTTGCTCGGTCCCTGCTCCTGCCAACTTAGCAGTTTGAAAGCACGTCAAAGTGCAAGCAGATAAATAGGTACCGCTCTGGCAGGAAGGTAAATGGCGTTTTCATGCACTGCTCTAGTTCACCAGAAGCAGCTTAGTCATGCTGGCCACATGACCCGGAAGCTGTACGCCGGCTCCCTCGGCCAATAAAGCGAGATGAGCGCCGCAACCCCAGAGTCGGTCACGACTGGACCTAATGGTCAGGGGTCCCTTTACCTTTACCTTTACTTCTGCTTAACCCTTTACACAGGTTGAAAAGGGACTGTACCAAAGAAAGTGCTCAGTGACTCATTATTTAGCCTTATATTTCCAAACAGTTGAGAATGTGTATGTCAAACTAATGCTCCCCCGTGTTTAAAGTCCACGTCATGCTATCCAACATGAGTAATTTCCACCTTTTTTAAAATTAGGGAGGCTTTCAAATACCAATTTAACTCAGCACACAGATGTTTTAATGCTTATTTCACCTCCTGCATGCTTTACATTTTTGTTGTTCTTAATGTTACGCTTTTTATACCTCAGTTTATAAATTAGAAAACAAATTGCTCTCTGATTACAATAATGATTTATCAAGAAGATACATGTAAACTCTCAGAAATCGTTGTATAAATAAATAAATAAATTAAATAAATGATACTGCTGAGAGAAGCTGTGACAAAAGGAGAGAAAAGAGTGGACTAATGTTGCACTGAGTGTTGTGTTGAGCAACTTGCACTCACCTTCAGCCTCATGAGCAATTTCAAGGCAGAGTGGACTGAACCACACTGAATTATTTCAAGACAAGGACTAGAATCCTGAGCACCTATATTAGGGAGTCCTGTTGAACTCAACAGAGCTTACGTCTCAGATATATATAGGATTTCACTGTAAGTCTATGATTCTGATGACTGAAACATTTTGGTTGTGAGATTATGCAAGACTGGGAAGTAAGTAAACTACTCCTTTTTTTACAGGGAAGGGAAAAAGAGAAGAATGAAATCAATTACGAGAGAATGAGTGACATATACAAAGATCTTGTCACGTTTTTAAGGGAAAGATCAGCAACATTTGTAGAAAACATGGCTAAACAGGTATGCATTTCAGACTTACTCCCCAATAACCTGTCATAACAGTTTGCAGAGATAAACAGCTGAATTGTTTTTATGTTTAGGATGGTATTTATTTATTTTTCCATAAAATTTATGCATTGATTGTAAAACAACAGCAGCAGCAACACCCCGAAGTGGTAGCGGCACATACACAGAAACACAAAGTATTAGAAATGATTGGCTTACAGGGATATGGAAATAAGTTTTACCATACAATCATATATTTCATAGTTGTTCATTGGGGTTTTCTTCAAGGTACATGGGTATAGGATTGAAGTCTTAGGAACTTATCTGTTTCTATATACCTTTTTCCAGAACTGAGCTGGTTTTATTTTGCATTATGAATGAAAACTGAGTTTCCAAAAGCACAGTGTTCAAAATAGTAGAACTGCAAGTTATGCAAACAGTTCTAAAAAGTAATTGTTACCTAAGTGTGTAATACAGTCCCTTGACTTCCAACTAAAGAAGGTGAGAGCAGGAAAAGAGCTCTTTAGATTGAATATACGTAGCCTTAGTCAAAGGCATGGGTAGGCAAACTAAGGCCTGGGGGCTGGATCCGGCCCTATTGCCTTCTAAATCCAGCCTGCAGATGGTCCGGGAATCAGCGTGTTTTTACATGCGTAGAATGTGTGCTTTTATTTAAAATGCATCTCTGGGTTATTTGTGGGGCATAGGAATTTGTTCACACACACCCCCAAAAAAGTTTGGCCCCCCACAAGGTCTGAGGGACAGTGGATCCGGCCCCTTCTGAAAAAGTTTACTGACCCCTGGTCAAAGGCTTATTGTGGCTTATTGGAAAAAATTGCTGGGATCTGATGCACTAAAAAATGTTTTATTATCCTTATTACAATTATTTACATCCCATATTTCAGAAGACAAGTCTTTCTAAAGCAGCCTACAAGTAACATTTAATTCCTTTAAAAATAATAATAAAGCAAAATGAAGAATATCAAGTTAAGAAAAAGACTCTTCTCACAGGGCAGTTTTGGGCAGAAACTTTGCCTGCCTCTCACTGTAAGTCTTCCTAAAGATGTTGCCAGGTCTACAGTTTTTGCCTTCGAGTCTGCACTGCCACTCCCCTCTCCCTGACTTCCACACCTTGGGGGGGGCGTCTCTCACCTTTGGGGGCCACCCCAGCCCAGGAAGCAAGAAGTGGCAAATGAGGTGTCTGGCTCCAAGCATTGGGGGCCTTTGCTGCTCATGGGGTGAGTGGGGAGCTGTTGCTCCAAGAGAGGCCAAGCAGCCTTTCACCAGCCTGGTTCGTGCCACATGGGACACCTAACTCACAGGCACACGCAAGGCTGGCTGGGGAGAGGCTGAACCTGCTCCCCCAGAGCTCCAGATAGAGCGAGACAGGGACAAGTGTCAGCAGGAACACTTGGTGGGAATGTCTCGGTCTCCAGTGATGGTGGCTTCTCTTCCACCAGTTTCCCCTAAATCTACAAAGGCAGTGTGTGCATGTGTAGATCAGATAAACAAGTTGTTGAAGGGGGTCTCTCTTTTGTAAGCCTGGACTTCTGCCAATATACATTGCATTGATTCTGGCCTTTTCACCCAAAGCCTAAGCACATTTCTTTGGAAGCTATATCAACTTATTTCCATGGATTGCCTAGGATTGCAGCAATTGGCAAAAAGCTGCTGCTCTTCCTTTAGAGTCCTACACATGGTTTCTCTTTGAGCAGACATCCAATTCTTAAAGCAGGAAAATATCGTATTTTAATGAAAAAGGTCAACTGTCTTTGACAGTGCATTCAATGATCAAAACCATTCCTCTTTTTAGCTTTGCCCCTTATGATTTGAATAAAAGGAATATTTCTCCTTTTACAAGAATTGTCTTTGGTTTAAACGTCAGACACAGTCGGGGTGTTTCCAGCTCGCACAGCATGTGTTGCCACCGTGCTAAGTAGTTCTAAAATCTAAGTATTCCTGGCTACTCTGGATAAGAAACACATTTTATTCCTTAGAGTAAAATTCACACAGTGGTTATAATTAACAGTGTCACATAGTTCTTATAGCAGACTACTGTCTTCAGGTTTTCAGTGGTTGCGGTTTGGCGGGGGGACACACGACCATTTTAAGGTTTTGTTTTTTTAAATGGCCAGCTTCAACAGGGTGTTATGCTCATGAACACCGGGTTCCTAGCTGTCATTCCCTCCATAGTTCCACCCCCCTAAAAGCTGCTGTTGTGTTTGGGGACATCATTCAGTGCTGCACAAGGCTGCAGTAAACAGAAACATATTAAAGAATTCTGAAACATTGTACTCAGTGGTTTATGGCAGGATATGAAAACCGCAAATTTGCTTTAAATATACAGCCTATTTAAATTGACACTTAGTTCCTGAAAACTGTATTTTTCAATATTTAATCTGAGGAGAAATTTAAGATTTGGACTCTCCGTTTTACCAGAGACAATATTGTTTCCTTATTAAACTGGGAGCTCCCAAATATAATCCAGGGGTATTTTTAAAGTAAAGAAAATGCAGGATACAACCTGTTGCCTAGATAATTCATTCAGAATTGCCTTGGCTTTCCAGTAGCACTTGACAGTTTTTGTAAGATAAGAAATATTCTGCTAAATACTCTGCCAAATCTAGCATACGCTGAATGTTTGGTAAGCAACTGGCAATCCTGTTTGCTTTCATTAGAGCTATATATTTAAAAAAAACTCAAAACTAGAGTCCCATCTTCTCTTTTTTCTGAACAGAGACCCAGGTTCTCGGTATATCCACAGTGCGAACTTAAAAGTAATTCAAAAGTTATGCTTTCTCTTCAGGAAGCTGTAGGTGTTTGAGGAGATGCTGGGGATTCTCATCAGTATTGCAAAATTAGAATTTAGTCTCGGGATTCTTTGCAGACTGTTAACCTGGTATAAATGGAATATATGTGTGTGCTATAGATATATCCAGAAACACTAGCCTTTATACTTTCAGGCACTGGGAGGCTGGTGCTTGGCTTACTGGTGAGAAAAGACAGAGAAGCTAATGCTTCTGCTAGGTCTGCTTTAAATTCCTATCGAACATTTAAAAAAAAAAATTAAGAAGAAGAAGATAGTATTACAGTGGGAAAGAGCTGTTTATTGTTGAAGCCCAACACATTTAAGAGTTATATATGGTGTCGACCAGAAGTACAGAGAGTCACTCCACCATGTGAGGTCTGGAATAATTTTGCTTTACAGCATATGGTAAGAAAACTGCCTCCTGTTTGCACATTTCAGGCAATTTAAGAGGAACAGGAAGAAGAGAGACCTTTTGGAGTCTTAAAAATCTCATCTTCTGTGCTGTAGATTCTCTTAGTCTGAAATTTTCCATGCTCTGGATAATATCTATTACCTTTCTGAGTGTTGGGAGGACTCCGTTTCAAGATTTATTGATCCTGATGTTAAAAACTGCAGCTGTTTGCCCAGTTACATATGCATCAGACTAATCCGAGTTGATCCAGTGAGTGTGATTTGTTCGTGCATTCAGATTGCCTCTCCTACGTTGTGCCTTAAGTGTACAAGAGTACTCTAAGGAACAAACTGGTATACAGTACTGCACTGTGCAGTCTTGGGAGGATGGGGAAAACTAAATTTTGGTGCCTCCTTTGCCCTCTACAAGAAATAGGAACTGTAATAAGGGGGCATGACTGAAAAGTATGACTGCAGAACCTTAGAGTACTGAGGTTCTCTCTCTGCCCCTGCCCCCAGCCGCATCATTCAGTTTTGAAATGCATGAAAACCGAAGGGCTCCCATACTTGGAATAAATCTTGAAAGACATGTATTTGGCCCTGCTTGCAGAGAAACAACCAGGGGCCCACTGGAATGCTTCTGATAGTTCCTTTGCCCCCCCCCCGATATCATTTGTGAGGCAGGTGGGTGTTGCTTAGAGAAAACAGTCTTGTGGGCCAAACTGGGACCCCTAAAGGTAAGGTCCATTAGGTCGAGTCACAGACGACTCTGGGGTTGCGGCACTCATCTCACTCTATAGACCGAGGGAGCCAGCGTTTGTCCGCAGACAGCTTCTGGGTCACGTGGCCAGCATGACTAAGCCGCTTCTGGCGAACCAGAGCAGCACACGGAAATGCCGTTTACCTTCCCGCCAGAGCAGTACCTATTTATCTACTTGTACTTGACGTGCTTTCAAACTGCTAGGTTGGCAGGAGCAGGGACCGAGCAGTGGGAGCTCACCCCGTCATCGGGATTTGAACTGCTGATCTTCTGATCAGCAAGCCCTAGGCTCTATGGTTTAGACCACAGCGCCACCCGCGTCCCATTGGGACCCTTAGGAAAAGGTTAAAATAGGTCTCCATGAGCACAGTATGCCTGTCACTTACAGTATGCCTGTCACTTACAGGTGTAAGGACACCTTTGACTTCAACCCTGCACAAACTTGAAAAAAGAAAGTGCAGGGTTATCATCAGGCTACACCTCCCCTGGCTGACCAAATAAAACTTGCAGAAACCTGAGCAAAAATATAATGTAACCATTCAGTGGTTCTCTTGCTTTATTTCCTAGGGGGAAAGATGACAAGGGATCTGACTGGAAATGAAATTAATTACTGTAATTGAAAACATTAATTGCAAACGAGCAGCTCAAAAATGGCTGGATATTTCCAAAATAATCCTACTTGTTGATAAGGATGTACGAGCATGCCTCAGTCCACGCTGACATTAATTTTCTCATTCATCCGGTATTTTCCATTTTGCTGCAATTGTTTTATTTTGCACAAGTATTTACCGTATTTTTTGCTCTATAAGACTCACTTTTCCCCTCCTAAAAATTAAGGGGAAATGTGTGTGAGTCTTATGGAGCGAATGCAGGCTGCGCAGACATCCCAGAAGCCAGAACAGCAAGAGGGATTGCTGCTTTCACTGCGCAGCGATCACTCTTGCTGTTCTGGCTTCTGGGATTCAGAATATTTTTTTTCTTGTTTTCCTCCTCCAAAAACTAGGTGCATCTTGTGGTCTGGTGCGTCTTATAGAGCGAAAAATACGGTATTCTGTTTTGTCATCCACCAATGCAGAAATATGCGTAGCTTATCTCGGACATCAACAGTTATTTACAAATTAAACACTTTCCCTGTGTGTTCCTTTTCAAAGTTAATGAATTTCCAGAGGCGCAGTAGCCCTGTTAGTATTTTGCAGGAAAACCGACAAAGACTCTTGCGGAAACTTTGAGACAAAGTTAATGAAGTAGCTAACGGTCAATTGCAAAGCCATCTGTGCCTGCGATCCTAAATATGTATACTAAAAAATATGCCCCATTCAATTCAGTTGGGCTTTATCCTGGATACGTGAGATTAGGATTGCAGCCTCACTATCTTGATTTTACAGTACATGATAAACTTATTTCTGTCTCATTTTTGTACACTCTGGTCTCAGGAAAGGATAGTTTGCCACCCTGCTATGCTGCCACTTATGTCCTGGGTTGTATGGTTTCCTATGGGCATATTCAACATTTCACAGGAACTCTTAATCCCTTTTATACAAGTACTTTTTGTAGTGCAACATTTTATTTCTTAAATCTGTTTTTTATACAGCAAATAGCCATGTGTGTACATCTGCTGAAAAAGTGCTTTAAAAGTTTTCAGTAAACAAGTTTTACTGTTGGACAGCTTGATATCCTCAGGCTTTAATTAAAGAGCACAGATAAAGTCAATGGATAACAAAAGATCACTTCTTTCTGTTTGAGAAGAACAATAATGAATAATGAATAATGCGAACAGAAGCAAATTCTCTTGATGGTGTGTTGTCTATGCCTTCTTCTAACATACCGTATTTTTTGCACCATAACACTCACTTTTTTCCTCCTAGAAAGTAAGGGGAAACATCTGTGCGTGTTATGGAGGGAATGCCTATGGGTGGCATGCCTACGGATTTTCCTCCTCTAAAAACTACGTGCGTGTTATGGTCGGGTGCGTGTTATAGAGCGAAAAATACGGTACCTGCTTACTGAGTTCCTTTTGAAACAGTATGTGATGCATTCATTTCAGTCCTCACAGGTTGAATGGAATATAGTACTAATATATAAAACAAAGTGAAAAAGATGAGATGTTATTAACAAAATAAAAGTGTTGTACGTTAAACATAAATGAAATTGCAGTGAGAAAACTTTAGATTACCTCTATGTAAAAAAAGGGAAATTAGACCTAACTGAAATTAACAAATCCCCAGAAAGCATAAGGCTACCATAAGCAAGGCACAAGAGCCATCCATCGTTTTCCACTAGTCCTCCTTTGAGGAAGCATCCAGAAGACATAATTATCAGCTGGTGTATTTCTGTGTTTTGTATATTGTCACCCCATATTTATTCATATCTGATTTGTGGCTTTTGGGAACAATAAAACACAGTTGCAGATGTGGATGGGTGGATGTGCTTTTGTGGTTTATAAATGTGCCTTTACCTAAGAACTCCCTGTGTTCAGGTTCCACCTATATTGTATTCTGATGAATGTGGATGGAATATGAGTAATTAATAGCATGTTTATTGACCCTAGAATAGGTTCTCTTAATTGTCTCAGTGTTGGTTTCTATACTGGCAGAGGTGGGAGGTGCTTTAATTTTTTTCTTGAAAAGAACCCCCTCACACACAATTTTTTATAGTAAAATAGCACTTCTGCACACAAAAAGAGAAGAAAAATATAATGAGAGGAAGCCAGTAATTAAAGCCTGTCCCCTTCTTTACTTTATTGACAGATCTTGTTTTTTTTCTAGCTGTCACTGCAAGAGATAAGATATACCTGGTTTATTTTTCTCCATTTTTTCTTTGTATTCTCTTTTTTCTTTTATGTCGCATGTTAGAATCTAAATTTCTGTATGTCTACATGTTTTCTTTTTCTGTTTTTAATTTTAAAAAATAGAGACTACAGTAGTGCCTGTCTGCTCAGTAGTCAAAATCCATGCAAAAGATTGTTATTGTTATTGTAAATTCATGTTTTTTACTTAGACTCTGAGGGAAAGATCGTGGATTCAATTCCCAGACAAGGTCATTTTCCAGGAAGGCAGGTCCATGCAGCCCAGTAACTCAACATTAGGAAATATTTAAGCATCTCCTTACAGATATATAATGGCATATTAGATGGGATAGGAAATCCAATAAAACACAATAAATAGTATAATGTAGTATTGGGGCGGGGGAAGGTTTGAAAACTAAATACAGGCAGAGTATTTTATAGATTTTCAGAATTATTATTATTATTTAATTAGTTTTCCAGTGCCAGGAAATATGGTTCCTTTTGCCAATATCAGAAGACTCCCCAGAAGTAGTCAACGTGGAGAGGAAACCATTTGGCTGCTGGTAGATATGGTAGCACATGTGTCTCACATCACATTTTACTTAGTCCTCAATCACTGCATTTTACAGAGTTCTCACTACTACCTTGTTTGTGAAGATGCCGTTGCTTCGCATCTTTCTTGCTGTGCCGAAGTTAAACCAGGAAGCCTTCAGTTACACTTAGTTTCCCATTATATCCAAGCTGGGAGAATATCATCACCAAGTTTGGAACAAGCCAAGTCCCTAAACCAACGTCAAAATATGGTTTAAAATCCTGGCTTTCCCCCCGAACTTGGTTTCTGATGTGATGGGAGATTATGGCTAATTGAAGACATCCTAGCATAAGTGAAGCGTGCTGAGAAGTGAGGAGGGAAAGGGCTGTGAGCACAAGACTTGTTTATATACGTTAAAAATATTATTAATGCTTATTGTGGGTACTTTTTTTAAAAGTAGTTTAATGCTACTTGCAAACAGTCTTGGGAAGATTTGTATCCTGAAAGGCGTGCTGTGAATAGGCTGCTGCTGCTGCATATTATTGTGGTTTATTGTGATTTTTTGACGTATTAAGCCAATGTATGATCATCCAAGTGCAACTACTGTGCAGGCCAGGCACAGGCAAACTCGGCCCTCCAGATGTTTTGGGACTACAACTCCCACCATCCCTGACAACCGGTCCTGTTAGCTAGGGATGATGGGAGTTGTAGCCCCAAAACATGTGGAGGGCCAAGTTTGCCTATGCCTGGTGTAGGCAGTGATCTTCCAGATGTTGAACCATCAAACCTGACCATTGGCCGTGCTGCCTGAGGCTGATGGGCGCCGACCAACATCTGGAAGGCCAAACACTTCCCAATAGGCTAGAGAGGGGGGTGTTGTAATCAAATATGGTGTAAAGTGTCTCCCCTATATGGAGACTCTAACTTGCTTGGTGCCGTTTTGTTTTTAGTACAAGTGTATTAGGAATACAGTGGTGCCCCGCAAGATGAATGGCTCGCAAGACGGAAAACCCGCTAGACGAAAGGGTTTTCCGTTTTGGAGGTGCTTCGCAAAACGAATTTCCTACGTGCTTGCTTCGCAAGACGAAAATGTCTTGCGAGTTCCTGCGGGGGTTTTTTCCTTTCCCCCCCCTTTTTCCCAAGCCGCTAAACCGCTTATCAGCTGATCGGCTAAGCCGCTTAACAGCTGATCGCTAAGCCGCTTATCAGCTGATCGTTAAGCCGCTTAACAGCTGATCGCTAAGCCGCTTATCAGCTGATCCGCTAAGCCTGCTAAGCCGCTAATACTGTAGCGCTAATCCGCTAAACCGCTAATGGGCTTGCTTCGCAAGATGAAAAAACCCGCAAGACGAAGAGACTTGTGGAACGGATTCTTTTCGTCTTGCGAGGCACCACTGTAATAATAATACAGCCGTACCTTGGAAGTCGAGCGGAATCCGTTCCGGAAGTCCATTCAACTTTTGAAACATTTGGAGACCAAGGTGTGGCTTCCGATTGGTTCATGACTGTGCAGGTGCGCCGGAAACAATAGCGGAAGCCACGCCAGATGTTCGGCATCCCCAAAAACGTTCGAAAACCGGAACAGTCATTTCTGGTTTTTGATTGTCAGGAGCCGAGGTACGACTGATAATATCATCATCGATAAACCGCCCTTCATCAATAGACCCTGGGCGGCCTACAGCAGAGATCACAAAATACGTAATATAAAACATGCGCGAGCTTTCTTTACTAGAGGTTTCCCATTTTTACATTTTCCGATGGCAATGCACTATAGATTGTTTAATAGTTAATGCCCCTTAAGAATTTAATTTCTTTTAAACCTTTCAGTAACGTTTCTTCTGAGTTGCATTTGATAAATTTTCCAGGCCTCCTGGGCTTGTTCACTAGGAGGGAAAATTGCCAGTGTTCTCAAGGCCCCTGCAAGGCAGTTCTCTGAGACCAGCTGCATTAGGCTTCTGCTTCTGCTCCAGCTGAATCCTCTGCTGTTTTTGTTTTGCTTTGTTTCAAGTGTATTGTTTTGAATGTATTCCTTATATTTTCCTCACGTGAGCCACTTTGCATTGTAAAACTGGATATTAATCTACGTAAATTAATTCTTAATAACATGTGATATTTGTATCACAAGCTTATTTAGTAAGTCCTTTTTGGGATGTTGCCATTTTGAGATTTTGCCAATCATAATCTTTTCTTTTTAAAAATGTTAAATTTTTAATTTTTAATCTTGTGTTGATTAATAGGGAGGTTGTATTTTTTTCCCCTTTTGTAAACCGGGAGGAATGCTGGAATTTTTCATATGCCAACAGAAAAAAAAACACCCTATAAAACCAATCTTCCTAGATTTCCTTTAGCTTGCAAATTTTTCAGCATGTTTTATTCATGTGGAAATGTGATGTTCTCCCCCCTCCCCTCAAATATTTTCATCTCTTATTAGAAGTATACTTTTTTTGATGAACCAAAGTATGAAAAACATTATCAACATATGGAAGCGGTTGAGGCAGATGATTATGGCCAAGCCCAAAAGTTTTACGACTATGCAGAAAAGAATGTATATGAGAAGCCTAAGAGTCCTCATGTAAAAACCAAGCCTACTGAGAGCAAGAAATTAGAACCATCTCTTAAGTGGAAGAGCATGCCTGGCTCCCGAGAGTATGTAATTCTTTTGACAGATATTGCCAATTAAAATTAATGGTTTAAAAGAAATAATTAGCACTATGTGATTTTAACTCCCCCCCCCAAGTTCAAGTATTATTTTAAAAAGATCTGGGGAACACCCATATATATATATAAGGAGATTAAGGAAATATTTTAGTATTTTAAGGAAATACTACCGGTACTCCCCAGTAATGCAGTATCTGTGGTCCTTTTCTCAGAATTTTATTGTTCTCTTTCCAAACGATTCAGTACAATCAGCTTGCATCTGTGGTCAGTAGTACTGGCACAGGGAGACTTCTCTCACTTGCCCAGCTAGAAGGAAAATGTTGTACGTAGTATTAAATAGTCCTACATTTTTGTTTTGCTTTTATTTAAAAAAACATATTTTATTGCAGGAGGTTTACTGTGTGTGGTTTTCAACCCTGCTGTGATAGTGTGTACACACACACACACACACACACACGCACAAATGGCCCAGCTACCAAGGCCAAACCAAGTCATGGTCAGAACAGAACGTCTTAGGCTCATTGCTGGATGCTGTTATTGTCCGTATCTGCAGGTTCCCCATAGTTCAGTAGGTTTGTGGACTGCACTCTCTCCTTGATGTCCAAATCTTTATTTAAGTTCTTGCCCCACCCTCACACTGCATTTGTATTAATGGGGGGGGGGGGGAGCTTTAAAGAATTTTGAGCTTTTAAAAACTAATTAGTTTTTCTAATTGGGCAATGTTTTGTATTTTTCTTAACAAGTGTAATACAAGAGCAGATCATTGGTTAAAAAAATTCCAAGAGAAGACAAAACACACACACACACACATATATAAAATATTGTTGTGAAAACTGCTGGAAAAAAGAAGAAAAAGTGCAACTGAGTGTTTTCGTGCTAAATATCATGACCATGGGTCAATAAAGAATTAAGTGTGATCAGGTCCATTGAAATCATTAGGCTCAGTGCACATTTAAATGTGCATTAAATTGTGGGCAACATTTTAAAATTCAGCAGCCGTTCTTGCTAATTTGTAAAGACATCCTGAGGCAGGGAGCATTATATCCTTAAAAACAGGTTATCTTTTGGCCTTTTTGGTGGCATTAAGCAATTTAAATCTATCTGATTGATCAAATAATTTTCCCAGATATAAATGTACACACACATTTATGGTGTATTCACAAGAAAGTTGAATGTCATATTAACAAACAAAAATTAAATATTTAGGGGCAAAGCAAGGAAAGAAAGCAAGGATGAAAAGGAAATGAAACTGACCCCTCCAGAAGGCAAGAAAAGAAGCGGAGCAACATCCCCCGGTTCTGGTAAAGGGTATGTAATCTCTATGTATAATAATAATAATAATAATAATAATAATAATAATTTATTTATACCCCACCCATCTGGCTGTGTTTCCCCAGCCACTCTGGGCGGCTCTCAATTGAATGTTATATGCCTCTTCCTTGAATGGGAAAAAAACCCCCAGTAAGCTAACTATGTGATATCAGCACCTCAAATTAGCAAAAAATCTAATCAAATAGTCTAAACCAGACTGTGCTATCATCAACTGAGACTCTTCGGTTGTTTCTGAAATGGAAAGTTCTTTGGTTATTCCCCCTCCTGTGCATGACCGAAGAGGGAACTCCCAAGCTGAAAATATAAACCTGTTGGTTCTGGCAGGGTTGTCTCATCCTTGCATCTGCTACCATTTTTCCAATCATGGTCAGAGAGGAGATGATTGCTTGGCTTACTGTACCAGTAACTTGGCTCTGAACAGACAGTTCCTTAGCTCACATTTCTTAACCAGGGTACAGGGACAGATTGATTTTTTAAAAAGCCTTTGCTCTTGGAATTGAAGTATCCCTCCCAGGCGAGTTTTTATTTTTATTTTTTTGTAATCTCTTCCCCGTGTCTCTATTTTATTTAATGTTGTGGGACTGATCTGGTATCAAAATCTGAAAAGCAAATGAATTCCTCTCTTCCAAGAGTTGTCATAGTCAGTCACATTCTTTCTCTGATTTCAGAGAGTTCATCAACATGAAATAATAATATGGGTCGAAACAAATAATTTTGATGTTAAATAAATAAATATCCCCTACCCTGTGTGGGACACAACAGTGGATTGTGTAAACGTAACATAATGAAGTTAGTTATTGAAACTAGCCAACTTGATTATAAAACAGCTATAACATAATATTAGTGGAGCAGATGGGTTGGGAGGGTGGGGAAGAGTGTACTTAACATTTTGTTTTCTCAGGAAAGATTCTGCCCACCTCAGTGTGCTGTTCTAAATGCACACAAAAAAAGATACTGTGTCCATGTATTTCCCCCCTCTATGTAAGAGAGAAGCTGCTTGGGTAGGGAAAGTTGACTGGGAAAAAATGGCATGCATAAGGTCTCTGTGTAAACCATATTAGAATGAAGTTGCACACCAGAACTGTCTGATAGATTTCATCTTTCTGTCCATAATATCTAATGTAAGTGGTTTTATTTATTTTTTTGTTTAGTAAGCTTCCAGCAAAGAGTGAAGATGTTAGTGAAAGTTCCTCAGAGAGTGAAGAGGAAGATGAACAACCTGAACGCCACCAGGAGATTAACACTGATTTGCCATCGGAATATTGGCAAATTCAAAAATTAGTGAAATATATAAAGGTAAACAAACTTTAACTTTTATTTAGAAGGCTGTGAATAATAAAATTATGTTTGTGTTCTAACTGAATACGAAACTTCATTCCAGTTTGTTTCTTTTCTCCCATGTTGCTATTCAAATTGCACCATTTTTCTCTTTTGGAAGCTTTAACTTATTTATTTTTTAGGAGTACCTGCAATTCCATTTTTACTCCAAACAAATGCCTATGATCGCAGCATCAGTTATGCTCCACTGCTATGCATGTTGAATCTGAGCGGAATAGCAAGGCTGTTTCAGTCCAGCAGACTGAGGATTGTGTCCACAGTTTGCTAATCCAGAGAGAGAGAAAATGCATTGACTTCGACATCAAAATATACCAGTGGGATCAGCAACAAATTTCTAGTCAGAATGCCAGCCAGCCAGCCGTGCCGTCTCCCAGGATACTCAATTACCCTCTCACCTCCCAGTTTTCTGACCTCTGCCCAGCTGTCTGTTAGCATTCCATGGCCACTGAGCATGCTCAGTGTTTATTGGGCTGTTTGGGGTTTCCCCCACTAAGTATTTGGAGTTCTGGAAAACTTGAATTTCCCCCCAGGTTTGCTGGTAACATCTCTGTTGTGCACGGATGGTGCTGTTTTGTCTACATAAGTATCTACATTTGGAGAAGGAGTGATAAATAGGACTGTATGCAGCTTTGTATAAGATTCACTCATATTGAAGCTCTTTATCCTCATGGTTTGTTTTCTTACATGACAGTTATACAAACTTGAGATTCAGGTTTCTGATTTGCTGCAATGGGCAAAAAGAAATACTGTCATGTGGAGCTGTATTTATTTTTGCCTCTGAAAATGAAAGAAAATGCAGAAATACAGGAGCAGACATGTAATCTTTGTACAAGCAAGGATCTAAACAAGAGCAAAACAACAACAGCATAAATCTCTTTTCTGTAAAAGTAAACCAGTGACCCACAGTATCAGTTTTGCAGCTATAATGAAAAACAAAACTATTTATTGTGCTTTGTTTTAAAATGGAAGACCCTCAATTTCTTTTCACTTTCCTATGTTATCTATGACATACATATGAAAACGCCATGTAAGAATTTCTATTAAATTTAAAGAGCATGGCATGTTATCTCCCATTTCTTGTCTAGAAGACTAGGAAGAACAGCAGACTTGGTCTATACAGATAAAGCATATATAATTAATTCCAGAACACTTCTGCTTGACTATGACAGAAGTATGAAGAAACATAAACTAGCATTAGATGAATATTGCAAATTTGTGTTCTTAAACTATCAAGTAATACACAGGAGTACTATTATTGTGCCATACACACACTTGCTAGTTGCAGGAAACATGATACAAGCATGCCATGAGGCGTTCATAGGCTCATGATGTGAGGATGATGGGAGACCAAGGGTTCTCCAGAGGCCTCTAGGACACCAGCTAGGGGGATATCATTATGCTTCCACTTGCTTGAAAGGTAGAAAAGTGCCATCACTCTCCGAGGCTTCTGAGTTGCCTCTTGTCTTCAGTGACAGTTCATTTTTTCTGCCCTTTCTTGAAGAAGAGCTTTTAATCACTTGGTTATTTCTGGCCTTATTTTACTGTTTTTTTATGTGAAGTTCCAGGGTTGTTGTTGTGGTGGTGGTGTGTCTTTTACTCTATAGTTTTCATTGCCATTTGTAGTTCAGAATATATTGTTATGTTAATTCCAACCCTTCCACCTCAGACTCCATGTCTGCTTTCTTCCCTTACTTTCCCTGCGGCGTTTAAACACCTGCTCCCTCTGGAATTAATTCTTCTTTGCTAATTGATTTCATAATTGATTAGTTATTTCTTCCAGCGATGCTTACTCTAATTAACTGCTGTGATGGGTTACTCTACACTTCTGTTTGATTTCCCCTCTCGCTATTGCGTGTGTGTTAAAAAACAACAACCATGCATACACCTGTTGGCAGGCAGATGTATTAATTTTTAGCTGATCTTTCTTCTAATTTCTCTTTAATTTGGTGAACTTACCTTGAGCATGGCCATTCATAGGGCTCATGGCATGAGGATGATGAGAGACAATGGGATCTGCAAAACCCTGGCACAGCAGATGAATCTTTGCCTGCCTAAAATGACATATTGGGCTCCACTACCCCCTTCCCTGTTTCCTGGCCCCTGCCATTGCTGACAAATGGGACACCTGAGCCTTGAACTGAGTGTTGAGAAATCTCATAGAATCAATGAATCATCGAATTGTAGAGTTGGAAAGGACCTTGAAGATCATCTTGTCCAAACCTCTGTATGCAGCTGTCCCATACGGGAATCGAACCCTCACCCTTGGTGTTATCAGTGGCACGCTCTAACCAACTGAGCTACCCAGGCTGGTCCAATCTGTTCTTTTAGGCAAGAGGTACAAAATTAGTTAGTCATTCCAATTAGACCTATCTCTTTGTTCCTCCAGCTCCCCCGCCCGATCTTCTAACGTACCTTGCATGTACTACTGTATTTTTCGCTCCATAAGATGCACCTGACCATAAGACGCACCTAGTTTTTAGAGGAGGAAAGGGGAAAAGCCTCTGTTTTTTGAGGATCAGCTCAAAGTTGTGTAGCTTCTTTTGCAAAGGGGAAAAGCCCCCTTTTTTGAGGATCAGCTCAAAGTTGTTGAGCTTACTTTGCAAAGGGAAAAAATCCTGTTTTCATGGGGTTCAACTCACAGTTCTGCAGCTTCTTTAGGAAAGGAAAGGGAGCTGTTTCTACAGTTTCCAGACAGATAATCTAATCAGCCAGTCACATGTTGCTGGGGAAACAAACAGCCTCCGTCTGCAGAACATTCAACAATGGAGGCCTGGGCAAGGGGGTGAGGCTGGAAAGGGAGCCAGTGATCAACCACACATTCGCTCCATAAGACGCACAGACATTTCCCCTTACTTTTTAGGAGGGAAAAAAGTGTGTCTTATGGAGCGAAAAATACGGTACTTTTCATGTATAGTTTGGCACAGGCTGTGTTTCATAGGCAACACTATCAATTCCATAAATAATAGAACATTTGTATTTAATGTCTTCATTACTAAAGGCTGGGGGAAGACAATAGTCAATAGTCGAGCCAATTCACGATATACATATAAATAAAGACTATAAACAGTTCCAAATCAATTTTCAGTTACGAAAAAAAGACTTCAAACCTTGTGACAAATTAATGTTCTGCAGATGACAGAGGGGAAAATAGCTGCTAAAAGACCATTGTAGATTGCAAAAGAGAAGGGTGAATGATAAACAGTGACTCGCAGGCTCCCTACATGAAAGGGAAGTGTGGTGACAGTCCTGTTGCGTTGTCCTTTGCTGTGCTTCTAATTAGGCCATATATCCATCATAGTAGCTTTCCAAAATAAATGTTTATTTGCCTCTTGTTATCTGCTTGGATTTAGATGCTCATAATCATAGAGTGGAAAGTTGAATTGCTTAAGATTGGCTTAGGGAAAAAATCGAGAGACTGCTTTTCTCTAGACCCTTCCATAAATGTCAAAAGTTATACAAGCCTTTTAATTTGTTTCATTCTTTTTTGCTGGATGGATTGTTTTAAGCACTGTATGATGTTGCTGGATCAAATTAGCTGCACAGATAGCAGCTGGAAAATGAGTTATGAACTAGTTATACTCAATTTTTTTCTCTTCACGATCCATTAAGTGTAGATGGTAATGTAATTGCTCATGCAAATAGCACTCGAAAGGAAAGAAGGGAACTCTCCAAGAAGAAGAAAAGGCCGAAAGGGGAGGAAGGAAAGAAAAGATAATGCTGGCTCTTCAAAACTCTGTTGGTTGATAAAGGAAAATTTATGACTGTAGTAGTCACAAAAGTTAAAGATTGAAGCATATAGAGTCAACCTTTTGTCAGGAAAAAAACCCAGATAATTAAATAATGTAATCAATTGAATGCCTAAAGAAGGGCATTCATAAATGTACAGGTTCAAAATTACTTTGCTTTTTAAGTACTGTGTTGTATATTTTCTCAGTTCTACTCTTCCACATTACTATATTCTAGCAGAGTTTGGAAACAAGCATTCACTGCAGTTTAAGTGATTGAGGACCACCACTGGAATCCTGTAGGACACAGTGTAATTCATGTTATGTACATAAGGCAGCAGTGTGTCACCACTCCTGCCGATGCCTGTTTCTGCTATGATAAAGAAAAAGAGCCATGGTGCTTAGCGCCATAAGAGCTTCTTGCCGAGGGACACCTGCAGTTGTTTTACCTGATCTAATGTCTCATGTGATAGACCACTTGTGTTTGACTTGGAAACCCAAAATATTCTGCCACCTGGATTGTATCACAAATTATATTGGCCTGAAATGATGGACAATGAAAGCATTGTTCCCCTTGTAGTTAAATACTCTGTACATATGGTTTGTGCTACAGTTGTGCCACAATTGGCATCCATTCCTTGCACCACCTCTTAAAACCACAAGGGCTTTTAAGCAGAGCAGCTAAATAGAAATCTCATTTCGAGAGGCTATATGGATATGCTACTGAATTCCTGGTTCTGGGGGGGAAATGGGGAGGACTTATTAGGGGCTTCCAGGAATTACCTGGTCAGCCATTATGTGAAACATGATGTTGGATTAGACTGATTTTTGGACCAATCCAACAAGGCTCAAGGTACTCAGATGTTCTACCTTCAGAGGCTGAAATGGGTGTCCATCTGGCAACTGAAAATTCAGGGTTTTTTGCAGGGTGGGACGTTACGGGTGGAATTGTCCTTAAATTGTTTTCTTTTCTTATTCTTTATATCGCTTTTTAAAAAACAAAACAAAATTCTTTAAACTGATCAAAACTAGGTAATATTCCAGATGCTAGCATATGGCATGCAGGCCCATGTATGTTTGAATCAGATGCCACAGCCTGAGAGATGTAATTTTTCAGAGTTGCCCCGAGATCTCAGTAGTCCTCTTCAGTGAGTTTAAGACGTATGCTTGCTGAACCAGTGAATTGTTTATTCCCTGAAAGCATTGTTTCCCTTGTAGTTAAATACTCTGTTCATATGGTTTAGTTTTCCCTTGGAAAATCCATTGGCTCCATTGCAACTAAATTGCCCAACTTTTTATTCAGGCTCAGCTGCTTGTTGTTTCCTTGACAGCCTGAAGAAGCAATGGTTCTTCCCAGATTAGTCTTGTTAAATTTCTTTCGCAGACACTGTTGCAGGCCCAGCCATGACCCCACACCCACTTGTGGCAGCTGCAACTCTTGCCAGATGCTGAGAGCAGTTCGTCCTCAGCTTCCTCTCCCCTATTATCAGCCCCACTTTGAGAACTGTGCAGTGCTTTCTCTGGCATTTGACATCAGACAGAAGCACCAGTTTCTGAAGTGATGTCCTTGCCATGTGCCCTCTGATTGGTCTATGGGAGCATCGTAGAAGCTTGGTGATGAAACAGGAGTGAAAGTTGATCAGCATCTGTTGCTTTATCTCTGAGTAATTTGCATTAGGCCAGCAGAATTTTCACCTCCCATTGATTTAAGGATAGTGACAACAACAACCACCACAATTTCTTTCTCTCCTAAATTAGGCTGCAGATATCAACAAAGTTTGGGTTCCCAAGCTTAGTGTGTGCTCAGAGTTCCTTGTTGCACCTTTCTGAGCCACTATTTTGTACCTGGCTCCACTTGGTGGACCTCAGGGTTTAAGTGAAAAACGGAGTAGACTTGCACAAACCTTAAGAGTCCCTACCTTTCGTTTAAAAGGCTTTTGTGCACTGCAGCACCAGCAGTGACACCCAATGCCCATGTGAGCTGGCAAAAAAAAAAAAAGCATACAAAAAAAGTACACTCTCATAACCTGCAAGTGTCCCAGAAAAACTGGGACATCTCATTTCCTCCCCATGAGAGCATGGTTGCCATTTTGGTCACTGTGATCTTGTGCAATTTTGCACCGAGATCTTGCCCTAAAAAGCATACGTTTTTGTGTGCCATTGGACCATGGTCCGGGGACGCAGATGGCGCTGTGGGTTAAACCACAGAGCCTAGGACTTGCCGATCAGAAGGTTGGTGGTTCGAGTCCCCGCAACGGGGTGAGCTCCTGTTGCTCAGTCCCTGCTCCTGCCAACCTAGCAGTTCAAAAGCACGTCAAGTGCAAGTAGATAAATAGGTACCGCTCCAGCAGGAAGGTAAACGGCGTTTCCGTGCGCTGCTCTGGTTCGCCAGAAGAGGCTTAGTCATGCTGGCCACATGACCCGGAAGCTGTACGCCGGCTCCCTCGGCCAATAAAGCAAGATGAGCGCCGCAACCCCAGAGTCAGTCACGACTGGACCTATTGGTCTGAGGTCCCTTTACCTTAGACCATGGCCCTGAAAAAAGTGGCTCTGTGATCTCGTGCGGGTCACAGGAGCACGGACAGGAGATGTGCATCCTGGTTTTGGGACTCAACGTGTTGGAGGGTATGCACTCTTCTATAGACTTTCAAAAAGTGCACTTAACAATATTGCTGTAAAACACTGAGCCAGTCTGGGCACCCACCCCTTTTCCCAATGCCCTGATTCTCATTGCTGAAACAAAAGGGAAAGCATATCGTTTAATTTTTCTCCAAATTTGTTTCCTATACATGTTGACTGCATAAACCAGCTTATGGAGAGGTTTTAGATGCACGTGTGCAAGCCCCGGTGGTGGTGGTTCATCTCCTGCTGTGTTTCTGCGAGTTGAGGTTGGAGAAGGGGTTCAGTGATGCCTTGTACCTCCTGCTCCTTCTCTATTCCCAGTTTCCACCCACAGAAGGGACTTTTTAATCACTTAGGTGCCATCAGGCTGCAGTTAAAATATGCAGTGTGCAATTTAGGCCTCAGAAAGATGAACTTAAGATATCAGTGTTGCTATTTCTTACAGGTGCGAAATCCAGTATGTGTTTGCTAGTCGCTGGTGCTTATCGTATTTTTCGCTCTATAAGACACACTTTTTCCCCTCCAAAAATTAAGGGGAAATGTGTGTGCGTCTTATGGAGTGAATGCAGGCTCCATGGCTTCAGCAATAGCAATGCGAAGCCTCTGAAGCGCAGTGGGAGCGCTCCGGTAGGCTTTAGGGATAGCTACGCTGCGCTCCAGAGGCTTCGTGTTGCTTTCGCTGAAGCTTGGAGAGTGAGAGGGGTCGGTGTGCACCGATCCCTCTTGCTCTCCTGGCTTTGCTTCGCTGGAGAGGCGCTACGCAGCTTTCCCTCTCTGCGCAGCACCTCTTCAGTGAAGCGGGAGGAGAAATGGAAGGGGCTCCGTTTCTCCTGCCGCTTTGCTGAAGGGGTGCTGCACAGAGAGGGAGAGAATTTTTTTTTCTTGTTCTCCCCCTCTAAAACAAGGTGTGTCCTATGGTCAGGTGCGTCCTATAGAGCGAAAAATACGGTACATCACATAATGGTCAAGTTCCTCACCATATCAGAACAAAATGAACGATGAAGTGTCCTAATTTACTGCTGTTTGCGGAGCGTTTAGGAGGAACTCGCCACACTCTAGAGCAGCCTTCCAGACATTTTGGACTACGCATCGCACGTTGATTGGGAGTGATGAGAGTTGTAGTGCAAAATGTCTGGAAGGCCGCAGTTTGGGTGAGACTGCTCTACAGTCTTCACTGGGAACCAGTGATATGAATGACAGGCCCAGTGCCTCTGCCAGTCTGCTTCATCTTTCTGCCCTTCTCCTTTTGCCAAGTGCAAATCTTGGCTACCAGCAGCGAGAGACAAGCCACATTATGTTTAGTCTCCCTCAGTGTACGTTTTGTACACTTTGCAAGATGAAGAGGTCAGGGAGTCATGTAGCTGAGAGGTATAAGCAATGGCCCAGTACCACCCTTTGATTCCAATATGGAAAGAATGGTTCTTTCTGTGTCTTGTGATTATTATTTTTTATTCTGTTTTGTTAGCAGAAAACCTGGTAATAGTTTTAATCTGAATTTCACTGCATGCACTCCCTTGTTATTGAGACATACCAGGCCTGACGGTGTCAGTCCTTAATTAGCTCTTAAACAATAGTCATTTTCCACACGCTACAGACATGTAATGTGAACATTATGGAATCTGTGATTTTTATCATGGTTATGATTTTCCACTGGCCCTGGTTATTTTAATCTGTATGTTTTATTCACTGCCAGGCTATAGCCCAAGAACTCCAGAGGATTCAGGAAATGGGGCAAGGAATTATTCCATAACTCAGTTATACTTGTCCATAACTCATCTCTAACAAGTTGCAGCTTGACCTGTGTTCTGTAAAATAGAATGAAAAGTTGGAGCAGAAAAATGAACATTTAGAAACACGCTTGTGTTTTTCTTTGAAACTAAAAACAAAAACCCTGTGCTAAGATGGTACTGGGATACTTACACCTTCATTCCAACAAGCAGTGCAACCACATAATACCTTAGGTTTTCATTTTGTATTGTTTCTCTCTCTCTCTCATATATATATATATAAGCTTTTTTAGTTCTTTTTATGGTATGTTTGTAAATCACCTTCAGCCAATAATAGGATATTTCTAAATAAATAGTAGTATTAGTAATACACCTGCTTAAGTAAAAGTTGTGCATAAACTAAATAACTTCAAATTAAAAAGCTGAACTTTGAATCACAGTTTCATTTAATTAGCAATATACTTTGCTGTGATGCAGTAAGCTTAGCCCTCATGGAACCTGAGATGTAATCAGAGCATAGCCTTTTAAGAGTCAAACTTCCCAGCTCCTTCGTTAGTTAATTAAGATAATGGCTGCTAAATCTATACTGCTCGATTCACCTCTCCCCCCCAACCCCCCCAAGAACCCAACAATACTGCTCTAGATCACTCACATTTAAAGTCTTGTAAGCCTAGCTTTTAAAATTGTGCTTACAAACTTTAACACATGTTTTAAAGCAAGTTCAATAACAACGGTGCTTTGGAGGATATAATATTAATGGGTGCATATAGAGGAACATCTTTTTTTCTCTCTTGCATTTTCAAAAGGTGGCAAGTATAGTCAAGCAGATACGACAGCAGTTTATAATATATTCCCGTATCCATCCATGTGTGCCGGAGTCCTTTTTATAATCTCTCTGTCAAAAGGTCTCCTTTGGTTGACAACAGAGCTCCTTTTGTCCCACGGAGCAGTCGAAATAGGAATATATGCAGGGAAATGAGACATTTGCTTCTCTTTTGGATGTGATCTGTGTAGAAGAGAATGCTCAGAATCGAATTCTACAAGAGCCATATGGACTCCAAGGAGCCTGTGGAGTTTGTGAACCAGACCCATTGTGCTAACCAAGTGAGAAATTTCTATAAGGAGTAACAGAGACATCTTTTCCATTATTTCCCCTTACTTTGGCTTACTCACAAGAAAAGTCATTAGGCAGACAAAGTTTCATATTTGTAATTGTTTTGTATTAACTAATGTATGTGGTTTGGTATTCACCTCTCTACATTTTTTTGCATTGTGTAATACTGTAATTGTTATTGTTCCTTTAAACCCACTGAGTTAAATGGGCTATTTCTTATATTTTCAGAAAGATGGCTTTCTTTATTTGCAGCTGTCATTTGCCTTGATGCTGAAATTCAGCTGCCGCCCAGAGATTGGTTAGAAAACGTTTTCTCTGTGAGCATGGTACACATTCTTTTTAGAATTCACATTATATTTTCATTTAAATTTGTGGATATTTATGCTGAACCATCCTATAAGAAGGGCTAGACTTTCTGAAATGAAATCTGCCTTTAATTTAAAGCTTTAAAAGTGATTGTTACAATGCCAGTAGAATTTATTTTGCATCCAACATACTGTATCCGATTTCAATGGCTGTAACAACATGATGCAGCTTTTGTGTACACTTAATAGAAAACTAACCATTTCCATGTTTGTTAAGACTTGCCCTTGAAAGCGTTCTGTAAGAACTACTAGACAGAAAAAAATAATTGTTGTGGCAACCAGTAGTAATGGTTATGCTATAGAAATAATGTGTCAGAGCATATGAAAAATATTTTATTGTGGTTTTGCTTTAAAAAAATCTATATTAAACTGTGTAAGCAATCCTGAAAAGCAGAGGGGGGAAAAGATATTTTTTACTTGAGATTTATTGTGAGTGAATAAATACTTGCTTTAGCATTTTTGCAAAGAATGGAGTGACAGATCTGCCACCCAATCAAATGCCAGGGGGGAGGTTTTTTGCTGCAACAGCTCCAGGCTACTTCTCCTGAGAGCTTCTAGAATCAAATCTTTCTTGGGATTGTTGGGGCTCCAAAGTGCCCAATGTCACACTGAAACACCTCATTTCAGGGCTTTCTTTTGTCGGTACTCTCCACTAGCAGAGGCCAGCTTAGAGATGTCTGCATTATTTTACCTGCCACTCCACCGTCAAGATGGGGTGGGATTAGAATTGCATCCTTATTGAATCATCGCCACTCATCATAACTTTTAATTTGTATACAGTGGTACCTCGGGTCAAGTACTTAATTCGTTCTGGAGGTCTGTTCTTAACCTGAAACTGTTCTTAACCTGAAGCACCACTTTAGCTAATGGGGCCTCCCGCTGCTGCCGCACTGCCAGAGCACGATTTCAGTTCTCATCCTGAAGCAAAGTTCTTAACCCGAGGTAGTATTTCTGGGTTAGCGGAGTCTGTAACCTGAAGCGTATGTAACCTGAGGTACCACTGTACTGTCTTTCTATCTTACAATACCCAAGGCGGTTTACAAGCTGAAGAAACAAAGAATGTACACCTTATAACAATCTAATGCAATGCAAAAATGTGATAATAAAGCATAACTTTAAAATAAGCAACGTACATGAAATAAAGTAACATTCAACAATCATTAGAGTAGTACAGAATAATATTAAATATCAGCATGTAAAAAATTAAACAGAAATCCACTCTTAACAATTACAATAATTTTTAAACTACAATCAGTAAAACAACGGCAAGCCACAGTGCATAAAATAATACAATACAAATTGAGAAGCAGAGGCAGGTGGAAAAAGGCTCTTGAATGTCATTGTTGTATGTCAGCCACGATATAATAGATAAATATATACCCAGTGCTAGGAAGAGTATAGTTCAGATTTAGATATACCTTTGATTGAACAGACTTGGAAATATTTATACTTCACTGGTGCTGTCCAAATAAAGGAATAAAGAAATAAAATGACAATCTTTTTGGTGCCAGTCTCGCAGAACTTTTAATTTCAAATGTTCTAATGCTTTTAGATTGGACAAATTGGTTTCTTCTTACTGGTTTTAGGCTGGTCTTCGTTTAATTTTATGCTGATTTGTTTTTATGGTAGTTTTTGGTAAAATGTTTTGTTGGGTTTTGATCTTTATGTTGCTTTCATGGGGATTGTTATATGGTTTTGTAGGATAGTGTATGTATGATATTGACTTTTGTAAACCACCCAGAGGGCTTTCTTCAGTGGGCGCTGTAGTAATAAAATAAATAATAAAAAGTAATCAGAAATGAATAAACAAATAGACTCTAACAAAAAGGATACAATATGGCTATTGTCCTGTTTCATTTTGTTTGTGTTTATTACTCTGTCCTCTTTCTAGTTATGCATTTTCTGTGTCAGAATATTTCTTAGAATCATAGAGTTGGAAGGGACCCCATGGGTCATCTAGTCCAGGCATAGGCAAACTTGGCCCTCCAGATGTTTTGGGACTACAACTCCCATCACCCCTGACCACTTGTCCTGTTAGCTAGGGATTATGGGAGTTGTAGTCCCAAAATAACTGGAGGGCCGAGTTTGCCTATGCCTGATCTAGTCCAACCAGTGTTATAAACTGAGATATGAAAACTAGGAGCTAAATAGCACCTTAAACCTAGGTTGTTGGCGCAACAACGGAATGTCTAGGTGTGCTTTTTTATAACAAGAATACAAAGCTGAAAATGAATGAACTTCAGCTAAAATATTATGTTCATTTTTCACATGGTCTAGTAGTCCTTCCCCTGCCCACCCCCCTAATATTCTTAAGAGGGTTTCTTAACCAGTCTTAAGAGAGTAGCTGGAAGTGGGGAGGCAGAAAAAGGTCCTCCTTTCCTTCCATTCTGCAGTTTTAATCTGAAATCTTAAGTGCACTACTGCACCCAGAGCTCAGAAACAGCTCGCACTAATGAAATTCCCTGTTGCAAAATGCACCTAGAACAATGGGAGTTTTGAACAGTGAGTCCAACCCCCTGCAGTCAGGAATCTCAACTATAGCATCCGTTACAGATGGCCATCGAACCTCTGCTTAAAAACCTCCAAGGAAGGAGAGTCCACCACCTTCCGAAGGAGTTCATTCCACCGTCGAACAGCTCTAGCCATCAAAAAGTTCTTTCTCATGTTTAGTCGAAATCTCCTTTCTTGTAACTTGAATCCATTGGTTTGAGTCCTACTCTACAAGCTTGCACCATCTTCCATGTGACGGCCCTTGAGATAGATGAAGATGGCTATCATATTGTCTCTCAATCTCCTCTTTTCCAGGCTAAACATATCCAACTCCCTCAACTGTATAGTACAAAGTTGTATTTAATTGTACATTTTAAATTTCTCTGTTTTGTAGGCTGGCAACCAGACAGCTACTGTAATTGCATTGTGTTCAATGAGAGATTTCAACTTGTCTCAAGAAACTTGTCAGTTGGCAATCAGAGATGTTGGCGGCCTTGAAGTGCTGATTAATTTGCTTGATACCGAAGAAATCAAATGTAAGGTGAGTTCAATTGTCAGATTGAATTGTGCTTTATATGGATTCTAGAAGCTGTTGTCCAGCAATTGTATATTTACTTCCAGGACAGATACTTCCCAATTAGCACTGGGTCTCTTACTCCTTAATGCAACTACAGCTTAGTATTTTCCGTAATATAACACGAAAATAAAACGACTCTGAACTTCAGAGCCGTTCTCATCTCCCTCAAAATTCTTTCTAGCATTTATGAAGTTGCTCTCCTTTCAGAATGAAAAGTAAGAAACTGGGATGTTAACCACAGTTAACCATAGCTTAGCTCAGCTGAAACTCAAAAAAAGATGGTGGAATGGTAGATTTCTGTTGTGTAGACATCTTCCTTTCAGCAACACAAGACCTCTAAGGCACTTGTTTTAGTGAGTGTTCATTCTGGTTTTGTTTGCAGGAAGGTTAGATGACGTTGTGTCAAAGGAAGTGTTATCCCATACTTTCTAGTGCCTTTTTCCTGCTACTTTCCTTATCACGAGTCAGGAGGCAGTTGCTGCTTAGCCCTGCTTTCCCCATCCATTCTGGGGACAATCTCATAAGAAAGCAGCCTCACTATCCCACATGATTTTACCTTCTTTGCATTCAGCTGTCTACCCGTACAGTATTTTAGCGTATGTTACTTGAATAATCAAACTCTATATCCACGTTAAACAATCTTGTGTAATTTCTTCTCTGATTAGATTGGCTCATTAAAAATCCTGAAGGAAATTAGCCAAAATCCACAAATCAGACGTACAATTGCTGATCTTGGAGGATTACAGATCATGGTTAAGATACTTGATTCTCTAGACCAAGATCTGAAATGTTTGGCAGCTGAAACCATAGCTAATGTGGCCAGATTCAAGAGGGCCCGAAGAACAGTCCGGCAGCATGGTGGAATCAAGAGACTAGTAAGTAGACCTGATGAACAACAATAAATCTTGGCATCACAGTTTTGATCTTCACTTTATCTTCTTTTGTTATTTTGATAGCAGGTAGGCATTTCTGCAACATCATCTTTGCTTCAGTTGCTCCAACCCAGAAATCAATGTTGTGGTAGCTTCTATTCCTTTGCACATGCCAATCCTTTCATTGGAAAGTTTATAGTATAACTTATAACCTGCCTTATTTCAAGAAAAAAAATACTCAAGGCAGTGTCTTCAGTAAACACTCTGAAACAACACACTAAAATTATAATCCCAGCATGATTTTAAAGTTCTAAAATAAAAAAACCAATTTAAACTAACAGGAAAGGATGGTCAGAATTCATATACGTAAGTTCAAATGTACCAATGAATGTCAAATGCCTTACAAGCTAAAGTTATCATTATTTGCGCCACAAAGCTAAGATATGGGCAAAGTTTCTTAGGGAAGGAATTCCAGAGGCTTGAACTAAGCATTTTAAAGGCCATGCTGGCCACAGGGAGTCACGAAACACACCTCTCAGAAGATGCATGTAAAAAAGCCTTTGCCACAGAATCTCAGTAGGCATTCATGGTAGTGGAAGTATGGCAGCCTTCAGATGCTTTGATGTTTTAGACAACTTCTTGAATTGGGCCCGAAGCTAATGTCAGTGTGAGAACAGGTGTAATCTCTTTCTTTCACTCACCTTCAGTACATCAGTTACAGGCAGATACGTCTTATGCACAATGCTGCTGTTCTCTGGTATGGGCAGACTACAGTAGCCTTTATTGCTGACATTCACTAAAGACAATAAGCGATCTGTCTTTTTCTATCAGGTTGGGCTATTGGACTGCTCATCAATGGGATCGTCAAGTCTCACTCCACTCCAGGGGAAAGAGATTGAAGTGGCACGATGTGGAGCTTTGGCACTCTGGAGCTGTAGCAAAAGTTCCAGGAATAAAGAAGCAATACGTAAAGCCGGAGGCATCCCCCTGCTGGCTCAGTTACTGAAGTCCCCCCATTCAAATATGTTAATACCTGTAGTAGGAACTTTGCAAGAGTGTGCATCTGAGGTAAGCATCTGAGCTTTTCTGCAGGTGGAAATTGAGCAGAATCTGAGATCCAGCAAAAAGTATACAAATGCTTTAAAACTGTGGGGTTTTTTAAAGCACTACGAATGATATTTAACAAATATCCCACAAAATATTGAATGCATTCAGTTAATAAAATAGCTCTTATCTCAGGTTCATTCAGTTATTTTTTTTAAACATCTTAATGAATAAAAATGTTACTCCATCTATGGCTACAGAGCCAGTGTGGTGTAGTGGTTAAGAGCGGTAGATTTGTAATCTGGTGAACAGGGTTCGCTTCCCTGCTCCTCCACATGCAGCTGCTGGGTGACCTTGGGCTAGTCACGCTTCTCTGAAGTCTCTCAGCCCCACTCACCTCACAGAGTGCTTGTTGTGGGGAAGGAAGGGAAAGGAGAATGTTAGCCGCTTTGAGACTCCTTCGGGTAGTGATAAAGCGGGATATCAAATCCAAACTCTTCTTCTTCTTCTTCTTCTACAATTAAACATTACACAATACAAAATGAAAATAGCATATTCTGCCAATAGTCAAAGGGACACCTTAGCTTATACAGTGGTACCTCGGGTTACATACGCTTCAGGTTACATACGCTTCAGGTTACAGACTCCACTAATCCAGAAATAGTACCTCAGGTTAAGAACTTTGCTTCAGGATGAGAACAGAAATTGTGTTCTGGCGCCGCGGCAGTGGCGGGAGGCCGCATTAGCTAAAGTGGTGCTTCAGGTTAAGAGCAGACCACCAGAACGAACCCAAGGTACCACTGTATCCTATACTGAGTTGGACATTTGGTCCACCTAGCTCAGTAGTATCTACATTAATGACAGCACCTTTCTGGGATTTCAGACAAGACTCTTCTAGCTTTACCTAGAGACTGAGCATTGGACCTTTGGCATGTAAAACATGTGCTCCAACACTGACCTATGGCAAAAGCTCAAATTACAATGAAAAAAACCCTTATACGCTTTTGAGTATGCCTGCATTTTTTATATTTAGCAACAGGCTGTATAACCATGCAAAAGTCCCCTGTTACCTGTTGCTAGATCAAGCACTCTAAACACACCAGTTTCTAGATTCATCTTCCCTTCTAAGAAGCACCATTCCAGTGCTGAACAGGTAGATTGATGTTACTTGCTTGCAGTGACAGAATAATTCATCTGCAACAAAAGTTACGTACTTTTCTTACTGGTTTAAATGGGAGTGCTAAACAACATACTGAAATGTATCCCATTGACCGTAATAAAATGACTTGACTTGAGTGAGACTTAAAAGTACTTAATCTTGGAAGCATGTCCAAGGTATGAAATACTGTACTGAAGTAGTTTCTTATAGTTTTTATCTTAATTATTTGTTTCCTTCTACAACAAATGTTAAGATCAGACAAGGAGAAAACAGTGTTTAACATTTTTATCTAGAGAAGCATAACCTAGAATTATAATACCACAGGACAAATTATCTTCTGTTTATGAAGCTTAGGATCTTTGCTACAGAACTATGTGGTGGATTGTTCTAATTGGAGTCTCAGGACCACTTAGTATCTTGGTATATTTATGCCCATGGTGTGTGCTGCCATACTTGAAACAACAATTTTATTGTAAACAAGCTAGAGAGCGTTCCCTGTAAAGGTTCAGCATAAATACGATTTGGGTCAGCAAGGTTCTGCTATCGTGTTTTGCATTTTGAATAATAGCAATTTATCTGTTAATACATCTCTTAACTTAATACATAAAACTTGCCTTTGTAGCCAAGCTACAGACTCGCAATTAAAAATGAGAAGATGATAGAGAATCTTGTGAAAAATCTGAACAGTGACAATGAAGAGCTTCAAATGCATTGTGCCAGTGCTATTTTTAAGGTAAGGGATGCTTCCAGGCCAGTTGAGGTTTCCTGCATAGTATGTCATCTAGTAATATTGCACAGGTTGGGCAATATTGGAAAGCGAGTTGTATCCTCCTACCCTACCAAGAGGACTGAAAAACTCCATAGTTAAGATGAGTTTATAAGCATGATAGTGGTGAAGTAGGCAGACGAGTACTTCAACTAGAGCAAAAAGTTCCATAAGGAATAGTAAGCAACCCAGTTCGCGACATGTCCATGCCTTGCTTTGTAAGATGCTGCCAACTGTATTGGATGCCCTAGTCAAAATGGCTACAAAGCATATAAAATAAGTAGAGCCTTGCAATTTCAACGGTACAGCTAGGAAGGTTACAAAGTCATCCAAACCCCCTTTGTGCCGGGCTGGGGCAGGGTTGGCTGGTGTGGAGCTTCCCTTTCTGTCTGCCTGAAGTGCAGGCTGGCGGAGGTACCCAAACATGTCAAACATGCCGGCAGAAGTGCTGAAATGGGATTTTTTGGGAAGGAGAGAGGGGCAGGACTGAGCTGTTGGTTGCTGTGGTAGCCCTGCTGCTGTCACATGATGCCATCGGGTTCTATTCAGCCCCAGCTGCTGCACCAGTTCCAGATGGGCACAACAACCAGCCAGCCTCCCATCCTGTCCTCTGCGTGCAGCAGGACTGGGACTGCTGTAGTGGTTCCACTGCTATGTAAAAACCCTCTGGGGCAGCCTTTCTCAACCTGTGGGTCCCCAGATGTTGTTGAACTACAACTCCCATCACCCCTAGCTAGCAAGGCCAGAGCTCAGGGATGATGGGAGTTGTAGTCCAACAACATCTGGGAACCCACAGGTGGAGAACCGTTGCTCTCTAGGGTGGGTGGGTGTTGTTCCCTAATCTGGGACCCTGACGTTTAATGTGTTCAAAATGATTGAAGATCCTGAAATCCTGCTCCATAAAGTGTCTGCTTCGAAGGGGATTCCTCATTGACTTTGTTATTGGAGACAGATCCATCATGGATGCAGGAGCAACCTTTAATAATGAAGTTAGTGGAGAAGTCTTCTGGCACAGGAGCAGCATATTCACACTGGATTGCAAATGAAGCTTTGACTGGAAAAGGCTTTTGCGGTGCTTGTGAAGCTGTTGATTACATACTAGAGACAAGGCTAAATGGGCCCAAGTTCCATTTAACTTATTATGACTTGAGCACGCCTCATTGTTCTGGATTGTTCTCATTACTTTCACTGTGGAAGCCTGTTTTATAGGCCTCAGCTATGTATGCTCGTACTTTTTCTGGCTTTCCCCCCTTTTACATAGTGTGCTGAAGACCAGGAAACACGTGAGCTCGTTAGGCAGCATGGAGGCCTCAAACCTCTTGCTACATTGCTTGGTAATTCTGGAAACAAAGAACTTCTGGCAGCAGTGACCGGAGCAATCTGGAAATGTGCAATCAGCAAAGAAAACGTGACAAAGTATGGATAACATTTTCACATTGTCAGCTATATATATTTAGCATCTTTTCATGTAGAGACAAAGCAAACATCCAAGGAAGAGAGATTTAACAGCTCTATGCATGATTAAAAGTCACCTTTTAGATGTTGCAAATGTGCATTTGTGTTCAGAGGTGGACCCTACTGTCTTGCGCCCTTGGCAAAAGGCTGTATTGGCACCCCCCCAAAAAAAAACCCTTGCACCCTTGGCAAGGTGTAGCAGCACCTCCAAAGCTGGGAGAGACCATAGACAAGAAACTCAAAAATATTGCTTTTAGTTGCCTTTCATGCTCTGCCAGTGACTTCCTCTGCTCTGCTCCACCTGCTCCACCTCCGCTTTCATTGGTCTGCCTGCCTGCCTTTCTGCTTGCTTCTTTTCCTTCTGTCTCCTTCCTCCATCCCTTCCTTCATTCTCCCCCTGCCAGCCAGTGTGGTGTAGTGGTTAAGAGCAGTAGATTTGTAATCTGGGGAACCGGGTTCGCATCTCCGCTCCTCCACATGCAGCTGCTGGGTGACCTTGGGCCAGTCACACTTCTCTGAAGTCTCTCAGCCCCACTCACCTCACAGAGTGTTTGTTGTGGGGGAGGAAGGGAAAGGAGAATGTTAGCCGCTTTGAGACTCCTTCGGGTAGTGAGACTCCTTCGGGTAGTGATAAAGCGGGATATCAAATCCAAACTCTTCTTCTCTGCCTTTCTTCCCTCCAAACCCCTCTGCGTGCTCCACTCACCACCAGCCAACTAGGGAGGGTTCTTTCAGTGACCAAATGCCTCCACCAAGGTGCCCAGGGGAGCCTGCATGCCTTGCCTGGCTGCGCAGAGCAGCAGAGGAGCTATCCTATTATGTTAAGAGGTGCTGCTAGCTCTCATGAATATAGACATGTATTTTAAAGAATTGTGACAGCGATTTTTGTATTTTATTTAAGGATATTTTAAGCATCCTCTTTTGGTCTCATGGCAGGGTACAAGAGCAAGTAAAAAAAAAAGCCAACCCATCCTGAAAATTGCCATCCTAGAGAGGCCACCCATGGAGCCACACAGCCACTCATTACTATTTATTAAATTTGTATATTGCCCTGTACCCACAGGTCCTTAATTGCAGCAGCGCACTAATAATGCTCACTAAAATGACAGCTGCCAGTTCTAGAGAGAGAGAGGTTTCCATATTTGTCGTGCCACCATACAGCATACCCTATCCCATGTACCTCCCCTGGAGATGGGAGAACCTTCTGCTATATCTGTATTATATATAATTCAACTTCAAATCTCTTTAAGAACTAATTAAAGGATTGTGAGAACTACAGTGGTGCCTCGCAAGATGAAATTAATCCGTTCCGCGAGTGTCTTTGTCTAGCGGTTTTTTCATCTTGCGAAGCAACCCTATTAGCGGCTTAGCGGATTAGCGCTATTAGCAGTTTAGCGGCTATTAAAGGCTTAGCGGCTTAGCGGCTTAGCTGCTAAAAGGCTATTAGCAGCTTAGCGGCTTAGAAAAAGGGGGGGGGGAGCAAAAAAAAATCTCAAGACTCGCAAGACATTTTCATCTTGCGAAGCAAGCCCATAGGGAAATTCGTCCTGCGAAGCAACTCAAAAACGGAAAACCCTTTCGTCTAGCGGGTTTTCCGTCTTGCAAGGCATTTGTCTTGCGGGGCACCATTGTATAGAAAAGGCTAAGGAATTTCTACTGGAGTTTTCAACACCTTCCTCAAACTCAATAGTTCCCTGTGGTTTTAAAGTTAACAATTACAGCTAAACTGATTTCGAATTACCGTACTGACCTGAATATAAGCCTCACTTTCCTCCCCAAATTCCAACTGTGAAAAGTTAAAGTGCGGCTTAAATTCGTGACCTTACAAAAATAGGCTTTTACGATCCTGCTGCTGAAACAGACATACGGTAAAACAGAACAGGTGTGAGTTCCTGTGGAATTTTAAGGAAGCAGCTTATATTTGGGTATTGTCTTTTTTTCCTTGCCCCCCCCCCTGAATTTTAAAGGTGTGGCTTATATTCAGACCAATACGGTACTTTAAACGTGTAGTGCAGATATGCCCTTAAAGCCTAATACATGCACAATGTAACACCAATGCTTTTTAAAGAGTTCCTGAAATATTGTGCCCAATTTGTGATTTTGGAAGGATTAGCTCCATAAATGTTTTCAGGATATATCGTTCTGGTGAAGTTAACGCTGATTCTTTACTTTATTTTGTTTTAGATTCCGGGAGTACAAAGCTATAGAAACTTTGGTTGGCCTACTAACAGATCAGCCAGAAGAAGTCCTTGTGAATGTTGTTGGAGCACTGGGTGAATGTTGCCAAGAACAAGCAAATCGGAGCATTATCCGCAGATGTGGTGGAATCCCATCCCTTGTCGCTTTACTCACTGGAACCAATCAGGCTCTCCTCGTAAATGTCAACAAAGCAGTGGGATCCTGTGCAACAGAACCTGAAAATATGATGTAAGTAGTAGTGGTGGTGGTAGTTGTAGTGGTAGTTGTTGTTGTTCATTAAATTTATATACCACCATTCATCTGAAGATCTCAGGGCGGTTCCCAAGATAAGAACACAAAAGCACAAAAAAACCCCCACAAAAATAAATGGTTAAAACAAAATGAAGCAATAACTCCACAAACACATCTAAAAGACAGTAGAATATTAATCATCCAGAAGCCTGGTTGAAGAGGATTGTTTTTGCCTGGAGCCTAAAGATGTACAGTGGTACCTTGGGTTAAGTACTTAATTCGTTCCGGAGGTCCGTGCTTAACCTGAAACTGTTCTTAACCTGAAGCACCACTTTAGCTAATGGTGCCTCCTGCTGCTGCTGCGCCGCCGGAGCACAATGTCTGTTCTCATCCTGAAGCAAAGTTCTTAACCTGAAGCACTATATCTGGGTTAGCGGAGTCTGTAACCTGAAGCGTATGTAACCAGAAGCGTATGTAACCCGAGGTACCATTGTATAATGAAGGCACCAAACAAGGAAAGGTTCCTCGTTTTTTTTATAAACAAAATGTTGCTCATATATTGGAACAGAGGCATCGAGTTGTGCCCAACATTGGGCAGGGGGCGTGTGTGTGTGTGTGTGTGTGTGTGTGTGTGTGATATGTCACGTCATCACAACATCATGCGACTGTCACAGACACCATGCAGCATCTCCCAAGGCGGCTGAGCACAGCGGACAAAAAGGGAGGAGGGAGATGGGCGGGCAAGGAAGGACTCAGCCTCTTCTGCCCCCTCAAGATTGGAGGGCCTCAGCCCCAGCCCAGCAGACTTAGGGGGACTGAAGATGCCTCAGCCCTATAGAGCTGTCATCTATGCAATGGAATATCCTGGTTTATCATATTTATTACAGAATTAAAATATTTGGCTGTGAATGAGGCTCCAGTGGTTCAACAATATAGATTCTTTTTTTGTGAAGTCAGTGATGGACATGAAATATACTTACAAATATTACAAGCATAGAAGATGTAATGTAGTATTTGTAATATTTGGCCCAAAACCAAACAACTTCTTTAGCTTAACCCAGTGGAATAAAAAAAATGTTGTTGTTTAAATGGAACTCCTAGGTGTCATATTACAAACTGCTTTGTAAACTCCCAGTGGAAGAAAGGAGACAGCAGCTGTTCAGAGCTGTGAGCCACATTTGATGAATCTTTGGGTCTTTGGCCCCTGTGTCCAAACATACAGTAATGTAAACATGGAAGCCAGATTATGTAGAGAGAGGTTCTTTTATTGGGAAAGTAATTTTGCTGAGCTTCGATAGTCCACTTTGTAAATCAGAAGAATTCACTTGCATTCTAATATTATTTTATATATACACCTACATACACCCACATTGTACAAAGATATGCAGGAGAACTAAATAATAATAGTATCTAATATTAATATAAATATCAGTACCTTCCAAGGTTTGGAAAATTCAAGCCCGATAAGCCTACAAAGCTACCTTATAGTGACTCAGACCACTGGTCCATTTAGTGTAGTACAGCCTTCTTCAGAAAGCAGCAGCTTTCCAAAGTCCATTTCACCTGAAGATGCCAGAATTTACTGCCTCCAGGCCATATGCTCTACCACCAAGCTGTGGCCTCTGCCCAGGTAATATCTGAATCCTAGCCACCTAAAACTGGACTATAAATTTCTGTTTTGAGGTGCTTTTGGGTGAAGTATGTTTGCCAACTTTTCTGCACATCTAGGCTTGAAAAAATAATTTGCATACTTGGAGCTCTAAGAGTGCTTTCCTGAAGTGCTATTTAAACTGAATATTTCAGTAGCTGTACATGGAAACTAAACAAATACCAAACTAATTTTTCTTCCCCCACCCCCCTGCATTGCACACTATGATCGTGAACTGAAGAGGGCTGGTGTTTTATAAAGAGAACTGTTGATATTTGACTTGCATAATGTAAAGCTTGTACAGTTTGAGGCTCCAGCATTAAAATTTCATGAGAAATGTTCCAGTAAAATGTTCAGGTCAGCTTTTGCTTTTACTCTATATGAGGAAAGTCACAGTTCTCTGCTTATATATCAACAAGGTTGCAAGGAGATAGCTATCTTCTGCTCCTCCTGTTCTGTTTTGCCTAAATCACTTGATATTCACGGAGCGGTGCAGTGATTCTGATTGCCTGAATGGGGCATTTGTTTCCATGCTTTGGCTGTCACCCAGTGGCAAGATAGTGCAGAAGTGTAAACATGCCATATGTACATGAACAGGGCTAGTCAAGTGGTAGAAAGGGGTGCATAGATTGAATCACTTGCACATCGTGTCTCACAAAGAATTGTAGATGATCGTAGATTATTATTTTTTTAATTAACCTAATAGAGGCAGTGCCATAAATCAGCAAATAAATCCAAACAACCAATCGGCAGAAGCAAAACCCCAGGACTGCTTTGCTGCTTAGAGCCTATTGCTCTTCTGTCCATTATGGACAGCTTCATGCTGAAATGCAGTCAACGAAAGAACCCAAATCAACCCAAATTGATGCCTAAAATTGTGGTCTTTCAAAGCTCAGCCTGTTTAAGAGAGAGAAAATGCTGATAGTTTAAGCAAAAATAAAAATTGGGCCATTTTCCTCTAACTGAATTATGGTTCTGATCTCTCTTCTTTTCACTACAGGAAGCATTCACTGTATTAGCTTGCAGTCCTGAGCCAGAATTTGCTCTTTTCAATAAAATGCAGGTGCTATGTATTAGAAGATTTAGTTTATGATCAAGAAAATGAATTTCTGAGGAAGAAAAACCAGAAGATTCTATCCCTTTTTTCAGTGGCTTAAAAGGTGTCCCATTTTTAACATAAACAGGAAGAAAGGTTGCTCAGCCCCAGTATTAACTATGATGCATTAGAAAACATTAAGGATTTTCAAAAGGTGTTAACATGTGCACTAATGTTGATCTCGTTATCTACAGATGTCTTATTTGTAGATACTGGTAACTATAAAACTGAGGGCAATAAAGTCATGTTTCACATTTCAAAGTTCAAATTAAATGGTTGTGCCTCCAAACCTTGCTGTATATTCCCTCCCCAATAACACACAAGTGGAAAGGGGGAATTAATAAGAAAAAGCAGTGCAGACAAGATAAGGAAGATAAAACAGGCTCAGTGAGCAGACAGTCTGCAGCATTCTGTAAGGATTTACCCAGTTTTTGGAATGCAGTAAACTGGAGTGGAGTAAATTTTCTCTTGTGTCAGTTGACTCAGTCATGTGTTTTCAGTATAGTAACAGCCTGTGTCCTCTGATGCCCAAAGTTTCAGTGCAAATAGCAACGGTGAAGTGTGTCACACAGATCACTCCGATTTTACTAAATCATGCTATATAGGCCATCCACAGGGCAATGAAACTAGTTCTGTCATAAATAGTTCTTTGTAGATTAACTTGAATCTGTTCTTGGAAAATTGTTTCCAACTGTAGTTGTGTTAGTGATGTTAGTGATCCTTTACAGTCGTCTTTAATTCTATCGTCCATTTACATTTTTTGTTAGGTTTTATATTGCCTTTTATTCAACATCAAACCTAACTATTGGTGTTATGATTTTGAATCTTATGCACTAAAATGAAAGACCTTTTCTAACCAGCTTGAGCCCCTGATTTACCATACTATTTATCAAAGCCATTTGTAACCATTTTTTTTTTGTTTTGTTTTATGTTTAAAAGAGTTGCATTGTGGTTTTCAAAAAGATGAGATTGTGCTTTGTAAGACTTGGAACCTGTAATCTTACCAAGGAGCACTATATACCATGTGTATGTATGTGTATATATATATATATATATATATAGTCAGTATAACACTGTTTACATTTGTGTATGTGGTCTCAGTTGGCAGCAGATGCAGTCAGACTTCTCAAGAGCCCTGGCATAGAATGGCGTAACAAAAAAGAATGATAGATATAAGAAACAGATGTTGAGGGTGTGTGCATGTGTCTTTGAGTAAGTCTGGGGCTTGTTTATCCTGGAAATATTCAATATCAAATTATTAGAGCACAGAAATGGCTTGCTGTAGAATAAGATTGTTAACATGTAGAAAGAGAGACTTCATTTAGAACTGCTCTCTTGGCAGTAGAACTGATTTAACCCTGGCAATTCAGGAGATCTTCAAATGGCTTTTTGGTTAAACAAGCAACTGCCCAAACAATAATCAAGGTCTAGCCAATATATTCCAATATAAATTACACAAGCAATCAATTCTGCTGTGTAGCCAAGATTGGCTTATGTACAGCAGTATTTTAAGAAACCATTAGACGTGCTGTGTTGAATCATATCCTGTCAGGGGCGTTTGGATGAGCCTCAGCCACAGCTAGTCTGCAAAACACAGCAGAAGGCAAAGTCAAATGGAATAATGTCCCCAGGACCTCTAGGTAAACATGTGGTGCCGGAAGACTCCTGAGGAGAATTGTGATCAGAATAGATGCAGCTCTTAAGAAATACAAATGGCAGATAAGGAGGTCAGATGAGTCAGATAGACAAATAGATCAGAAGCTGACAAACAGCTTGAACAGGATTCCAGGAAGCAGGCAGGCAGGTAGAGAAACTCCCCCCCACCCCATAAAAATCACCCCATCCCTATTAAATATATTACATCAAATATTTGTTTGTTCAAGATGTTAACTCCTGCCTAACCAGGTGGACATGATATATGTCTCCATCTTGGAGACTCAAACCAACAGCCCCACAGAAGTAGCAGCTTGGACATGTGATGCAAACTCTTCCTATGTTTCCCAAGAGTCTTGCTAAGTAGTCCAAGTTATCAACTATAGTAACAACAGCCAGTCAAGTTGATCAGCAGGAAGCAAATCCTTACTCATAAGCTTGGCAGCCAACACCCAACCACCCCTAAGGCTTCTCAGAGCCTAGTGAGAGAAGCTTTCATGAGACCCACCTTCATGTGGACCCAGTGAGTTGGTTGCCCTTTTCTAATATCCCCTGTGAAGCACGGCCTCAAGCAACTTCATTTAATTACAGCCTTCTTAACAGACAGTTCTCCGGATGCCATAGAAGTGGAAGCCTCCTGCCACTGGAGAGAAGATGTCTAGGCTGAAGCAATTTCACCAGAAGCTGTGGAGAGAGCCTCTCGGTCTGTATTGGTCCAAACTTGTTCCTGCCAAAAATGAAGGCAAGAAGCATTCTACCTCAAAACAATTCCTCCCATCTCTCTTTTCCTATGTTTACTATAGCAGGAGAAGTAAAACTGGCATTCTTCTAAGGTTGAAGAGCAGTTCCAGAATTCAGCAGCTCTCTGGGAAGAAGCTTTCTTCCTTCTCTCAAAGCACCCCCCCTCCAATACCAGCAAAAGAAACCTTTCAGAGTTTGCAGAGATCTGGAGCAAAAGAGATGTGGACATAATTGAGCAATGATTACTGAATGGTGGCATAACAAAGCATATTTTTCACATGATCCAAAATACTTATTTGAAATTATGTAAGACATACCAAATTATGAATGTTACGCTTTCAGTTTATCCTTTTTTTGTTAATTTGCTTTGCAAATATATGTGATTTTTGTTAAACTGAATCAAAATTTAAAAATAAAGCGAGAATGAGAGACAGAGGTGCACGCATGAGCTCTGCAAATGAAGACAGAATGCTAATCCCCAGAATTATCTTGTATCTCCTTGGATTGGCTTCTCCTTTCCGTCAAGCAAACCAAAGAAACAATGAAGAATCAAAAAAGCTCTCCAATATCTCATTCATGTTAAGGCCACAGAACCAGTTCCAAGTTGGAAGCTCTTCCTAGGAGTGTGTTTTGTTTTTGTGCATTTACTTTTATAAGGCTTCTTTTTTCATTTTACGGCTAATTGACATAGCCCTGGAGACAAGAAGGCACAGAAGAAGAAGAAGAAGAAGAAGAAGAAGAAGAATTTGGATTTGATATCCCGCTTTATCACTACCCTAAGGAGTCTCAAAGTGGCTAACAATCTTCTTTTCCCTTCCTCCCCCACAACAAACACTCTGTGAGGTGAGTGGGGCTGAGAGACTTCAGAGAAGTGTGGCTGGCCCAAGGTCACCCAGCAGCTGCATGTGGAAGAGCGGGGACGCAAACCTGGTTCATCTTTCAGCACCATTGCAAGGGAATGCTTTGTCCCCTGAGCTTGTACTGCTATGAGTTAGTGTGACAGTGTGTGATGCCTTTGTTGCAGGATCAAGCAGTCTAGTGCATGGGGGTCTGGAGCTATCAAGGCTGACCAAGTATAGATAGACTAGTTCAGATAATGGAGGCAGAAAATGTGTGCAGAAAGGAAGACAAGTTCAAGGCAGTATAACGTTACAGCAGCCATGGAAATGGTGTTAAACTGGTATTTTGAAGGCTAGCAGAGTGCCCCAGGTGGTGTTTCAAAAGATAATGCTCTTGAATCCACAGTAAAGCATGGATTCATTGGGTGGTCTTGATCCTTTTACTATGATTTGTCAAGCTACATTTTCTAACTGTTAATCTGTGATTTCTAATGGCCAGCCACTCGGGGATTGATATGAGAAGCAGTAAGAAGCACTCTGCATACTTTTTAAGTGTTCTACAGATGATGATAAAATACTGGTTCTAGATACACAATGGTACCTTGGTTTTCGAACGTAATCTGTTCTGGAAGACCATTCGAGTTCTGAAACATTTGAAAACCGAAAACTCAGACCGGAAGCCTCAAAACAGAAAACTCAGTATGGAAGCCACATTTCCTGTTCGACACATGAATGAAGACACATGCTTTGGGGTTAATGGGCCACAGCTTTATAAATATCAGATCTTCAACAGGCAGAAAACAGCACGTTAGAAGAGCAGGTGATGGAAATCTAGCCAACTAGTAGAAACTGCCAACTGGCTACGTGGAGGCAGATGTACCTGGTATAGGCCAAGAAGCAGGCAGTTCTGAGAAGACAGACTGACAGGTGAAGAGGGGGTGGCAGCACCTATTATAGTGGGTGGAGCCTCCTCCCAACCTGATGCCCCAAACATTTGTGCACTGGTGTTTTCTCTCTGCATAGGAATCTCCATTCCACAGTCATATGAGGAGGAGAAATCCACCCCTTGCTAAACATGTCAGAGGGCAGTGGTGGACTTTGGGCTCTCAAATTTCAGTAATGCCCTGTATAATGCTGAAATTTAGCACTCCTCTTGCGATCTGTTCTACAGCATTGTTGTGGTGCAACTGCACTGGTTGTGGTACCCTAAAACCGCCTCTGCAGAGAAGGATTAGCATAACCCTTTTATATGTTCTTGTGTGTACTGTATTGTCATCTTATCACCGCTTTGTGGTCTAAACTTGGATTTCCTCTGTGTTTTTTGAAGTTGCTGTTCTTTGTACTGGCCATGTAAATCGGCCTGCCTTGTTTTAACATTTCACATTGTCCTTGCTCCTCTCCAAAATACCTGGATGCTGGAAGCAAAATTATATAACCAGGTTGCATCAATTTAAATAAAGCTGTACTTACTTTAGACAGAGAGTTCGTGTCCTAAATCATTCTGTCTGAATCAAAATAATTGTATGATTACGTACTTGCCTGATTTTCTACTTACTTTTCATTCCTGGCAAACTCATTTTACATAATGAACAGAAATTAGATGTTCTTGCTTGATTTTTTTACATGGGTAAAAATCTGTATTTTATTTTATTTCCAAAATAATGTATTCACAATTAAAGATGTGGACAAACTGTGTAGAATTAAACATTTGAGGTTATAAATCAAAGTATGCCTGATTGTCTTTATCTTCACTTCATCTGCTTTGAGTTTTACATATCTTCCTGAACAAAGCCATGTTTGTAAAGGATATTAAGTTTTGTTTGGTCTTCCTCTTCGTTTTAAAGTACTCAGTGGACTTTAATATGAAGTTATGATCCCCTAGACTGATTGATATATAAACATAAGACAGATGGTTTAAAGATGACTCTGATGATAATTCATTTTTCAGCTAGACATGAAGATACTTTGATTACAGTATGTTTAAGCAATTATAACACGGTATTCAGTGTTAGTCTCGTCGGTAGGGAGCACATAGGAAACAAGTTGCACGTTATTCATGCCCAACAAAGGGTGCACTGTGGTGTGACCCATTTTAATTCCAAATGTTAGGTTAGCAACATAGAAATTTAAAATATGTCATACAGCAAGGTAAATAAATTAAACATAGACTCAATATAGAGTTAAGTACATAGTTTTTTGGCATAAATATTTGTTTTGGAAAGTATTTGTTGCTATATGAAAGAAACTAGTATGTTTGAATTTTGGTTCGACTTTGCATGCAGCTTGTTAAAAAAGTCACGTGGCTCATTTTTAAAGTTTACAAGGGTCCTAGCTATATAATGCCGTTTATTTTATTTTATACTTTCTAGAAAAGAATTTTAAGGTAAAGTGCTGGGGGCGGGGTGGGGGAATGTAGAGGATTCATTGAAAAAGTGTATCTCGTTCAAAGCCACATTTCTACAGATACGCTTTATAAACGATGTTGGGATGTTTCAATGATAAAACATGGGTTTACACATGGGTCTTGCGCAATAACCATCTAATAAATAGAATGTTAAGTATTATTTCAGTTGATATCTTCAATGCCTCTCTTTACTAGGATAATTGATCGTTTGGATGGTGTTCGTTTGTTATGGTCTTTGCTGAAAAACCCTCATCCAGATGTTCAGGCGAGTGCAGCCTGGGCTATTTGTCCTTGCATTGAAAATGCAAAGGTGAGAAAATATTTTCTAAGTATTTTACTAAGTTGATAATTAGTAGGAATCGGTGGGATGGCTGCTGATGGTACAAAGCCACTGACAGTTCCCTCAAATAAGGGAAAGCAATGATCTTTCCCTATGCATTTTACAGGGGGGAAGGGAATCTAGCAGGGTACAATTGGATCCTGAACGCCTTGCGAATTGACACTTTGGCTCCCGAATGCCACTAACCCAGAAGTGAGTGTTCCGGTTTGCGAACGTTCTTTGGAACCCGAATGTCTGACAGGGCTTCTGTGGCTTCTGATTGGCTACCAGGAGCTTCCTGCAGCCAATCAGAAGCCGTGCTTTGGTTTCTGAATGTTTTGGAAGTTGAACAGACTTCTGGAACGGATTCCGTTCAACTTCCGAGGTACCGCTGTATCTAGAAACAAGCCCAGAAAAGAACAAGACCTGGAAAGTTTATGTGTATACACACACACACCATCAGCGGCTGAAACTAAGATCAAAGAGATAGAGCTTCTCCATCTTTGGCTGCAGAGAATATAATCTATCTGATTTCGATGCTGCCCATCTGGTGATACTTCATCTTTTTGAAATACCATCTCCTAGCTCCTGTAAGAGCCCCCGTTATTTTAAAAGCCACTGCTTTCTGAAACTCTAGAATCCTTCCATTGCCTATCAAAATTTTAGCCATGGTAAGCAAGGTAGCCCAAAGTTTACGCTGCTAAAATGAGGTTTTCTCAAAACATATATTAAAGCTACAGATTATTACCATATTGATCTTAATTCCACGTTGTTACTAAATTGCTTTGATAGCAAACTTCCAACAACATTGGATTACATTACATACACTATTGTAAATTGCAGCATATCAAGACTTGCCTACAGCCCTTCCCACATTTTGGATCAGAGATGTTATTCAATTTGTATAACCTAGCTAGCATAATATGCCAGCAACTCAAAACTTTGCATTAAGCTTCTCTCATACCAGGAGAAGCGATAACCACCCAATACCCAAATATGCCATTACCTCTCCTCCAAGAGACAAGTATATCATCCCCAAGCAAGAGCAATGTTTAAAAAATTCACACCAAACATATAGTTCAGTAAAAAGGGTGGTAGTATTGAACTATAGATGCAAAAAGCTGTGATTATCAATTGCAAAATAGGCTCTCAGACTATGAAATGCAGGGTTTAGATGTACTGATAAAGAAAGGGGGAAACTGAAGCTCTTCTTTACACTTCGTAATTTAACTGGGATTGAAACAAAACATGATTCTATGAAAACAAGAATAGCCTATAAATTCTGGTTTTCATCCAAATTCTAAACAATGCAGCAGATCAGAGGTGCTAAACCACTGGAGTAAGGGGAGAGCAAGCTGAGACATTCTATTCTTTCCTCTTACACTAGGTAGTCAAAATGCTTTTGATCCATATGGGAGAATGTGTTGCCTCTGGTAGGCTATATTTACGATTTTGTAGGACACTATCAAATGGATAATCCCCAAAACCTTGAATGCACAGGGCTGCAGGATTAAACAGAAAGCAAGGATGTTGCAGGAAGGAGTTGAAAATTACTGAATACTAAAACTAAGGCAGATAGTTTAGTTTTATGCTATGGTACAGGTCACAAAAGTGGTTCCCTGTATGGGGAAGTCTTCCCTCCCTTCCTCCATTACAAGCAGAAGTCCTGATATACCTGAGCTGCTTATATTGGTGCATAGAGGGAGGGAGGGTTGTGTTAGCCCAGTAGAGCATTTCTGTGTATTATGGCAAGCAGTGTTACTTTGCTTGGTGGTGACTAATGTTATTTTGTAGTGGTAGGGTATATATATAAAATTGAAACATTTATTTTAATATGTTTTATTAAAGAGAGAGAGAGAAGAGCGGCCAAGCAGGCAACAGAATCACCATAACAGAAGTAGATTTAGATTAATTAGCTGGTTAATTCAATAGCTACAAACCATAACGGTAGAAGTAATTGCTGTGACAGAGTGGAAGTGCATTAGCCAATCAAAGCAAATAATTATGAAGAATTGCAGTGAAAAGTGTTCTGAGCTCTGTTGATATTGGAAAGTCATTTTGTAGTCAAGATACTCCTTTATTCCCTATGCTGAATAATGTAAACATAAGAAACATTCAGAAATTACAAAGTTTTCCTTGTTTCAAGCATGGTTGCTCTGTTGATCCTAAACAAAGACAGATAGGATAAAAAAATGATTTAGACACTTTTAATTGTGGGTAATGGCCTCTTGAGCCAACCTCAACTTCTACATGCAAAAACTTTTCTTCATATTACCATTATTATTTTCCGTATTTCAGTGAGAAAGTTAGTTTGATTTCCCCCTTAATTTTGAGTACTTTTCTTACAAAATAATGGAAAAAAATGTTTCTGAGGCTATGCTTGTTTATTGCTATGTTTCTCCCAGTCCATTCATATTTCAGCACATAAAACTGTGAATAAAATAGGAGTGGGAAGAGTTCTGTACTGTGCTCTGAGCACACACAGGAGACAGAGAATGTGCTACTTGAAGGCATTTAACCATGCAGCATCTCTATATAGCATGAATGATGCCATTGGCCTTGCCGGGGGGGGGGGGGTTTTGCCAGAGTGCCAGCCAATCAGGAGTGCCTGTTTTCCCTAGTGTGCGTCTCTGAGTGACACTCTGCTCAGTTCCCCAGTAGTCTGCAGCAAGGGATTAGCCCAGGGGTCAGCAAACTTTTTCAGCAGGGGGCCGGTCCACTGTCCCTCAGACCTTGGGGGGGCCAGACTATTTTTTGGGGGGGGGGAATTAACAAATTCCTAGGCCCCACAAATAACCCAGAGATACATTTTAAATAAAAGCACACATTCTACTCATGTAAAAACATACTGATTCCTGGACTGTCCGCAGACCGGATTTAGAAGGCGATTGGGCAGATCTGGCCCTTGGGCCTTAATTTGCCTACCCATGAGTTAGCCAGTTACCTTTGCAAAGCCCTTTAAGGGTGCTTCAGTGTGTCCCCACAGCCAGCAAAGCCAAGAAGGCATGCTTTCCTTCTTCATGTTGCAAAACCTCAGGGACCAGTAGGTTAATTTGGCTGAATGAGATAGCAGTACTGATTTGATAAATTTGGAAGGTGCACTGAGTTGGTTTAGCAATCTGAGGCATCTTTATGGCAAGAGGATCTTTACATATAGGGGCCACTAAACCTCATTATGGAGCTTGACCACTCATGAAGGAGTCACCTAATATGGCAGAAAACACTTCTGGCCCACCAGGCTCCTGTCTATAGGACTGTGTGCCCCGCTCCCCGCAGGAATCAAAGTTGGCCATCCTTATATAGTTATTTGCCAAGACGTTTGCCTCATGTGTTTATCTCTTACGTTATGCCATTAGTTTTCCTTTCTCATATAATGATACTTTATGAAATGCAAAAGAGGCAAAGTGAACCTTCTCCTCCTTCCTGCCCTCCGGTAAAGTCGGGTGTGCTGCAAAATGGCAAACCATGGAACGGGACAGGGACAGGTCTCCAGAAGGAAATGGAGTCCACAGAGGACTCTTGGTAACTCAAGTTTATTTGCTCAACCACACCATCACATTTTTGGGCAAAAGTAGCCAGAGTTGATAAATTGGCTTTGACATCTTAAGCTTTCTAAGATATTCTAAAAGGAAAATACTACTGTGTTGTTTTTTTATTGGGAAGCTTTTATCTATGAGGGTAGAATATTTATAAACACGGTGCCTTTTCAAAGCAGCATTTAGTTTACAGTACTTCAAACTCAGAAGAGAGTCTCGTTCCGAGAACTGAAAGAGGTCTCAAACTTCAGTATTTTGGCAGACCAATATATATGTCAAGGAATGTTGATATTAAAATCAACAAGCGATGATGATCTGGTCCTGCAAATCACATGGTCCACAGCACCCCAAAGATTCCAGTGGATAGGGCTCACTCAAAAACTGACTTTTGATGTGACCTTGGGGAAGCTTGTTTATTCTTCAGTGTTGCTCTTGTACACATCTGTAATGAGGGGTCTTTTCCCCAGCCTAGACTGTGAAGGGGTGCGGGGAGAAACCTGATTTAGGATTATTATGAGAATAGTTCTGAGAAATGAAGAAATGTAATATGTAACTGAGGGACCTCTCCACAAATATACTCTGCGGTTATTCATGAGGTTACAGTGACTAGAGAAATTGCTGCCATCATCATGGGATAAGAATAGATGCTGAATATACAGGGGTCCCTTTACCTTTACTTATACCATATTTATTCTCCTATAGTACATTCACATTTTACATTTCTCTGTAGGAGGGCATGTCTGATGTAGGCTGCTCAATATTCACATAAATCCTGACACAACACAGACAACATCTCAGGATTCACGTTACTTTACAATGCAGCTCATATTGATTAGTTGTGGTTTGGATTTGTACAGTGAAAGGTGCATAGGAACACTTTTGGTATTCAACCAACCATCAGGTTTAGACCACTGCAGGCTGTGCTTGGATTAAGTCCTTAATCATGGTAACAACAGGTCCATTGAAATCAACGTGATTTAGCTTTAAATCCTAGCTTTAATTTCCGTTGTCTACTCTCAGCATGACTAAGCCTGGAAACAACCCATAATGGACAATCACATTTGGAAACTGAGAGAAAGAACGGGCAGTGAAATTAGCTCTAAAATGGAAAAACAAGAGCAAAAGCAACTTGCGTTTTCGTAGAACCATTGTTTACATTAAATGGAGATTTAGCCAATTAAGTAAATTGTTTTGTTTTGTTATTCACTCAGGATGCTGGTGAAATGGTTCGTTCCTTTGTTGGTGGCTTAGAGCTGATAGTCAACTTATTAAAATCAGAGAATAAAGAAGTTCTGGCAAGTGTGTGTGCTGCTATAACCAACATAGCAAAAGATCAAGAGAATTTAGCTGTTATAACAGATCATGGTGTTGTCCCTTTGTTGTCCAAACTAGCAAATACAGTAAGTAATGCATTTTTTGTAATATGTTTTAACAATTGCTAGCTTACTGAAACCTGCTGCATGATGGCATCCTAAGTGTGGCTGCTGAAAGTACTCACTTTATCACAGAATTGGGGGGGGGGGGAGGGAAACAAAGTGCATTGGGGAAAAACTAGGATATTCTGTTAAAAGTGAAAACTTTGAGAGGGCCAGAATTAAAGCCTTTGGTATGGGCTTTACTGTGAAGCAGCTGAGAAGACCAGGACCTTACGTCTTTAAACTACAAAGAAACACAGGATGACCTAGAGACTAGGCAGAGAAATGCAATTTCTTTATGCGTTGCATTTTGTTCTTGAAATGATTTATTTACCTAGCCTTCATTTTATTTTTTAAAATGATACTTCCTTGTTTACTCACTTTAATACATGGTTTAAAAATCAGTTTCTAAGGCTCATGTGCACAGAACACTTAACCACAGTTTAGCACTATGTGGATAAGCCTCAGTGAGCCTTAGCTAAGCATTTGGCTCACACACTGCCCCTTTCACTCTCATCCTCCTGCAAAACCAAGAGGAGGACTTTTGCCAAGTTTACTTCCATTTTCAAAAAAATATATTGGTTTAGCAATATTTGTGAACCAGGATTAAAACAAACTATGGGTAGTGAAGCCAGCTTCATAACCCATGAAGTTGGCTTGTTGAGCAACTAACCGTTCTCAAATTTATACAAGAATTCCTGGTTTACATGTAGTATAAAGCATATATGATTCGAAACTAGAAGTAAACTTGACTAAAGTCCTGACTGTGAGGGAGGAGGAGAAAGGGTGTGACTGAGCCTGATGCTTTGCTTGGATTTGCTGGGGCTTGTCTATTGAGCCCTTAACAAGGGGTAGCCAATATGGTGATTTCCGTCATGTCGGCTACGCCTATGCTAATTCATGGTTTGTAGCTTATGTATAAGTAGCCCATGGTGTACACACCAGCCTGCATGTGTGTGTGTATTGATACTGATTTGAAACTGAAAGAGTGCATATTCTATTAACATAACAGATCCACTATTTACCATGCTACAAGTCAGTTTAAGGAAGCTATTGCTTTAAGATAAGAAAATAGACACCTCAACAGAGCGGCCATATGGCTTTGCAAGGGAGCATGGCTTGTATTCCTTGTAAACAGTATTTTCCTGGGAGCAGAAGTTCCCATGATTGGCCCTGCCTAATCTGGTTCCACTGTGCAGATAGCTACTGCCCAGTGGCGAAGTTGCATGCTCCAGCACCGGGGGTGGAGAGTAGGCGGGGGCGTGGCTGGTGCGCATCCTAGGTGCGCATCCCAGGGGGTGTGGCAGGCATCCTGGGGGCGTGGCACATCATCCACGGGATGTGTGGTGTGTGTCCTGGGGGCGTGGCATGCCACCCGTGGGGGCATGGTATGCGTCCTGGGAGTGCAATGGGGTGCGTGGCGCGTGTCTGGGGGGGCAGCCGTGGTGGTACCACCCTCCCCAATGGTACTGGGGGCGATGCGCTCCCCCCGCCCCCCATTCCTCCGCCACATCAGATTTCATCATAGAAAGTAGCTCTCATGTAGCTGTGACAACATCTAATGGGGCCTAGCTTAAAGGGATGGAAATATCCATTGCATTTTTATTCATTCCTAACGCTGTCATATGACAGTAACCTTGATTCAAAAGTCTAGGAGTACATTTCCAGGCTAACTAAATAACGGACCTATTTTTCCTCCTTTCTTAGAACAATGACAAACTACGACGTCATTTAGCGGAGGCCATTTCTCGCTGCTGTATGTGGGGAAGTAACAGGGTCGCCTTTGGGGACACCAAAGCCGTTGCCCCTTTAGTGCGTTACCTGAAATCAAGTGACCCAGAAGTTCATCGAGCTACTGCACAAGCCCTCTATCAGCTGTCAGAGGATCCCAACAACTGCATCACAATGCATGAAAACGGGGTGGTAAAGGTAAGTGGTGGGGGAATCTCTTCCTTCCTCCCCCCCTCCATAACATGAAGAACAATAAGCCTCATGACCTAATGCCACCCTGCTATGGGTTTCTCCATCCTTGCTTCACACATCATTGTAAGTAAGTAAGTAAATTTTTATTTATACCCCACCCTCCCCAGCCAAGATTGGGCTCAGGGTGGCTAACATCAAATATCAAATACATTAAAACACAATCAAACAATTGATTAAAATACAGCTTAAAAATTAGAATCAGGATAAAATTAAACGATTGCCCACGAATTACAACTATAGAGGTCGGGAACCTCAAGTATTTGGCTGCTGCTGCTTAAGGGGGTGGGGAAATGTGGAGCACAGTAACATCCTGTCACATGCTTTTTTCCTCTCTGTGTTACGGGCAAGAGACAAGAAAAAGAGGTGGGTGTGCCATGCATCCCTCATATTATCTATCCCTGTTCTAAGTTTTCTTTAACTATACAGTAGTTTTCATCCACAGGGATATTTTTTTCTGCCCCTCTTGAGTGTCTGAATAGCTCTAGATACCATTAGACAAATGAGAAATGTAACGTTTTCTTATCTGAAAAGTTTAAAACCAAATCTCATAGCCACCCAACGTTTTTTCTTGGACGGGGGTGATGAGTAAGGTTGCAATCCTAACTTCACTTTTTGGGGGGAGTAAAACCCATTGAATTTAATAGGACATATGTCTGTGTAGACATGGTTAGGATTGGGCTGTAAGCATCTTTATCTTTCTTCAGGTAAGCAAAGTAAAAAAATTTAAATAATACATGTATTGGTAAGTCTTGTAGTAACAAATAGATAGGTAACTGCCAAAAAAATGACTAATTTATTTTAATTGCCCAATTTACTTTTAAAGCTTGCATAAAATTTGCGTTTTCCATCTTTAAAATGCTCATTTTCATTTACAATCTATGGAGTCATTATAGTACTTAATTACAAATTATTATTCTGGGAACGTAAGAAACGTATATGCAGTTCAAACACACTTCACAAATAATTATTTTGGGACTTTTATTGTTCAGAAAAATTTAAACACTGTAAAAATATTATTGCTTTGAGCTGATTTATCGCCAAAGCTTTTTGCTCTGAAGTCCTCGTTTCAAAAATTCAATGGTGGATCAAGAAAGCAGTGTTTAACAAAACTTAGAAACTAGGAAACTGCACCTAAATATATATGTTTGAAATGGAGGTAGTATCACCAACATTGATATTCCTGATCCTATTGAAAACTATCTCCAGGATATTCTGCATACTTTTCTTTCCAGTTTTCAGTAAATTTGTTGTCCTCCCCAGATTTCAGTCTTCTCATAAAATACCTGATCTTTTTTGCCATATAAGCAGAGGTAGACGAGTACAACCTAGATACCTTCACTTCACTTTTTTGAAAAGGTTGGGATACCCTGCAAAGGTTGTGATGGATGGTTGCTTCACCCTGGCATGTTCATCACTTGATGGTTTGCGTGTGTGAATGGGCCATCACAGATATACTGTACTTTTCCGTGTATAAGACTAGGTTTTTTTCTTTAAAAATTATGCTAAAAAGTGGGGGTTGTCTCATATATGGATAGTGCATAGGGTGGACGTTTGATTGGTTGCTGCCGAAGCTGTCAGCGGCTATTGGGCATGTTATTGGTGGCTGCGTCAAGGGCTGGTGTTGATTGGCTGATGCTGCGGCAATTGGGCGGGCAATTGGCAGCTTCTGCTGGTGAGGGGACAGACGAGAAGCGGATTTTGTGATGCGCGTGTGGGTGAGCGATATTTGGCAATCCCCACCCCCGAAAAAAGCTCAACAACTCTGTGCCATCTCCCCCCATTTTCTTAAATTTGAGTCCCCAAAAATATGAAAAATACAGTAATTCCATTTTCATATTAACTTGTGTCAGCTCTGAAATCCTGCCTTTCAGTGGTGAAGTCAGTTCACACATTAAGCTGCTAATCACCAAGTGTTCGGCAACCACAGCAACTCGGGCGAAGACCCATTGTCAGTCTAATCCCAGGCAAGAGATGGTAACAGCCCCTGAGATGAGCTTATCATTACCTTCTTTAGTCTCTGCTTTGGTACGTTTCTAATTTAGGAACATTTGGACAACAAATTTGGAAATTGGCACCCTTATCTTGGCATGTTCTGAATATCTTTTCGTCTTATAAAAAGAAGCCTGTCCCACCAAGCTGTAGGTTTATTGGAGCAGTTCAACAGAAGCAGAGCCCTGCAGCCCTTTTGGTGATAAATGAGCCATTTCAAATAAGTGGAGCTGTGGCCAATTTGTGCAGAAGGAATCATTAAAACGTTTTTAAATAAGACAGTTTTGAAGGTTCGGAATATATAAACAAGGTATGCTAAACCCAAATATATACTGCTCATTTTAATGGAAAAGGTTGCTGCTCTCGGCGAGTCTTCCAACTTTAAGAGGATTTGCCAAAAAGCCAAAGAATCTGGCACGGGCCGTAGATAACAGTTCCATCTTTCATCTAGGTTTCTCTTCTGTATTTATCTTGCTTGAGAGAATGCAGGGAATGTCCTTTCCTTCCGACTTGGCATCGTTTCTAAACCACAGAAATACACTGAGCAGCTTCTTGCAATTGTCTTAAGGCAAATTTCAGTTTAGGAGACTTTGTTGAAAAGTCAGGCTGGGATCCAAAGGGCCCTTTGCATGAGTGGAAAGCATTCTTCATGCGTGCACAGAGGGGTCACTGATTTTCCGTCCTATGGATCTCCTTGTGTTGCCTCTCATGCAACTCTGGAAAGTTCTATGTTCTACATAAGTGGCATTTAGTGAAGGCGGATGACAGAACCCCTGATTTGTACTTGAAATAGCTTTGAATCCTGGCTAGGGTTCCTTTAATTTGAAAAAGCTAGAAGACCTCCCGGGGGAACACTGTTTGTAAATAGTACTATCATATATATATATATATATTTAAAGTTATATGTACAGTTAATAAAATGAGTTTCTTATAACTGGCAGATACTGGGCTTAGCACACGGAGGCAGGGTGCCAGGTTATTACTTTTGGCACTGAGCAAAGCGAAAATAGTTTCCTTGCAAAAGAAACTATTCACAGAAGCTGAACATAAGAAATAACAATAAAAATGGTATTTCAGACTTCTTGACTAGCCTTTTTGGCATTCGTTGAAAATACGATACATTTCTGCCTGAAAACAGCAAGTTTAATTTTACTAACTAGATAAAATTTGTAACTATTGAACTCGCACTCCGGGGTCACCACCATCTGTGTGCATGTATGGATACCCTTTTCTAGAACTTGAGGGTCTTTTCAATTCTTGGGAGCATTTTTGCAGAGTCCAGTAGATAATGGCCACCTCAGTGATGCCATAGCAATGTATTTTTGCGTAACATACCAGGGATTGGTTATTTGTGTGCATTAATATGGAAGCAGCAGCTGTTATACCTATTTATTTTTATGGAAGTAAAACAGGTAGAGGAGGGGAGTCTCATTTTTACAGCAAGGTCTCCATTCATGTCTTTCTAGCTACGGAGGAGAGGAATGCGCTTCATTCTTTGTTCTTTCTTTGTTGGCTGGTTGCTTGGCAGGCTCCAAGCAAGTGGTGAAGCTTATATATCTATTTGTAGTCTCTAGGTCATGCAGCACCTTTAAAAAATCTTCAGTCTTGTAAAAGTTCTGAAGTCCAGCAGCTGGTGGGACAATTTAGGACTGGATAGGGCCCTAAGGGTGGAGACTGGAAAGCTTCTACTCAGATCTACTCTACAGGTGTGCAAAAATATCAAATAATGTTTTTGATCCTCTTAGGCCTGCAGAAATGTATAGAATATATTAATTTGACATTTACTTCACCCCACTTATTATGCTTCACCTGCAAGTCCTTATGGAATTGCAACTTTGCATTGATAAATGGCCAGGCATTGAAACTTCTGGATTGAGTCCCGACTCCATCTTCCTGCTTGCCTCTTCCTCCATTCAGGGCTGTCTGCTGTTTTGGGTTTTATTTGCAAACTGCTGGGATATTGTTATTATTATCGTCATCATCATCATTATCAGCAGTCACATTAACAGAAATAGCAACAGCAACAGCAGCAGCAGCAGCAGCAGCGATGGTGATGATAGAGCAAGATAAATGAATAAATATGTATTTTTTATAATAATTTTTAAAGCCCCCACAATTTTCTAACCACTGTCCAGAGATTTTTTGGGGAGTGGGGTGGGGAACAGTCATTGCCTACAGGCTCACAATCCAAGAAAAATGACACAACAGGGAGAAGGGATGGTGAGGGGAAAAAATTCTGGCACCAATTCCGAAAGGTACACAATTGTTACATTTAAAAAATGGTGCTTGATTTTTGAAGGTCTCCCCACCACTGCCCTTTTTATACTTTGAATGAGCTTTGACAAGTAGGGGGCAGTGGCTTTGTGAATAAGAAAGCCAATCAACGATGTGCACAGTTCTGCTTCTTGACTGACACCAGAGCCTGCGAATTTATGCCGTGCAAATTCTGCTTCTCCTCAAGCCACAATAATGAGTTCTCCTGTTTGTGGTCTTGGTGAGAAGGTTGTACGTGCAGCAGAACTTCAGCCACAACATTTTCATAATAGACTTGTTACTTACATGTTTTTGCCCTGTACACATCCTCAATTTCAGTCAGTATGGAGACCCACATTGAGCTTGAGCACCTGTGAGGAGCTCACGGCCATGCGGACTGTCACATTCCTTTCACATGGATATGTTTCTTCTTTCATTGAAAGAAATGTGCTCAGCTTTTAGAGCAGGAAAGCTCCTATTTGGATCTCCCACACTTAAAAACCAACAATTGCTGGATTGAGGGAAATATAAATAAACTTCTGGATTGAGACAAGTACAAGTTTAGAGACTGAAAAGCAGTTAAGAAAATGTAATGTTTAGAGACAAAATGTCTGAAAGAGCTCCAGCTCTAGCAGAACTGTAGCTGCAGATCAGATGAACTAAGCTGATTTCCCCTGGGGCTGAGACTTAGTTATTGGTAAACATTCTTGGGCTTCTGACAATTGCACTTTTATGCCCCAGTACAGAGGTTTTGAAAACCATTTTGGTTTAATACACTAGACCTCCTCCCATCCTCTTATTTTGTTGTTGTTTAGTCTCTTCGTGACCCTATGGACCAGAGCACGCCAGGCACTCCTGTCTTCCATTGCCTCCCGCAGTTTGGTCAAACTCATGCTGGTAGCTTCGAGAACACTGTCCAACCATAGCTTTAACTATACGGACCTTTGTTGGCAAGATGATGTCTCTGCTTTTTAAGATGCCGTCTAGGTTTGCCATCGCCTTTCTTCCAAGGAGCAGGCATCTTTTAATTTCGTGACTGCTGTCACCATCTGCAGTGATCACGGAGCCCAAGAAAGTAAAATCTCTCACTGTCTCCATTTCTTCCCCTTCTATTTGCCAGGAGGTGATGGGCCCAGTGGCCCATCCTCTTATTACGCTTATCCATTTTAGAGGGATGCATTCTGTTGAGGCACTATAAGCTCCTTATGGTTGAGAGATTCTGCCGTGGTCAGGGCTACCCAGTGAACCCAAGGCTGAGCCGAGATTTGAACTTTGGTCTTCCATGTCCAAATGCAGTACTTCATTTGTTCGGACCTGTCAAAACCCTATCCATAGGGGTCAGAATGCTTGACGCACATTTGCGTGGCGATTCCCGCCCCCTCCCAAAGATAGAATAAATAAAGACACAGGACACCAGAATTTAGGTTAACGGGCGAAAAATGGCCACAAGTTTATTGATTACAGGAAAGAGCGGTATTGGCTTTAGGCATTGGCCCTATCAGACTAACCGGTATAAACCTGGAAGGGTTAAGCACCAACAGGGGGAGCCCCCGAGATGCACATCCCTAGGCGCTCCCCGAGGGGTTACCGCTCGGGAGCGCGCTTTAGGCCCTAGCCTCCGTAGGTTTCGGACAAGGCGACGCCCCCCGGAGTCCTTTAACGAACTACCCTTCATCATTTGGGGGAGGTGATGGCGTTCCTCCCCCCCAACTCATTTGCATAATAATACCCCTGCCAATGCCTAACTGCCAAAACCAAAGGTGTTGTGACGTTTTGCTACGAGGTAGGCGAAAAAACCAAGTGGCTTCCAAAATACAGCCAATTAGCCAAATGCAAAAACTCCTACCAGGCCCCTTGCAGCGACCAGCCGAAGCCCATAGCAAAGTCCAAATGCCAACCTAGAGGGCGGGTGGGTGGGAAAACCGCAGCTGCAAAATGGAGAAAAGGGGCGAGCAAGGGCTGCCCCGACCTTAAATGCCCCCCGTATAAGCCCGCCCCCACCGCCAGCTGATTGGCTGGCGGGGCGAATGATGAATAATAATGAGACCCGGGAATCCCTGAGTCCCGCGGGGCTGCAGCCAGCCTCGCGAGGATGTGGATGGGGACGTGAGCCCGCAAACCCCCCCCCTCCTGATGTCGGGAGTGGCTTTAGCAGTGCACTGGTATAAAAAGACAGTTACACGTAATTTACAGCACGTAAATTGCAGGGGATAGAAAGAAAATATTGTAGCATCCTAGCTGCTACGAGGAACATAACTTTTTGTAAACACACACCCCACAGAAAAGTAAACTATTGTCAGAAAGTGGATCTGCCTAGATCCTGTGTGTAAAGGGGTGGGGGGGGACCAAATAACCCTGCTTATTCGTTCAACATGTATTAGAGCAAATGAATCTGAACAAGCCTTCTAAACTCAACAGAGAACCGGCAGGAAGGGTGTATTTGGGGAAGACATTCCATAGTTGTGTTATCACCACTCCACATTCCCATAGAACAAACTTCTTCAGAGTGGCACATTGGATAAAGCTTCCCCAAGTTTAGCTTAACTGGTGGTGCTGGAGAGGAAATATAATGTAAAATAGGGATTTGCAGCAGATTTGAATGAAGCCTGAACTAAACCAGAGTGAAGCAGCATCTCTTTGAAATGCCTTTAACTGAAGTTGGGGACCTTGGAAGCAACTTAAGGGTGATTTGGCTATTTGAACAGTGTCTGCAAAACTTGGTTTTTGAAATCAGGATTCAGATTCTGACCCAGGCTGAATTTGGCAACATCTGAAACACTTCAGATCAAATCAGGCTGTTTTTTAGAGTGCTGAATAGGAGTCCATACTGAATCATGCAGTCATTGCATACCCCTAATATATAACTATGTCAAGTTTTGGTTAACGGAGCTATCCGTTGGGCCACCTTGCCAGGATGTTAGTGAACAACACATATCCATCTGCTTACACTTCTGTTTTTGATTTAAACCCATTGAGAAAGAGTCTTTGTGGTGTTATTGAATATTTTAGCTCTGTACTCTGAACTTTATGCAGTCTTTAGATAGCTCTTTTAAATACAGACTGGAAAAGTAGTCAAGGTAATAAAATGCTAGCAGAAAGCTAGGACTTGGAAAAGAAGAACTCTGCTTACCTTACATTAATATATAGGAAAGGGGAAATTCAGGCTGCTAACAATATAAAGCAATTGAAATAAATATAGAAAAGAGAATCTAAGGCAGATAAAAGATAAGCAAAGGGGGATATGGCAATGGTTGAAGAGAGTGAGTCCCATGGGTGAGACTTGTGCAGATGTACACAGTGAGGAGAAAAGCAACAAGTCTGGCAAAATCCATTCCCCCTAATGTCTATTACATATGGTGAGTCACCTGGCTCCTCTTTTAATCTTAGTAAAATGAGTTTCCATTGAATGGAAGCAAGTGTGTGTGTAATATATCTATCACAAAGAACTTTGTCCTGTCTGTCAGTTCAAGTGCCTTCTTTGTATGTTAATCGTCTCTCAAAATACAATAGCATAAACATAAAATTGAAAAAACACTTCAGGTGAAAGTATGCTATAAGACATTTGGCTTCATATTTTCTGGATTATCAGAACTCCTATTGCTTTTCAAGGGATGAATTTTATATCCCATAAGACTTTCTGTACTCTCTGAATGTTTACGGTGATTTGAGTTTTTCTAAATGTTGAGCCAAAACTCTTAGAGTTGTATATAGACTCCAACATTCTAATTTTAATGATGTAGACTAATGGTTCTCAAAATGGACTTCAGTTGAATACTTAGCCAGGTAACATCTCCCCCCCTCCAGTCAATGGGTCTCCAGCCTGACCTTTCCCCTTCTCAATCTAACTTAATAGTGCAGTATTGAAGAAAGGGATAAGTTCTGCAATCCTGGAATCATAGAACTGTAGAGCTGGAAGGTGTACCCCAAGGGCCATCTAGTCCAACCCCCTGCAATACAGACGTCTCCAGTGAAGCATCCATGACAGGTGGCCATCCAACCACTACTTTAAAACCTCTGAGGAAGAGAGTCCACTCCCTCTCATGGGAGTCTGTTCCCCTGTTGAACAGCTCCTACTGTCAGGAAGTTACTCCTGATGTTTAGTTGGAATCTCCTTTCTTTTGACTTGAAGCCATTCAGGTCCTACCTTCCAGGGCAGGAGAAAACAAGCTTGCTCCATTTTTCACGTGACAGCCCTCTAGGTATTTGAAGATGGCTATCATATCTCCTCTTAGTCTCCTCTTACTCAGGCTAAACATACCCAACTCCCTCAACTGTTCCACACAAGGCTTCCAGACGCTTGATAATCTTGGTCACCTTCCTCTGCACACATTCCAGCTTGTCAATACCCTTATTAAATTGTGGCACCCAGAATTGGACACAGTACTCCAGGTGTGATCTGACCAAGGCAGAATAGAGTGACAATATTACTTCCCTTGATCAGGACACTATACTTCTGATGATGCAGCCTAGAATAGCATGAGCTCTTTCCCCCCCTGCTGCATCATACTGTTGGCTGTTGTTATCAGCTTCTCTACAAGAATATCATGGGGAACTTTGTCAAGTGTTGATGGATAATGTATCCCCACCCCACACTTTACTGTTTCCAGAGTCCAAATATCATTCCTTCTTAATGTACTACCTATTCATAAGCCTGTCCCTGTTCTCCACAAAAGCTAGTGGAGCAGCTGGAGCTCTGTTGACATAAGAGGAAAGGTCTACATTTGGGAAGATCATGTTTGCCTGTTGCATTAGATCCTCTTGGTCAGAGAGCAGGTGTTCCCCCATCCAGTCCCTTTCCTGATTGCAGAGTCTTACCCTTCCTTTTTCTCCAAGACTATTCACTTAACCTGTGGAGAAAGAGGAAGGATGTGCAATCATGGAAACCAATGAACAGGATAAACTCATTGCACACCAAACCCTGTTGTCCTCCACCAGCGATTCTGCATCTCCTGCTCTTTCTTGCTTCTCCTGTCCTCTGCTCCTTTTGTTCTTTTCCTACATTTTCTATTCTTCCTTTATTTTTGTCTACCTCCAACCTTGTCCTTCTGTGTGTTGGTGGCCACATCAAAGACTCAAAAATTATTTATACAGCTTACATATGCTTGAATACAGCTGAACTAAGATCATGGCCTGGATTCAAAGAGCCAGAAGCACATGCCCAAATGCTTTGTCATGCTCACTAGGACTTCCCTCAAATACCTTGCATGACCACAAGTTATGCTATTTGAAAGACCATTCTTAGGACATCCTGATTTTCAATAGCAGTTTTCCAAGGGGGCAGATTGCAATCAGGAACTCCCTGTCTCTCTCTCTCTGTCTCTCTCGTCTCTGTCTGTCTGTCTGTCTGTCTCTCTCTCTCTCTCTCTCTCTCTCTCTCTCACACACACACACACACACACACCACTTTGGATTCCAGCCCATGTCCATATGTCAGATTATTATAGCATTTGCCACAGGCTTAGATCCCCCTGCTAACTGCAGTTATCTACAGTTAATTCTTGCCCAGTGGTGTGTTCACAGTTTTGGATAATACCTCATTGTAACCAGTTTGGACTGATCCAAATCCTTTAACTTCTTTCAAAAATAGGTTTCAAAGTCTGCATATCCACTAACTATTGCCTATTTCCATAGGGACCACCCACTGTTGCTCTGTCGTTGTTTCTGCCATGTTCCTCATGCAAACACCATTGTAAAACATCAGCTGAAATTCCAGTCAATGCATAAACATTTATTAATCTTGCATTAAGCTGACAGTTACTGTGTTCACATAGTGATAACAGATGATGTGCTAACAATGGTTTTGTGGAGCCAAGCCGACGCATTGTAATTATCAATGTGGGTCACCCGTAAGAGTAACTTTCAGTTAACTAGCTTTCTTGTTTTCTAGGTTTATACTCTCAGGAACTTTAAAGCATGCTAGACAACATTTATAAGCTTCCCCCACCATCTTGTAATTTTAATCCCTCTGGTCCTATGCTAAGGATGAAGAAAGGAGTAATTGTTATTCTTTCCTAAGGACAGCACATATTTCTGCTTTTTTAAATTAAAGTGGCTCCCCACACTTAAAAGAAGTTCACTAAATACAAATGACATTTTTACCTATGAAGGTTAAAATGATTCTGGTTTTAAATCCGTAGTACACATCTAAAGCCTACCTATATGAGGAAGAGGCATGCACAAGTTCCAAGAGTCACCTTGTAATTGTATGTTTTTACAGATTCTGATACTGTGTGTTTCTGGGTCACTCTGTGCTCTTTCCACTTCAGTCTGTGTTTTGGGTTCTGAACAACTCTGTATAAAAGTTCACTGTAATGGATAATTTAAAATCTGATGTTACTTTCCCCTCTTTTGCCAAAGTGGGTGAAATTTACAGGTATAGGAGCCCCTCCAGATTGGATTAAGCCTGCCAAATTGCAGGCAGATGGAATCCAACAAAAATAGAGTCCAATAAAAAGAGGGCATAGAGTCCAACAAACTCAGAATAATAAAAGGGGCAGACTCCACCACATGTCTTCACATAATGCATAGTGAAACAGTGGAATTCACTCCCACAAGGTTCAGTGATAGCCACCAACCTAGATGGCTTTAAGGGAGGATTAGACAATCGTGGAGGAAAAGGCCACTGATGACTATTAGCTGCGAGGGTTATGTTCTGACTACCAACTGTCAGAGTTGGTAGGCTTCTTGAATACAAATTGCTGGAAACCAAAAGAGAGGGAGAGTGGTGTCATGCTCAACTCCTCCTTTTGGGCTTCCCATAGACATCTGGTTGGCCACTGTGAGAACAGGATGCTGGACTAGATAGGCCATTGGTACACCAGGAGACGCCTTACCATAAGTGTTCCTAAGAAAAGAAGGCAGTCAGCCCCATGGATCCACCTTCTGACATCTCCTGTTTGTTCTGGGGTAAGGGCTTAGTGAGCATCTTGGCTTAATGCAATCTCTGATGGCATGCCAATAGTTAGGTTTCAGTCCAAAAGGGAATTTCCCAGTGTCCATTTTCAGCTGGAATCTGTTCACTTTCGGCCACAGTATCAGAGGCCAAGTTCTCTTTCGGCAGTGTCTGCGTTCCAAATATTGTGTTACCCTTTTGTTCATCTGGAAGCAGAAAGAAGCTCTGGATTTAAGTAGCAATGAAATGGCAACTGAGTTTTCACCCTAATTATTTTTGGATTGTACCGCATGTTGTATTATTTATCATTTAATCAAACAGGAAGCCTTTTTTTCAGAGAGGCAAATTACATGTGTAAAACAACACACAAACCAGGGTGCCTCAAATGTTTCCAGTCTCTGATTCAGTGTTGAAAGCAAAATGTTGGCTGCATCCAGACTGATACTTTTTTGGATGTGTTTCCACCATATGTTTTAGTTCAAGACAATATTTTCTTTTTATGTTGTATTATAAAAATCATGTAAAATGTTCTTTTGGAGAATGGCTACTATTCCTCTCCTTTTGCTAATTAGAAGATCACAGTACAAGGAATCTGACATCGTTTCATAAAATAGTATGTGGAAGAAGCAAAGCACTAAACTGGAATAGAAAAGTGTCATCAGCAATTTCTAGCATCACTCAGAAACAATAGCCTGCCATTGTGATAGTGAAATGAAGCAGCCAAGATGACATTAAGTTGAATAAATATATTGCAAGCTAAGATCAGTATTTATGTTGCTCTCTATTACTAGGTATGATTGCAGTTTATTTCCGAGAAGGGTAAAACACATTTTCCCAAAAACATTAGAAGTTTCATTTTGAAAGCTTCTTTGGCAATGGACCTCTTGAGAAAGTTGGGCCCACATAGACACCTCCCCACATGTGGTTCAGCTACTGCCTTTGCACTTCCGATGTAGGAATGGATCAGTCTTTTTTCAGTGTGTATTTGTAAGTCTGTTCTGCCCTGCCTCAGCCCCAATCTGTTTTAAACACACACATATATATACACACACACATTACAATTCACAGTATTTTGGTATGCATTTCCCCCAAAGCACATGGGGTTTGTATGCATTTAAACAAAAATATGCATTCTTGTATGCATGTGTGTTGAGCGTGTTTGTAGAATCTAAATGAATCAGCCCAAGATTTATTTATTTTTAATGAAACCCTTGTTTGTTTATTTTGCCAGACTTACAAAAAATGGCAGAGTTGCTCTCCTGTTTGCATGGTATTGCCTGTGGCTTATATTTTCGGTGAGACTTTTTATGAAATGTCTTTTTTAAGCTATCAATTATATGCCAGTATAATGGAACTGGTCGTGTGATGACTTTGCTAGTGGGAATTGTGACTCACATCCTTATTAGAACAGGAAGCTTGCCAAGTATAAAGATACACAAATTTGTCATGTCCATGTTTTATATTTTTAGGTGCAGACTTAAAACATCTTTAAAAACACACACACACAAAGATGTGAAGTGGCTCCAGAAGGGTAAAGAATCATGAAAGAAACAAAGGATAAAGCAATAGTTTTAGAGGGACTTCCCAGGGAAGAGGCACTCACAAATGCTGTTTTAGTCATAGGAATCTGGTTTAATGAATTGGTTACCAAGTCAAAATCATCCAAAGGACTTCTACTGTGAAAATTATTTTGGGGTTTATCACTGAGGAAGGCAAAAGATCTGCTGTGAACACGCAGGATATAATTGTAAATAGCCTATTTTTCAAAATGCCATACTTAAGGCTTTATTGAAACCACCCTATGTACACTATGTGCATGCATATTTTTGGTTTTGAATCAGGCACATGGAATACTTCTGCCTTTAACTCATCTGCAAGGTTTGCAGGAAAATTGCTGCATGCCTGAGGGAACATGTTGCAATTAGAGTTGATCAGAATTGCAGTTCGTGGAAAGAAACATAAATAGGGGGTGACATTTTAGGAGTTTTGTGGCGGAAAGCACGTCAGTAAACACAAAGGATATAAAGAAACAGAGCTGAGCAATGCAGTCATTTCCTAGGCAAGCGCTATGCCTTTGCTATTAATCGATAAAGCACAGAAACATCTGAGTCTTCTCCCCTGTTCATTGAAGTCAGTGACAGAAGTTCCAGTTCTCTCCTTGTCATCTAGGTTGGGCCCTAACTTTGGGACTATAGTGGTACCTCGAGTTACAAACACCTCAGGTTACAAACGCCTCAGGTTACAAACTCGGCTAACCTGGAAGAGTTACCTTGAGTTGAGAACTTTGCCCCAGGATGAGAACGGTGCAGCGGCAGCAAGAGGCCCCATTAGCGAAAGCATGCCTCTAGTTAAGAACAGTTTCAGGTTAAGAACGGACCTCCAGGATGAATTAAGTTCGTAACTAGAGGTACCACTGTACGTTAATTGTATTTTCGATAACTGTTACAGAAATTAGCAGCCTTTTGAGTGGGTCCACAGAAGCATGATTTGCAGACTAATTCTTATACCATAGTGTTCTTTCGTAAGGTATGCCAACAGTTGTCATACTGTACAGACATATCACAGATCACTTTTCAGTCACAGCACTCCATTGTATTTAATAAGTGCATTTTCCTCTAATGCAAGCCGTGCCCATCAACAGATAATGAAACCTGGCATGTGTTAAATGTGTTGTTGTTTTTGTTTAGTCGTTTAGTCGTGTCCAACTCTTCATGACCCCATGGACCAGAGCACGCTGGGCACTCCTGTCTTCCACTGCCTCCCGCAGTTTGGTCAAACTCATGCTGGTAGCTTCGAGAACACTGTCCAACCCTCTCGTCCTCTGTCATCCCCTTCTCCTTGTGCCCTCAATCTTTTCCAACATCAGGGTCTTTTCCAAGGAGTCTTCTCTTCTCATGAGGTGGCCAAAGTATTGGAGTCTCAGCTTCAGGATCTGTCCTTCCAGTGAGCACTCAGGGCTGATTTCCTTAAGAATGGATAGGTTTGATCTTCTTGCTGTCCATGGGGACTCTCAAGAGTCTCCTCCAGCACCATAATTCAAAAACATCAATTCTTCAGCGATCAGCCTTCTTTATGGTCCAGCTCTCACTTCCATACATCACTACTGGGAAAACCATAGCTTTAACTATACAGACCTTTGTCGGCAAGGTGATGTCTCTGCTTTTTAAGATGCTGTCTAGGTTTGTCATTGCTTTTCTCCCAAGAAGCAGGCGTTAAATTTATCACTTGGTAATTACCGTATTTTTCTCTCTATAACACTCACATTTTTTCTCCTAAAAAGTAAGGGGAAATGTCTGTGCATGTTATTGAGCGAATGTGTGGTCCCTGGAGCCGACTGGCCCAAGTGCAGGGGCAAAAATCAGGCAAAAATCAGATCGTGCGTCACGGAGGAGAGGAGGCTGCTGCTTTCCTGCATTCTGCCTCAGGGTCTTACTGCCCACCCTCTTCTGTTTTCGGTTGCTGTGTTTGCTCAAACGCAACAAAGAGCAGGGAAATCCCCTGCCCTCCTGGCAAGCAGAGGGGAAAGGAAAGGATCGCGTCCTTCCTTCTAATTCCTTCCTAGTCACACTGCGCGCAGGCTCCAGCCCACCCCGCTCAGCATTCTAGGGACTTGCAGGCAGCCGGAAAACATGCAGGTGGGGGAGAGAGAGAGAGAGAGAGGGCTGGCTTGGGTGGGTGGGAGGAAACTTTTGCCTTCCTTTCCTCCCTCCCGTTAAACCCCTCTCCTGCATTGTTAGCCAGCTGCTTCTCCGCACACCCCTCTCGTGCTCCTTGTCCCTTCTGTGTTTTTCCTTCCCTCCCCACTTAAAACGTGGTTACAAAGCACGGATCCACATGGATCCTCAGGATCTTTGCATTGGGTCACCCCAAATTCACCATCAGATCACATTACATGTCCATGGCTACAGCCTGCACCAAAAAAATCACGCACCCACTGTTGCCTGGGGTTGCAATGGTGCAAAAACGTGGTTACAAAGCACGGATCCACATGGATCCTCAGCATCTTTGCATTGGGTCATCCCAAATTCACCATCAGATCACATAGCATGTCCATGGCTACAGCCTGCACCAAAAAAATCACGCACCCACTGTTGCCTGGGGCCACAGTGGTGCAAAAACATGGTTACAAAGCACAGATCCACATGGATTCTCAGGATTTTTGCATTGGGCTACCCCAAACTCACCGTCAAATCACATGTCTGTGGCCACAGCATGAAGCACAAAAATGATACATCCACTGTTTCATTCAGAATTTTTTTTCTTGCTTTTCCTCCTCTAAAAATTATGTGCGTGTTATGGTCAGGTGTGTGTTATAAAGCGAAAAATACGGTGCCAGGTAAACTGATTGTCTGCAGATGGCCTCCTCTCTGAAAATCAGACACTAGGTATTCTTTCAGCAAGATATTATTAGCATGTTGTGGATCGGGAAGGAATTCTTGCGTAAACAGATTTCCTGGTGATTATGGGGTTTTTTTGTCTTAAGGAAAGATAAAAGCTCCAGAACCTCCAGGCATCTGCTTATATAAAAATTCCTTCCCAAGCCACAATGTGGCAATATTTCCCTTGAGGCTCAACGTTCAGTTGGTGTATAAACCAAGTGCACTGGAATAGACAGGGCCAGTTTGTCTATAGAGCAAATGGAATATTTGATTGAACTCACAGCCTGTGGCAGAGCTGTGTGATCATTTGCTGGTGCCCCATGCTCTATAACACTATCCTGAAATGCTGCTCTTTTAGCAATATACAATGACTTCTCTGCTGAGTGTGTTGGCCTTGTCTGTGAACTCACATAGGTGTTGCAATATAGGTGCTACACCCTGGTAACAGACTCTAATTTTGTTTTATTTATTAAATTTATATAAATGCACCGTGTCTTTTAATTATATAGGCAAGTCTGCAAATGGTGCTTTGGATTAAGGCAAAATCCTGCTTTTGCTCTTCTGAGTTGGTGTAGTCGCTGACCATGTTGCAAAATCCTACCTTGGGAGTTACCGTAATTTTCGCTCCATAACACGCAGTTTTTTCCTCCTAGAAAGTAAGGGGAAATGTCTGTGCGTGTTATGGAGCAAATGCCTACGGATGGCAGGGGAATCTGCTGCAGTTGTGAGCAGTCCGTGGCTCGCTTTGAAACAGCAAAGCGGGTGTAAGCGGCTCCTGTCAGCGAGCCGAGCCGGGGAGGAGGGAGAGAAGCAGAGCGGGAGAGGAGCCGCTTACACGAGTGTAAGCGGCTCCTGTCTGGTTGGCTGCTTTAAAACAACCCCGTGCTCTCTGTCCCTGCCTGCAGTTTTTTGCTGTCCGATTTTGGATTAGCCACTGTAGGGGCTGTGTGTGTGTGTGCTTGAGCTATTGTTCTCCTCCTCCTGCTTCCCGTTCACTCTCCCAGCGCCCCTGCGCTCTCCTGCGACTTTAGGATTGATACTCTGTGTGTCTGTCTCTCTCTCTGTTTGTGTGTGTGTGTATGTGTGTGTGTGTGTGTGTGTGAGGCATCGTTCTCCTTCTCTTGCTTCCCGTTCACTCCCCCAGCGCCCCTACGACTTCCAGTGCCCCTGCGACTTTTGGATTGAGTGTCTGTGAGGGATTGTTCTCCTTCTCTTGCTTCCTGTTCACTCCCCCAGCGCCCCTGCGACTTCCAGCGCCCCTGTGACTTTAGGGCGACTTTAGCATGGATCCACATGGATCCTCAGGATTTTTGCATTGGGCTACCCCAAACTCACCGTCAGATCACATGTCTGTGGCCACAGCATGAACCACAAAAATCATACATCCACTGTTTCGTTTAGAATATTTTTTTCTTGTTTTCCTCCTCTAAAAACTACGTGCGTGTTATAGAGCGAAAAATACGGTATGTGATTCTGTGGATTTTGTGCTCAATATGTAGAAACTTAGTATTTTTTAAAAAATGGAATTCAAGCAAGAAAATGGAATGTTTTTACAAGTTACATTGAGAGGTCAGAGGGTGAGGGGTGACTGGCAAGATGCTTATTCAGTGCATTAGTCTAACACAAATACTTCCTGAAGTATGAAATGCTTTGATCTGCATAAGCATGTACCATATGTGTGCAGCTGTGATCCGTGTTTCCCAACCACTGGAAGGTTAGTGAAAGGTAGACTATAGGTCTTAAGTCTGTGTTCAATTTCTGCTTTTATATTCAGCAGTTCATAATTTTATGTAATACTGGAGCTGTATGAAAAATATGCACAAGGGCTGAGTGATAACAGATTTTTTTGTGGTTTGATTCAATGTTGTTTGGGTGGATTCAAAATACTCAGGGCCGCAGGCTGAGAAGAAAAAGGGTTTTAATTAAGGCTATGTGACTTCAAAATACCCGAGGCTACATTAAAAGTTTGGGAAGCTTTTCAAAATGTGAGGTTCTGTGTAGCTCCTTTAAGATAAATGTTTAAGCAGTTGTGTCACAGGCTAGCTGCCGCAAAATTGCAACAGAGACCGGGAACAACCTTTTATTGGTGGAGAGCATAGATTTTAAGTAGGCATACTGCCATGTGGTTGATTCTGTACTAAGAGTATTTCCATGGGCAACGGGGGGGGGGGGGGGGCTGGATTTGGCTGATCACACCGTAAAAGAAAAATTGGGCTGTTGGTTGTCAGAAAATTGATGACAGGCCACAGTTTTTAAAAGAATTTATCTGAAATCACAACCCTGAATGTTTGCACCTGCAAAACCGACTAATATTTTTTCCATTGACTGTATAACATCAAGTTTTAGGGAAATTCACCAATGCAGTGGTTGGCATTTACTATCCTAAGCATCTATGAGCTTAAAGGTTTTAGGTTTCTGCTGAAAAGAACAATCCCATCTTGAATTCCCACCCCCACCCCCTAACATTTAACATAATGTAACATAATGCACTATAAGTCACTTGGAGACATTGGGTAGCAAGCAACTAACAAGTCTAATACAATAGTAATAATAATCAAATAATAATTAATAGCAGACCTACCCTTCCTGTTTCCTCATATTTCTGCATCCCCACCATCAGCAGCCGGTGATGTGGAGCTGGGGCAGGGCAGCCTTTTAGTGTCAACCTTTTGTTGAGCATCACATTTCATTTCTACCCTTATGGGCACTCCACATGCTACTGAACTTTTGCCTACACAGCAATTAATGCCCATGCAGACGTAAGTTGTTTTCTGATATGGGTACACAAAATTTGACAGCCCCTTTCTGTACTGGCTACCCCATCTGTGTGCCTTCAGCAGAAAATAACATGTCACGATACATGCATAACAAAATAGTTTTCCTAATTGAAAATTTATCTCCATTTAGGAAAAAGTGATGCATGGCATGGCAATAAAATTCAGCTTTTGGAAGACTCTGACCCTGGAATCAGCTTTATCTTTGTGAATAATTTTGTGGAACAAACATAAGAGCAGTCACACTGGGTCATGCTAATGGATTATCTCACCCCAAATCCATTCTTCGACCAGTGACAATATCTGGATGCTTCAATCATGACATTTAATGAGGGGGGTCACTCTTTGCTTCAAACAACCTTTCTGAGAAATAGCCTGTGTTTTCTGCCTAACAACCATTGATATGCTTATCTTAAATACATCTGTTTAGCCCTTTTTGGAACTCTGTTATCCTTTTGGCCACTTTTCGTTCTGTGGATGGATTCTTTTGAGAATCCAGCCTTGAAAACTCCATTCCAGAGCTGCAGAACATATGGCTATTTTCATTCATTACTGGATATGTTTCTCTAGGCATGTTATTTTAAAATAATTTATTTTCGGTATAATGGTTTTGGTTTGGAGCTCCTTCTCATTTCATTTTTCTTTCTCTTGCATGTTGTTATTTTTTAACAAGCTTCTGCTGGGTATGGCAGGCTCCACGGACGAAACGCTTCAGGAAGCAGCAGCTGGTTGCATAGCAAACATCCGAAGGCTGGCTCTAGCTACAGAGAAAGCAAAGTACGGCTGAAACTCCAAACACAGTTTTTACCACGTCCTCTGAACTTTCCTTTTTAGTACTGCAGCCTGCAAGCTCAGAGTGGGCAGACACTGAATTAGAATGCCTCAGAAATGTGCATTTAGGCTGTTTTTACGGCTGATTTACATCTGATCAGAATTAACACAAGAAGTAGATATGGAACAAAATTTGGAAAAATCCTTTAATTTAATTTAGCATACTATTTTTTCAGTCCCTCTTTTAGTCCTTTTTTTTTTTTTACTTTTTCTAAAATTGCACCAGAGGCTATCGAAAAGAATGTAAGTTTAAGAACATTGTCTCTCCGCATCTCTGTGTGTGTGCGCGTGCGTGTGATGGGCATATAATAAAGATGTTTTCCCTTACTGTGTGTGGTTATAGCCTCATTCCTGGGCGTCTCGAGCAATTCTTTTCTTGCTAAACCTGTCTAATCATTCTGTCATTATGGCTTTGCTTGTTTGAGTACTTACAAATCTCCAGAGAGGACGGCATACACCACATGCCCCAGCTTCACATCTGGAAATGCACAAGTACTTCAAACAGACGGAATTGTCCACATGCTTCCAAGACTTCCCCAAATATCACTTTAGTTCTAGCAGCACTAAAGAAATCACTTAATTGGATTAGAGTCACGTTATGAACATGATTAGAAGATCAAGTGTTAAAACTCCCAACTAGATTCACTAAATGAGAATAATACAACAAACAAGTATTTTACGCTTTCCCATTGGAACTCTCTCGTTGCCACGTCCCTCTTCTGACTTAAAGCACATCTACAGTACAAATGCACCCTGTCCTCTTTTACCACTCTGTCATGGCTTCCCCCCCCAAAGTATCATGAGAAGCAGAGAGAATCTTTAGAATTCTTTCTTGAAAATCCCTAGTTCTCCCCCCAGTTTCCAGAATTGCTTCAGGTGAGTGCTTGTTAGACACTTTCCGTCTGTGTTGTAGATATGCCCAAAGTCTGTGTTCCTGATATGGCGCCTGTTGATGGGGACAGGGACTGTGCTATTTTTATTCATTTGTAAACCTCCTCTCTGGGAGCAATCTGCATCGCCGTGGACACTGAGAGCCCCAGTAGGCAATAGCTTTATCATACATATTGCATGGGGTAAAGGTAAAGGTAAAGGGCCAGTCTTGTCCGACTCTGGGGTTGTGTGCTCATCTCGCTTAAGAGGCCGGGAGCCTACACTGTCCGAAGACACTTCCAGGTCACGTGGCCAGCGTGACGAAGCTGCTCTGGCGAGCCAGCACCAGCGCAGCGCACAGAAACGCCGTTACCTTCCCGCTATAAAGCGGTACCTATTTATCTACTTGCACTTGGGGGTGCTTTCGAACTGCTAGGTGGGCAGGAACTGGGACCGAACGACGGGAGCTCACCCCGCCGCGGGGATTCGAACCGCTGACCATGGGATCGGCAGGTCCTAGGCACTGAGGTTTTACCCACAGCGCCACACGCGTCCCTTATTGCATGGGATAATAAACCATAAATAACCTTATAAAGCAATCTCTGCTGCTTCCATTCCTCCCCCCCCCCATAAACTAAAACATTCTTTTTGGTTTGTTATCAGAATACTTACAGGATTCTGCACTCCTTTCCAGGGCCAGCCCTACCATTTCACGGGGCGAGGCAGCCCACCTCAGACTGCAGATCTTGGGAGTACCTTTAAGGGGACAGAGTTCATTACTCAGTTTATTATTTGACTATCATCAGTGGGGACACCATTTTTATTTTCTGTCTAATGGCATCAAAACGTCTTGGAGCAGTTCTGTCTTCTGATTTTTCTTTAAGTGTATTTTTCAAATCTAAATTCTAGTTGGCAGGTGGTTGGCAGCATTCATTTTATTCTCAAGAGTTGAGGCTTTCAGAATGCGTTTGGTATCTTTTCCAATTTGCTTGGGTCAGTTTCTTGGTGAGTGTAAATCAACAAAACCCCAGTAGATGTCAAAACCACTAAGCCTTCTTTCATTAAGAAGCTGGGGGTGGGGGGTGGGATATCTTTACCATTCACAAAACCATTCTCCTAGGGAAATACTATAGCACTTTAGGAAGAGAGTTAACAGAGAGGACTTTCCCTCCTTTGAACTGAAGAGAAATACTTGAGCTTTCACCACAAATGTCTGTCAGCAGACAAGAAAGCCTTTCTTTTATCACTTCCTGCTTGTATGATTTATTACTTGATGACAGACCCTCATTATCAACTAATCAATTGTCCCAGGATGCTCAAATAGGCACTGAAATGTGAGCTTTATATTCATTTCCCCTTAAAGTTCAAGCGTATGAAAATATGTTATGACCCACTTACACACTGTTTTATCTTTCTCTTGTTAAGGAAATATCAGATGTGTATGTATGCTAACCATTTTAACATTTCATCTTTCTTTATCTCAGGAAATAGGGTCCTTGAATAGAAATTCAGACATCCTCACGGCCGTGTGGTAGGTTTAAAAGCACTAGTATGTGTAGGTGATCTTTTAAAAAAAATAATAAATAGAAGCAGCAGTAAACAAACTGGTTTCCTCTTATTTTTTTTAATGACTGCACAATTATCAAAATGATAGGCATCTGCCAATGGGTATCACAACAATGATGGCTGTTTCTCACATGCCTGCACATCACACCTCATTGCTTCATTACTGTATCATGGCTGAACAGGAGCGGACTTTGGTTTTTCAGATTTCAGTGGCGCCCTACGTGAGGCCAAAATTCCCCAATCCACCTCTTGATTTCCGTTTTGTTCAGTTCACTACGTCATAGTTGCAGTGCCCTGATCCAGTGCAGCAGAGCTGGGTGGGCTGCCCTAAACTCGCCTCTGATGTGAACTGTGTCCATTGATCCTGTGTTTTGGGTGAGGTGAGAGGAAATGAATTTAAAGCTCTGCCTGTGGTACTTTATATGTGATGCACAAATCAATCTGTGTAATGAGGTCATTTATGGAGGTTTGCCTTAGGGTAGCCCCCATAATCTGATAAGAGGTGTGGGAAGACGAGAGAGAGAGAGAGAGAGAGAGAGAGAGAGAGAGAGAGAGAGAGAGAGACCTCCTTCATTGTCCCACCTTTAATATTCCTTTCTCCTGGTGGCCTATTGTGTTATTTTTCCTGTTCTAGCTAAGACACTTTTAAAGTGTCTGTTCTGGCTAAGACAAAGCCTATTTAAAAGCTACTACTCAAATGCTGCTCTTAAACTGATGTTTCATTATTATTTTTGCAATTACAGTGGTACCTCAGGTTACATACGCTTCAGGTTACATACGCTTCAGGTTACAGACTCTGCTAACCCAGAAATAGTGCTTCAGGTTAAGAACTTTGCTTCAGGATGAGAACAGAAATCGTGCTCTGGTGGCACGGTGGCAGCAGGAGGCCCCATTAGCTAAAGTGGTGCTTCAGGTTAAGAACAGTTTCAGGTTAAGTACGGACCTCCGGAATGAATTAAGTACTAACCTGAGGTACCACTGTAATGCTTTTTTATATATATATAAAATAACATTATGTTTTGTAAACTGCCCTGGGAACTTTATGCTGAAAGTGTGGCATAGATGAGGCAATTCTTGATATTATAAGCATTATCAAGTGATGGGTGCACATGTCCGAACTCAGCCTCAGCAAGACCACTAGACCACCGCTTGACATTTCAGTAGGCCAAAGTAAATATATATATATTTGTCTATTCCTTACTTATTCCCCTCTTCCTCTTCCTACACCTTCTGTTCTGTCTGCTTCACTGGCTATTTCTGCTGCTCTTTCTTTCTGGTTCGAGGGTGCTTTCCTACTGCCTTCGCTGTCTGCAGGCATTTCAATTCCCTTGGTTTTTCCACTCCTACCAATATAATCTCCTGGAAAGCGCTCGGCTGGCGCAAACCCTTTTTTTCACTTCAATTAAGCTCTTTGTCTTTCAAATAACAGAAATAGTAGTTAGGGTGACATCATGTCACATCTCTTGCCAACCGGGGTGGCAATCCTGAAGCCGCTTGCCCCAGCCGAGCTCAACATTTCTGCTCTGGCTGTTTTCATAGTTGACTTCCAAGATTTGGAAAGCAAACTGCTCCCCAGCCGAAAAGCTGCGGTCTCCTTGTCTGTCATCTCTTAAGCTTTTCTGCACACTCCCCTGGATTCGGGAATAGCAGAGCGGGAGAGAGATTGTGTGGCTCAGCCACACTTATGGCTCAGACAGCCCAACCCCACTCTAGGGCTTTGGTGACCTGCCTTTTACCTTTCAAGGGCCAAACCCTAGGTTAGCCTCATTACACATATACACACACTTTAAAAAATAACCCCCCCAAAACCTCTTGTGGAATTAGGCCAGGAGAATTTTTTGGCCCAAACCTAGCAGACTAACGGGAATCATTTCTGTTGTCATTCCTCCGGCACTGTATAGAATTTCTCACCAAGAAGAAAGATAAAGACTCACCAATTATATTTTACAGCTCTGGCTAGGCTATAATGTTCTACACCACTCAGCACTGTGCCGTTCTTATCAAGATGCTGAAGGCAGCATACTAGCACTTCTCCTGGAAGGAATCTGCCAGCTCCATTTTAATAGGCTACTCTTAACAAGCAGATTCCGCCCCGCCCCCGTCACCTTCACTTTTTAATCAAACCCTATCTTAAAGCTTGATGGGTCAGAACAGATGCCTATTTTATGTAAGCGAGGGAGCCTTGTGGGTTATGCTCTGTGTTAGTATTTGTTCTAGTTTCACTTCTTTGTTCTGTGCCAGACACCCTTTTGCTTGACAGTTCCTTGCCAGCTCCTGCTGTTATTTTTGGCAACGCAGATGTTTTATCCAAATTTACATGAAATACAAGTAACTTGTGTGTTTCATCTTTTCTGTGTGTTTTTTTTAAAACAAAAACAAGAGAAAACAAAGACTGTAGTCAATTGTACAAATCTCCTTCTTCTCCAAAGGTCCCAGGAATCCGGCACATGAGAGTTCTGCATCAGGTAACAGATTTCTTAATCTCAGGTTGTTCCTAGCAGAGCCTTATGAAGAAAGCTTCGCACTCAAAGGAAGCATAATGGATGCACGGTGAGAGGGGCAATTAGTCCATGTGACCTTTTTTCGAGATGGAAAAGTCACCACAAGGTGACCCAATATCTGCATTCAAAAGTGGATTTGTGAAAGCACCTTATTTTATTAGGCAAGTTTAGTAAGCAAACACTTTCTGCATCAGATCTGCGTGGGGGTGGGTCACCCAGTGTGGAAAAAGCTTTGGCCTTCTCAGGCAAGGTCTGCTTGGCACACCAGCTCTGGGAGTGCTATGTTAAGTATAATTGCTTAATTGGCACTGAAATGGAGAATGCCTATGTGTACTGCTGAAAGGATTTAACTGGGAGATGCCATTGAAGCTTGTTGTTGTTCTTGTTGTTTAGTCATTTAGTCGTGTCCGACTCTTCGTGACCCCATGGACCAGAGCACGCCAGGCACTTCTGTCCTCCACTGCCTCCCGCAGTTTGGTCAAACTCATGCTGGTAGCTTCGAGAACACCATCCAACCATCTCGTCCTCTGTCATCCCCTTCTCCTTGTGCCCTCCATCTTTCCCAACATCAGGATCTTTTCCAGGGCCATTGAAGCTAGGAGCTCTCTAAACTCCTAGACAGGTTGATAATCAACTGTTATTGTTCTCTGGTAACTCTGATGAGGTGTTTAACTTTAGATCACATGGGAGGCTATTGAATTGCAAATTCGCCATCTTGGAAGGGTGGTGGGTTGGAGTCTTTGTTCCCAGGCTCCGTGGAAGTAGGATGTAAATAATGAAACTCTTCAGGAGCACACAGCCTCAGGCTGTGGAGGAGTCTGGGACGGGGGAGAGATTTGATCTCAATCCTGTTTAAAGTTCTTTTCAAGAATTTGTTGGATGCATCTTTGATGTTTTTGTTCTGTTTTGAAGAAAGTTCTGCCAATAAAGTTTTGAATAAACTGCAGTCAGTAAGCTTTGAATACTGCAGTATTTGGCCACCACTGCAATCAGGTAACTTGTGCAAAGGGGAATCCAAGGTATAGAAGTGATGGTTGAATCTGCACAGCTGGTAGCTGGCTTCTACTGATGTGGTCACTGGCCCATGTGAACCACTAAAGGCATCTTTGCAGGCACCTCATGGCTCCCCTTCAATGGCATAAATTGAGTTCTCATTGCTATGGTGCTGCCCACTGGTAGTGGCAACCAAGTATCAAAGCATAGGCCATCCTGCCGGGTAGCCAGTCCCAGTCCTCTGAGGCCATGAGAGTAAATTCAGCAGTACCTTTCCAACAATGTGTCTTAATTCAGTTTTCTAGAGGAGAAAGTCTGAAAATTCATGGCAGCAGCAATAGTGTGGTCCAGATCCTAGTTGCATGTGCATGTGAGTGTTTTTAATTTCCCATCTAGTTTTCCAACCTTTAAAATATGGAGTCTGGGTCTTGCCTCCTGTCGGCTACCTGCCCACCCCCATTTTACAGCAAAAGTCATTTTAATGTTAGAAGTCAGCAAACGGGATGCAAACAACTAGCTCTAAAGTATCGTTCAGCTGGCATGAAAACGATTCAACTGCAGAAGTGTTACATATATAATGAATGGACCCTCAGGCTGCCACTGCTCCTTCTGCATCTAATAGAAGAATAGTGTACGGCAGAGAATGTGTTCATTGTCCATTTCAATCAGTCCAATATCCTCTTACTTATGAGTTTCCTAAGTTGCTGTTATGGCACTGTTTCCATTTTAATTCCTCAAAGGACAATTCACTTTTGTGTTATCCTCACCCTGTTGAGGAACACAAACACGAGAGGGAGGGAAATGATGTTTGTAGATATTCTTTCCTAGTATTTACACAGGAACCTGGCCTCAAACACTTAGGCAGCTTTGAATCACAGAATTATAGAATTGTAGAGTTGGAAGGGACCCTGAGAGTCATCTAGTTCAACCCCCTGCAATGCAGGAATCTCTAGTAAAAGCATCCATGACAGATGGCCATCCATCTGCTGCTTTAAAAGCTCCAAGGAAGTTTGTTAGGGGTAAACTACAGTTCACAAGATTCTATGGGAGGGTGCTTTAAAGGTGTGCTGTATACACAGCCTAGTTGAGGGGACTGGGTACAGTAAGTTTAGCCTGGTAAAGAAGAGGCTGAGAGGAGATATGATAGTGATCTTCAAGTATCTAAAGGCCTGTCATATGGAGGATGGACTAAGCTTGTTTCCTTCTGCTCTGTAGATTAGGACCAGTACCAATGGCTTCAAATCACAAGAAAGGAGATTCCAACTAAACATCAGGAAGAACTTTCTGACAGTAAGAGCTGTTTGACAGTGGAATGGACTCCCTTGGAAGGTGGTGGACTCTCCTTCCTTGGAGCTTTTTTGGGAGATGCCAGGGATTGAACCCGGAATGTGGGCAGAGCAGATGCTCGCAACTGACTTATGGCTCTTTCCCACTGATGGTGGGGCAATGTTGTCCACCAAACCCGAGGACAGAAGGCTAGCTTAAAGTAGGGTTGCCATATTTCAGAAAGTGAAAATCCGGACAGAAAAGTTGGCAAAGTTGTTGAGATTTTTTTTAGTTCTGCCCAAAGTTGCTGAGCTTTTTCTTTGCAGAATCGCAAAAATTGAATGTTTTGGAGCTGTTTCTGAGGAAACGCCATATGTCTGGATTTTCCAGGACATTTCCTTCCGCTGATTTCTGCCAGGACACTGCTTGTAGCTGCAGTATTCCGTATATGTCCAGACGTGTGGCAACTCTAACCTGAAGGTCACAGGGCTACCTGCTCCCGAGGAGAGCTGTAGCCACTGTCTCACTGCACCATCCACCGCTTGCTGCCCCTGTGTCAGCTACCTCACTCTAGGCTGTTCTGTTTGTTAGGGGTAAGCTACAGTTCCATACCCATGGTATGAATGCAAGCTATGTGTAGGTATGGTACTCTTATTTATGGAGTGTCATTGTGTTGAAACATCACATACTCATAGTTCTGTTTCATTTCAAAGCATGTTTTGAAATGGAAAAAAAATGAAGCGTTTTGAAATGGAAAAAACAAAAAAAAAACCTGACCTGAAACTTGTAGGACTGCATAAGGAGCAGGTTAGTTGCCTGTTTCTTGAGTTGACTTCAAGGTTCTCTTAGCTCCATTTGCAATTTCCCAGCATTACCAATAGGTGGCGCTTTCAGTTTCGGTTACCAGGACTGACAAAATATTGCGTTTAAATGAAATGCTGTGCAGTTCAGCTCAATAACTGCAGCAGATTTTGAGTACTATTTGAAGAACCACATACTTAAAGTTTGGCACTTTAGCTCTTAAGGTTGGTGTTTATGTGCTTTCTACTAGCAAACTGGGTTAGCAGAACACTTCATCAGGTAAGGAGATGGGTCTATCAAATGAGCCAGATTTGACAATTTGCTAATTTAGAGTGGGGGGTGGGGGAGGCCACAGGCTTTCATAAAACAATCTCTCTCACACAACTTTTTAAAGTGCACTTTCTACACTTTCACCCTTTAATTGCATAGATAATTTTCTTGACTTACACACTAGGGAGACCGCAGGGCAAGCATTGCAGTTCCATGATCCCAGAACCTGTCTCATCCCTCTCTCGCACACCTGCTCTTCCTTTCACTTCAACCAGATGAACTATTAGGCAGAGTGAGGTAGCTGACACGGGCAGCAAGCGATGGATGGTGCAGAGAAACAGTGGCTACAGCTCTCCTCAGGAGCAGGTAGCCCTGTGACCTTCAGGCTAGAGTTGCCATACGTCTGGACATATCCGGAATACTGCAGCCACAAGCAGTGTCCTTATGAATCTCTGAAAGTCACAAAACATGCACTCTTAATGGATTCTCTTGAAAACCTAAAACCAAATAAACCTAAGTCTTATAAGTCTCTTTATTTGGTTTTATGTTTTCAAGAGAATCCATTAAGAGTGCTTACTTTGTGACTTTCAGAGATTCACAAGTTTTCTGTTTATGTGATTTCATATATTATAGAAAGAGTGTATATTGGTATCGTATCATTGTATTTGGTCATTGTGTTGCCTTGGATATTACTTTTGTTTGCAACACAGGGGTTAAATTGTTTGGTTACAAGCAGTGTCCTGGCAGAAATCGGGGGAAGGAAATGTCCTGGAAAATCCAGACATATGGCGTTTCCTCATAAATAGCTCCAAAATATTCAATTTTTGCAATTTTGCAAAATAAAAGGCTCAGCAACTTTGGGCAGAACTAAAAAATATCTCAACAACTTTGCCAACTTTTCTGTCCAGATTTTCACTTTCTGAAATATGGCAACCCTACTTTAAGCTAGCCTGCTGTCCTCGGGTTTGGTGGACAACATTGCCCCACCATCAGTTGGAAAAAGCCATAGCTCATTTGCGAACATTCGCTTTGCCCACATTCCAGGTTCAATCCCTGGTGTCTCCCAAGCAGGGTTGGGAGGGTCCTCTGCCTGAAACCCTGGAGTGCTGCTACCAGTCAGTGTAGACAATAGCGAACTATATGGACCAATGGTCTTACTAAGGCAGCTCCCTGTTTTCAGCGTTGAAGTAAGATTAGCTGTCATTCTGGTCAGCTTCTGTGTGTGGAATGAGGAAAGGGACGCCATCTTGTTCTTTGCCTCAAGCAACCAAACATCAGCCTGCACGCTCTGAGGGAATATTTTTTCCTGAGTTACTGTAAACCCCTCAGTAAAAGTAGAGTTGGGTGTGTGTGAAAGTTATCTCTCATTGGAACAAGTAGACCTTGGCAACTTTTGAATCCAAGTGCTTCTTCTTTAGGCATTGATCTACCAAACATGGGGGTTACATAGGTACATCCTTGCACACTAGACCGGCGCAACCTCATACTTTGGCCTTGATCTGTGTGGCACACTTGCCAAGTGGACTTGCCACTGCTAGGCCACATAATGCCCAATTCATCAGGTGAAAGAGTTCATTAAATATCACCAGTGCTTTATATGGGAAGAGAGGTATGAATGAAAACCAAAGCAAAGAGGAAAGCCAAACAAACCGCAGGAAATGAGGGAAAGATGGCAAGCAGGAGGCAGTATGTCAAAGAGATGGAATACCATGCAACACCAGGAAACTAGTCCCATACATCAATGACATCAGCCGGCAACTGTCTCCAGCACAGCAGCCCTCAACCGAGCCCTTAACAGACTCCTCTCTTCTTTACTGGGATCAGAGCGTTCGCTCGCAAAGCCCTCTCAGAACAAAGTTGAAATATCAAGAAGGAAGTATTGATTTCAGAGTCTCGGCAATTTGGACTTTGTGAGGCATGAACGAGAAAGATGCCTAGTTCCTTTCCCCAAAGGGCACCTGAGTGGCTGGGGGAGAGGCAGCGTGGTCTAGTCAATGCGAGTCCTGAGGGCGGTAGAGAGAGACCTAGAGATTTCAGCCCCGGGAACTGAGGTTCTTCACACCTGCCATACGGGATTTATTTTATTTTTACTTTTAATATCGCTTTCTCACATAAATGTGCCATAACATTCCACAACAGCAAAAAAAGCATATTGACGCATCATTACAGGATAGATTCTCTGTCTGAAATTCTGGAGAAACTGTGTATTAAATATAAAGCTAAAGAATGCAGCTTTTTTTGTTAGCTAGATGTTATCTTCAAACTAAGCCGTTCTCACCATTCTGTTAGCATTGTTCTGTTAAATCTAATTATGGTCCTCCAGTCTATTTTTAAAAATTATTTGTTGATGTGATGAGGAAAGTATTTACTCCTTTGAGACTTCAGGCTATCCCCACAGTATATTTAGAAGGGAGATACTATGGAATACCTGCAAGTTATAATTCTGGACAGAGAAATGTGGGAGATATTGTTCAATGTATTGTGTATTGTTTCATGCCTATTTCCTCTGGGGATAGGTTTCTGGAAGAGATTCTTGAGACGGTTTCATTTTTTTTAAATAGCGAGATTTTGTTACTTACTGGATGGTGGTTGGTACATCTGTATGTCTGTGGTGACCAATGGCTTGTAACAAATTAATCTGACTGAATCTGCTGCGAGGCTAATAGCATTATCTCTGTAATAACCAATCTGGCTAGCAACAAGAGGGAAATAAGTACATATTTAAGGATTGCATCACTAATGACAGAATGCTTATAAAACTGATTTATTGCTCTTTTCAGTCAGTAATAGCATTACACAGTTTACAATGCCCCCCTAACCCCAATATTTGGAAGCATTTACAGATCTTGTCTCTGTTTTAAAGTTTTCCTTAACAGCGAATCCCAAGGAAACATGATCTCGTTTTGAAATATGCTCTATCTGACATCTGAATCCACTCAGATAATAATGTTTCTTGGTAATTCGTTATCTCATCTGATTACAAAATCTCCATCTTCTTTTAGTCTTTAACTCCTTGTTGCACTCATCTTTTCCTCTCCCCTATAATTTTACATTATCTTTCTGTACTCTGAAGCACCTTTCATTCATCCCAACAGGGGCTGTGCAGGTGGATTCATCGTGAACTTTGATTTTGGGTCTATTGCAATAGGTTTGACCTCCCTTCCGAAACTTCAGCTTCAACCCTTTCCATTTAAACATGACCTCAGCGCACACAGCTGATATTTGAGTATGGATTGCTTTCTGCTAACCTCTTGTAGATTCTGAAGAAGCAGCTGCTTGTTGTCATCTTTTTCCCCGCTTGGAGAGAGGATGGAGCAAGGCTGGACCAGAGTTAGGAGCCAGCTCTCTAGCTAAGAGCAGCTGATTTACGTTTCAGAAGTTTGGGGTAAGGAGCCTTAATTAAAAACACAAAGCCTTGCATTCTGTATCCCATGCTGAATGTTAAACAAGCTCTGAAAATAGAAACAGGAGTTAACCTTGTTTTCATTAACAACTTTTTTTCCTCCAGATTCTGATCTAAGGAATGGAATATGGAAAGTGTGTGTGTGTGTGTGTGTGTAAGAAAGAATGAGATATTTTACATGTGATTCTTTGGTAGACCTCACTACATGAAAGGCATGGATAGTGCTGCTTTGGTGCCAAGATCTCCTGCTCTTCTGTCGGTGTCTTTGGCAGGGCTTTCCCCACAGAGTACATCCCCATCCCCACCCCAAACAGCCTTGCTTTCCAGAAGTTGGTTTTTTCTTTTCATTTCTTAGTTTTTCCAACCAGGTTCAAATTAATTTGTTCCCCGTCTGTACAGCTTGTCTACCAAGTGTGGCAGCAGGGTTCTATTTCCCAATTCAGTCTCAGAGATGCAATCTAGGTGGCAGGATTTATTTCTTTTGAAACCATGAATAGAGAGACAAAGGCTGCCAGTACATAGAGCTCTGTCTTGGCTTTTATAACGAGGAGACAGTATAGTTTAAGAACGTAACAATTGCCCAATTGGCTCAGTCCAAAGATTGTTCCAGCACAGCACCCTTGCTTTGGCAGAAGCAAGCAACCAAGATAAACCCACAGATGCTCACAAGTTGTGCAAGATGCTGATAGCCATTCCTTGTTCTTTGTCTCCAGCATTTGGTAATCAGAGATACTGCACCTGCTTCTGGAGGTTCCATTCTTGCCTGTTACGTTTCATAGTTATTGATCTATTCACTATGTATCTGTTTGACCACAACAAAATTTCACATGAGACAGGATGATAACTATGCATCACACAAGGAAATTCTACAGCCATAAACCAGCTCTTTGGCCGAGTTCATTCTATTCTATTCTATTCTATTCTATTCTATTCTATTCTATTCTAGAACCACTATTCTTGTGGTTTTAGCAGAAGCAATTTTAACCAACAAGGTAGGGAGGTGCAGGTCTCAGGTAACCCACTGTTGTTTTTAAATGAAGGGCACTTTATGGTCATTTTTGCCTCTGAGAATCCACCCAATTCATTTACTTAAAAATATGGCAGAACAAAAGAGAACATTTTTTTGTGGTGGCCTTAAATGACTTGCATGCATCCTCAGGGTAAACCCACTGTTGAGCTGGATGCTGTTGCAACAAATATGGCTGGCCGTTTGGTGCCTTGGTGGTCAAGGAGGCAACTGTCCATACAGTGTTGTTGTGGATCACACCCTAGATTAAATACATCATAGAAATGGAGAGCAGAATGACGTAACTCCTTTTACGATGGAGTATCAATGGCTACTGGCTGTGATGGTTGTGTTCTGTCTCTGCTGCCAGAGGCATTATGCTAGTTGCTGGGAATCCCAGGTGGGCAGTGTGCTGCTGGTCTCAGGACCTGCTTACAAGTGTCCCACGGACATCTGGTTGGCCTCTGTGAGAACAGAAGTGCTGGACTTGATGGGCCACTGGCTTGATTCAGGATGTCCTCATCTTCTTCGGAAAACAGTCGTCACATGAAAAGGCAATAAACTTTGGCATTTGGAAAAGAAATCCATCATTTTCCACAAGGGAAATGGATCCATGTGGATAATGTGTTGATTCATATCCTTTCCGTTGCCCTCTCGTACCCTGATAGATGGGTCTGGTGCAGATGGGGATGTGCACCCCCAGCCACGGCCACTGCCGCATGCAACAAAGTGCAACTAGATTGAACTGGAACTGGTGTCTGCTGAGAAAGTATTCAAGCAGAGTGTTCCCAAGATGTCTAACACCAGGCTTTCATAGGTCTGCGTTAGCGTGTTCTGTAGCATCAATCAGTGGCAAGTTAGACACCTTGTTTAGCTAATGTCACATTCCGGTTGTGCTCCTATCTGTATGTGTTATTTGCCCTTCACTTTGAGCCATGGCCTCAAGCTATAGCCTGTATTTGGCATTCTTGTATCTGACAAGAGTCCTATGATCTTCGGTCCTGGACCTCACTTTCCTAACTTCTGCTTACTTCAGCACATTTGTAAGGTTATAGAACATAGCTTTGAAATACCTGACTACTGCCAACAAGCCCCAAGGTATTAATTAGGATTGAAAGTAATAATAGACCAATAACTGAGATATTGGCAGAGGAGAGACTGTGTGGGAAGAAGAGGCAAATGTACATTATGTACCTTGTTAAATATATTACAGTCAACTTGTGCATGGTGCGGGTTTTTTTTGAATGCGGCATTTGTCCTAAATAAGCCCTTAAAAAGCCAGTTATTGTTTAATGTAATATTTTTCTCTTTGCAACATTTATAGAGTCAGACTTAAAGAGTTTCCTCTCATTTAAGAAAAAAATCAGGCTTAAAAAGTCCAGACTGTGGGCTGGACCTTGATGAAGTTAGGTGCACTTAATTCCCATTCAGATGGATGGGACATTTTGGTCATGATTAAGTCCCATTGATTTCAATGGGTACTAAATACAACCAATTTAGTTCAGCCTTATATGGTTTTGCATGGGAAATGTTAAACATTTACTAAGTTGCTGGGCACTGTCCAGAGGAGGTTCTCTTCTGTTGACAGAGAATAAATCTGCAATTCTAAATTTAGGCCATATGTACTCAGAAGCAAGTTCCATTGAATTCAATGGCGCATACTCCCAGGTAAGTGGCATTAGGATTGCGGTGCAATGCCATGAATGTATATTCAGAAGTGAAACCCCATTGCGTCCAGTATAAAGGGTTGAAGCCTAAATCTCACTGAACTCAGCAGCACTTATTTCTGAACAAGAATGCTTTAAGATAGTGCTATAAGTTCTGCTACTGGGAAAACTCAGCTTTATGCCAAAGGAGCAATTCTTTTCTCTCTCTCTCTCTCTCTCTCTCTCTCTGGTTGCACAGTTTGTCAGAAGCACCTATTGGCATGTGTTGATGCCATCACTAGCAAAGAACACACACAATTCCGTTTCCCACTTCCCAGCCTGGCACTACTTTGTGCCATTCCTAGAATTTTTTATTATTATTTTATCTTTAATCAAAATGTACACTAACAATACTATGTAAATATAAATGGTACTGTGTAAATATTTGAGATCATGTAGTTCTCCAGTGAGTATACAATCTATATCACACTGAAACATTTCCCTCTTTTTTCAGGACAGAGCAAAGTTGGCAAAGATGGCTTGGTTAACCTGCTCCAGCCATGTGTTTATTTTACATTTAAACACCAACAACCACCTGCGTTTCAATATTAACTTGCAATCTTATTTACAATACTTAAAACATAAAACAACAACCAAACCCAATAAAACAACAGAATAAATGAGGTAAAACCAGTCAGCAACAATTTATCAAATCATGTCTTCCAAAGCATAACAACATAATCCTATCCTCAGATGTAAACCACAAAGAATTCTGTGGTGCTTATTCCTGGTTAAGCTGAGTATACAACTGCAGTTTCAATTAATCATATAAGTGATTCCCCCCCTTAAGTTTCTGCAAAACTGCTACTGCTGCTGGTGTTGGGGCCATTTTCCAAGACTCCAGACTACTAAGAAAGCTGCGTGTGTTAATTGGCTTACTAGGGTTTTCTGGGCTGTCAATGACTTTTTTTTTTGTAAATGGTCACAGATAATAATGTAATTATCACTATCTGTACTTTTCTGCATTTCATCTTCTTTTGATTGCACTGTTTATAACACCCAAACATACATGCAACTCCTGCAACTCAGCACAACTTTCATCATAGCTGTCAACCTTTCCCTTTTCTTGAAAGGAATCCTATTTGGAATAAGGGAATTTTCCTTAAAAAAAGGGAACAGTTGACAGCTATGCACTTCATGCATCCGGTGAAGTGGGCTGCAGTTCATAAAAGTTTGCCATAATAAAGTGATGAAGTATTTAAGGTGACCCAAGAAGTTTTGTTGTTAAAGTATCGAGGCACAGGCTTCAGCAAAATTAGTGCATTGTGTGTCCTCTGTACAGACCATACCCTGGGGCAATATTTCTTATCTTGATGAGGGCAGGAACATATGTGCGCAGTGCTCCTTTGGAGCAGCACTGAATTGTATGTAAGCTTAGAATTTAAATGTGGGAGTGACGCAGTAATTGTGCCTTTGAAATCCACTTGATGCCTGATCCTGTGGAGCACACGTAAGTCTACACAGAACTGCAACCTCTTCTCTACCTTGCTTTGTTGGGTGGTATGAAGCATGGTGAAATTGTTCTTCAGGTGATAAATGGTTTATTAGCATTCAATTTAGTGTTGATGCAGAGAATGGTCATCCGTTGCTTGGGACTAACAAGTACTTCTAATAAACAAACTTTTAAAGCACATTTTGAAATATGTTTAGCATATTTGTGCCATTAGGCTCTTCTCTCTTCCCCCACCCCAAATGCCCTTTTGTGTACCCCCCTTTTGAACCTCAAGTAATTCCTGGTAAGAGGAAGAAACTGCTACATATTGCACATGTATAATAGGCTATGTTGCTGCCTAAAACAACCGTAGCTCAAAATACACATGGACTTGATGGATTCATTTAGAAGTCTGCCCTTCCCTGGGTGTTCTCTGGCCAGGTTACATATCATAAAAATGAAATAAAACAGTACAGCGTATCAGCAGCATCTAAAACCCTTTAAAATACAAGCCAGCATTAACTTAACAAAACAGTCCTGCTTCAGGCACAAACACAACAGCAGCAATACAGGATATGACTGACATATCGCTTACAAGAGATTAAATCCCTTCCAAGCGCTTGTCAAAAAGTCTTCAGCTGCCAATGGATAAGCATCAGTTTCAGGCACACCTGCGGGGATGTAGATTGATCTTTGTTGCATAAATAGATACAATTCATTATGGTTTACAAAAAAAGAAGTTGTGCATCAAGTTATGTATCAAGAAGTGATTGGCTAATGGGAAAGCAAAAGAGGAAGAAAGGTGCAGAATTTTGTTTATTCCTTTAAGACCTGGAAGTCACCTGCACAGTAAAAAGGTAAAAGGACCCCTGACCATTAGGTCCAGTCGTGCCCGACTCTGGGGTTGCGGCGCTCATCTCGCTTTATTGGCTGAGGGAGCCAGCGTACAGCTTCCGGGTCATGTGGCCAGCATGACTAAGCCGCTTCTGATAAACCAGAGAAACGCCGTTTACCTTCCCGCTGGAGCGGTACCTATTTATCTACTTGCACTTTGACGTGCTTTCGAACTGCTAGGTTGGCAGGACACCTGCACAGAAGCAGCCATAATTTCCCCAAGCATCTAGAAGTGATTTTCTTTTTCTCCAGCTTCTTCCAAGGAAGCGACAAGACCACGCAGGCTGTGGACCCTATGCAAACATTTAACTGGGAGCAAGTCTCATTAAGCATCCTGGCACTCACTTCTGAACATGTTTAGGATGGCGCTGTCAGTGACAAGGGCTTCTCCCTGGCAACGGAATCCCCATCCAGATACTGCACCTGTATATTCAGAGCTTAGTCCCAGCGTATCCAATGGAACTTTGCTTACACAAATGTGGAGACCTGGGATAGTCACTTTACAAACCGAAGCATGTTTACTCAGAAATAAATCCGGGTGAGCACAATGGATTTAGACTGCGATCCTATACATGGGGCATTTGACTTACTTCTCACTGGGCATCGGACAGGAATAGAGGTCTCCAGGCTCCTTCGAGCCCTCTGGTTTTCCTAGAAGACAATGGGGACCTTAACTTGCTTCTTACGCCCCGGGTTCTTCTTAGGGCCTTCAGGTGCATCTTGCCCTCCACTAAGCAGGAGCAGAAGGCGGCAGGCCGAGCCTGGCCCCGCTCCTCCCCCCCCTCCCCTCGCCGTCCCCTTGACAGACACCGCCGCGGGCTTTCCAAGCCGGAGCTGCCCGGGAAGCTGGATACGGCAGGGGGAGGATGTTCGCAGGCTGAGCTGGCCAGAGGGGAAACATGAGAAGGCGCGGCTATTCACGTTCCGGGGCCCGGCAGCTCCTGCCTGGGCAATAAAGGCGAGCGGCGGCCGCGGTCAGAGCTTGTGGTTCAGGAGCTCGCAGGGGCTGCTGCGCGCGCTGAAAACGGGCGGCGGGAGCGGGGATGGGAGAAGGAGCGGCCGGGCAAGCGAGGAAGCGAGGAAAGCGGCAGCCCGGACCCACCTCACCTCCACCACCAGCAGCGACCCTCAGCCGCAGGCGCCAGGTACAGCCCCGGGACCCTGCCTCGGGCATGGGGGGAAGGTGCGCGCGCCTCATTTGTCTGACTGAACCCGACCAAACCAAAGGACGCCGGAGGCCGGGGGGGGGTTGACCTCTCCACCTTCCCACACTCGCTCGCGCAAGGCCAACCACCACCGCCACTGCCCCGGATACAGAGTCGTGCCCTCCTGCCCCCGCTCCTTGGTCGCGCTCCCTTCTACTCCCCTGCGTTTTGGGTCCTTAGTGGTTTTGCCCCTTTGTAAAAAGCGCCGCCGCGAGAGGGCAGCGTGCAGTTGCCCCGCGCAGGGGCGGCGGGAGCGGGCAAAGCGCTGTCGGCGCTGAGGAGCCCAGAGGGAACGCGCGCCCGCCCGTGTAACTGCGGCCCGCGACGCCTATGCTGGGCACGCGCGAAGGTAACTAGGGGGGGTTTAAACTGGGTTGAAATGGCATAATTCGGCGGGAAGGAGGAGGTGCGGCCACTTAAAGCGATTTGAAAAGAGAGAGGGACTCTCTCCGTGGTGTGTTTTAAGCGGCCCCGGAATGGTTTTGGTTTTCGTGTGGAGCCCGTTCGAGCGCGCTGGCGTTCCCAGACGCGCATCCTTCTCATTGGATACCTGCGCGGTGTCTTGTGCAAAGCGATCCCTGTCATTCGGGGCGAGTCCACTTGGCGCCGCCCTGGGTTTCCGGGGCCTCTGCGACCCAAGAGAGGCGCTCGCTTGCTTGTCCCCCTTCGTGGCGCGGGCGGCGCTGCGTGGTCGGTCGCCTGCTGTCCTGCGGCGCCGGAGGAGCGGATGTGACCGGCCTGCCGATGGCGCCCCAGAGGCTTCTGCGGAGCGACGACCTTTGCGGGAAGCAGGTCTCTCTGCAGGCATCCCGGGGTCGTGGCGCTCTGCTCCTTTCCGAGTCCCCGGGAATCTGGGGCATTGGAGTTCGAGTTGTGCGCGCGTGTGTTTGCAAAACCCATAAATTAGGATACGCGTTGTAGGCACCGACGTGCTGTGTGTTAACGAGGAATTAGAGACGTCTGGTTGCTGCTGCTGACGCTGGTTTAAGGACCTGCTCCGCTCCCCCTTCCCGCCGCTTTTGGTTCCTATGTTTTTGTAAGAGCTCATTGAGACGCAGTTTAGTGACTGCTTTCCATCAGTCTCCTTTCCTATTATCAGCGTGGTTGAAATAGATTTCTTCCAACATCATATGTCCAAAGAGTGGGGATTCTCCCTTTTGACAACTGTGGTCCTTGCCTCGGATTCCTACGTGGTCTCTATCTACACGGCTTGTAACGTGGGAGCCCCCCGCCCCCCTCCTGAGCTAAACCTAAGCGACGGTGGTGTTGGACGGGGAGGGGCAGGGCGAGGCTTTTTCCTCGCAAAACAAGGATGGAAAAAGGGACCACCTTCCTACAAACGTTAGCAAGGAGCCTTCCTTACAAAGGGACAATTTCTGTGGTTGGGTGCGATCCAAAAGGCGGGCAGAAAACCCCGCGGAGCAGGATAAAGAGGCGCTTGTAGTGGGCACGCATTCGTGTACACCAAGTCACACGCTCATAGACACGCGTGTCCAGGGGGAGAGTTGGTTCTCAACACGCGCGGACTTGGACTGGGGCCCTGGCGAATCCGGCAGCGCGCGCGTGTGTGCTTAGGATCTGGGCCCTGCTCGTTTTTCATGCGCACTAGTCAAACGAGTCTGAACGACATCCTTGCAAATATTGACAGTGGCCCGTCGAGTTAATTTCTCTGGTTACTCGGACGTTTTCGGCCAAGGAAAAGCGGCCGCGGGCTGGCTGCTTGGCGGAGAAAGTGGTACTTTCTCTCATGGGGCGGGGGGGGGAGGCCGGGAGCAGCCCCAGGAAGAAAAGGGCCCCGATCTTGTTTTTTAAAACCACGCGGAAGGGGAGCCGCTGCTCGGGGTGCAGCTGATGGCTCGGATCCCGCCGGGCTGCGAGGTGGAAAGAAAACCCTCGGCCTAGAGGGAAAGGGAGACGCCGGGGCCAGAGCTGGGCGGCCGCATCCTGCGCAAGAATCAGGCAGCCTGCGGCGTGGATTGTGCCTGGACACAATGGTCTAGGTGTGTTAGGGTGCTATGGACGCCGGCTTGAGACGGGAAGGGAGAGGCGGACGGTCCCCTCTCCAAGTGTAAGCCAGTAGAGGAGATCTGGGAGCCACCAGAGAAGGGATGCTTTGGCCCGGGGCAGACGGACTGAGGAGCGGAGCAAAGAGACGCCCCTTCGGGTGGCTGCCGGTCCGGTTCTCTGGAAGATGCCCGCCAACCATCATCTTCAGTTCCTGGTCACTGCGCTCTTTCCCGTTTCGGTCTTCACAGCCACCGCAGGCGCTGTAACTCTCCAAGAGTTTGACGACTTCTCCCCGCCAGGCGCACTGCAGACAAACGGATGCCAACAGCCACAATTGTGTGTACACTATATGGTTATTACACTGTTAATCCCCCTCCTTTACGTCCCAAGAGAGGGTATCTGTTGGCCCATTTTGATAGGTGGGAAACTGAGGTCCAGTATCTTCCTCGTCTGCATTTGAGACGGTTGTGCGCGCGCCTCCATTTCTATATTTCCTTTCACTTTTGTGCGCTATCCCCCCCCCCCCCCGTTCAGTTTGATGGCCTCCCTGAAATCTAGAGGCGGCTCATTTAAAGCACAAGTTGAATTGGGAGCCCGCTCTTCAAGTTGTGGAAGGTGTTTTTTAAGCGTTGGCTCTGTGCGCGCACACGCTTGAAGGGTCTCAATGCATTGCAGCCTGGGTCATATGACGGAGGTTTTAGGGCCATCCGCTGGTCTAAAGCTCCGGCACCTCGCAGTTCCTCTAAGCCAGGCATAGGCAAACTCAGCCCTCCATATGTTTTGGGACTACAACTCCCGTCATCCCTAGCTAACAGGACCCAGTGGTTAGGGATGATGGGAATCGTAGTCACAAAACATCTGGACGGCCGAGTTTGCCTATGCCTGCTCTGAGCACCTAATGTGTTTTTCACGAGGACGCCTTTTCACACGTTAGGCTGAAATTATCCCTTGAGCTTCCCCTGTCAAGAAACCTGGCCCGGAGGACCTTCAGAGAGAGACAACGCTGGAGACACGTGTCGCTATCGCAGACACGCACTGCCCCTTACCAACGCGTGGCGCAAACAGCAGCAGCAAGGCGCATTTGACACCGCAGATAGAAAAAGTCCTCTCGATCTTTACGCATCTGCGGTTTAACAACCCGCTTTCAGACCTCTCGGTTGCTGCTTGTGGCACCTGCTAAGGGATTGGATTGGAAAGAAAAGGGATAAAGCAGAGGCTTCTTACACCTCAGTTTTGGAAAAGTCTGAGCGCCTCCACACCTCTCCAAATGATAAGCGTTTCCATCCTTCAGCTGGAACGCCTATTATAAGATACATTCGTTTAATTCCTGGTTTTCCACCCCGCTTTTTGCCCCGTTTCAACAACCCCGTTTCAATGGGTCCAGCGGTTCTGCCTGACTTTCTTCGCCCTGCCCTGGCCAGAGGGGAAACGGACCGTGGCCTCTCCTCGTTTCCAGCCCACCTTGAGTTGGGAAGCCTATGGACGCCTCAAGATCCCCGAGGAGGAAATGTTCTGCCTACGTCCTTTTTGTCGACTTTGACGTGTACGTTTGAGGCCTTGTTACAGCGGATGCTGGTTCCCCGGGGGAAACGGGACACTCCGTCTGCCCTCGCCTCAGCCAGCCAGACTCCACCTGCCTCTCTTCTTCCTTAAAACCAGTCTAGAGGGTGACCGGGCTGCCAGCTTCCTCCTCTGTTGTCTCAGTGTTGCCCTTCAGTAGGGAAGGGAGAAGATGGAGTCAAAGTCACTGCCTGTCATTGGCTCCGCCTCTGGGCACCAGCCAACCCTGGGCTTTAAACCTCAAGGGATGCTTTTTGAAAACAAGATCCCGCCCACCCCTTCTGCATTAAAGGCAAGTGACTGTAGTTCAGTAGTAGGGCATCTGCTTCCCATGCAAAATATCCCAGGCTCAATCTCACGCAGGACTGGAACCTGGAAACTGGCTGTGTAGGACCATTCAGAAGGAGAGGGGCCAAATGGTCTGACTCGATATAAGGCAGCTTTCTAGGCTGAGAGAGGAGACAACCACGCCAACCCCAAGATCCAGGAACGCTGGAGGGTTGCAGTAAGGGTCGCTCACTCCACACCTGCTAGACCAGGGCCATCACTTAAAAACGAAGTTTAAATGGCACTTTGGACTTGGAATGGAAATGGAGGCTTGGCTTCCCACCCACCTCGCATTGCATGTGTGCGACACGAACTTGGATACGACTTAAATTTCGTGGGCTAAAGCTCCATTCAAGAAACGGCCGAGTTCATTTTTTTAAAGAAAGATGTCGGGGTAGTTCAGTGTGTGTGGGCAACCTTTGAGGTTGGGTCCTGACACCCCAAGCCACCCACCTGTGGCTTCCCAGATGTTGCCGGGCTCCAGCTCCCATTTGCCGCAGGCTGCGCGGTCCATGGTCAGGCATGATGGGAACTGGAGTCCAGCAAACATCTGGAGGGCCGCAGGATCCCCACCCCTTGATCTGCGGGGACCGAAATGGCTTGGGACCATAGCTGTCAACTTTTCCCTTTTCTTGCGAGCAAGCCTATTCGGAATAAGGGAATTTCCCTTTAAAAAAAGGAAAACGTTGACAGCTATGCTTGGGACCCATCGGACTCTAAAAAGACCTTCCCTTCTTGTAAACGCATCCTCTAAGACCGAGCTCTAACAGCAGCTCTTAGTGGTGGGTCAAAAAGCGGCGCGCTTGGAGTCCTGCTCAGGTGGGGCAGTCAGATGGGGATGCGCCTTACTTCCCTGAGTAGGGTCGAAGGGCGCCCTTGCTCCTTCTGCTGCATGGGACCCTGGGCATCTGCCCCAAAGCCCCCCCCCCCCGTGCCTGCTGCCCCCAAACCGTGCGCCCTGGCTCTGGCGCACTGAGAAGGGAAGCGCGCTCGTTTCCGCGCCGCCCCAGCGGGCCGCTCCCCCTTCCCTTGCCAAACCCGCCGGCCTCGATCTCCTCGGCTTTCGCGTCTCCGGCGACTTCAGCTGCTTCCCCCACCCCCTCGAGTAACCCGATGCTTCTCCTCCTCCTCCTCCTCCTCTTGCAGCGCCCGTCGAGTCCTCGGCGCCCCTGAAGCGCAAGAGCGCGCGCCTCCTTCGCCCCGGCTGACCAGACTCTCCTCAGCCCCGGCCGCCGGGCTGCCCGCGCGCCCTCCCCGCCACCATGAACACGATCGTCTTCAATAAGCTCAGCAGCCAAGTGCTCTTCGAAGACGCCGCCAAGGAAAGGGAGAGGAGCAGCAGCCGGCCTTACGCCGGGGTCTTGGACGTGTCCGCCCACCCGGAGGTCCTCATGCCTGACAGCCCGTCCATGAAAGACAACCTCAGCCTTCGACACAGGAGAACAGGGTAGGAGCCCCCAGGCCGATGGTTTGGAAGGCGAGGGGTGGGAGAGACGCAACTCTGATCATGTGGGAAGCTTTGCATTGTTGGATTAATCCTAATTATGTACCGCTTTTCAGCCGGACCTGAAAACAGTTCAGTTTCTCAAGGCAGTTCACAAATAACAATAAGCATAGGCTCTTTTTTGTTTTTTTAACAATAACCAAAAAAAGTTGCCTCGTAGGAATTCAATCAAGCCCTTACTCGCCTGACCTAGTGGCTTTGTAAAACTTCGCCCCACAAACATTCCCTTTCTGAACAGCTAGGGCACTTTAAATAGCTTTAGAGAACCCACCCTTCTTATGACGACTTGAAAACAAATCCCCATGATTTGCATTTGCCTCCATTGATATTTGTAAGATCCTAGTCCAAAGGTTTATGTAAAATCCCGCTGTGGTGTTCAGTGAAGCTGTCTCCCAGAAAAAAATGGTTTATGGCATTGCAGATAGTGGTGTAAAAATATTGGAGTGATTACAGACAAGCGTATCAAATTTAGGGCTTCATCCAGAAACCGGTTGCTCCCTGCATATGGTGTGAGTGTGAAAGAGAGGATTAGAGAGGGTGCTGTCTGAAAGCAAAGTAATTTAAGGGTAGATTTAAATCCAAAACATGAAATCTGGAAGCAAGTAAACTCTAGTGATAAACTTAGAATCTATAGCAAAATATTACCCATTGTAAGAGACAGGCCATGTGGTAAGCAGCAAACCACCAATGGACAGTGCAATAGACAGTAACTGAACTGACTAACAAAAGAGTTCATTGGATTGTGGACATACCAACAGTGACTGACAAGATTATTGCTGTCTAGAGTTCTTGCCGGGGTTTTTTAAATATACAAAATGTATTTTGCCATAGGATCCAACTCCTAGGAGCCGAGGTCCCTTTGCTCCCCCAATAAAATATTGGGGGGCCACTCCACCCCCCAGTTGATGGACATTACCATTCAAATGGTGTGTATGTGCCATGTCTTGTGATTGATGATGCAGGGTGGGGCTAAGCTGGGACCCCACCCCCAATTATTTATTCAAGTTGGCAACCCTGTATTTTGCAAAAGCATTGTTTACAGTATATTACAAAAGTTTATTAAAAGTTGCCTTCTTCCAAAGAATGGAACACAGGAGTAAGATTGTTTTGTATTAATTGCTACAACACCTATTGCATCCTTCTTCAATGTGGTGACCTCGTGTTTTGGATTACAGTTCCCTTCAGTCCCAGCCAGCAAAGACTGACACATTGGGATACAAAGTGCTTTTACCCAAGAATTCATCTACTAAGGCTGCAATCCCAACTCCACTTACCTGGGAGCAAAGCCACACTGAATTCAGTACATACAGTTAGGATAGTGTTGAAAATCACATGCCCCAAATAACCCAGTTTTACTTTGCCTGTTCAGGGACAGGCAGAAGGGACAGGGGTGCCCCCATTTCATCTTTCAGCAGCATAATTCTAGACACTCTTGTTTTTGCATGCAAGTTCCACTGAACAAAAGGTGAGAAGCCTGAGGATAAACATGTGTAAGCTCAGGCTGCGCATCTGTAGTCAAGTGATAACTCGATAAATTTAATACGGTGCTTAAGAGATGTCCAGAATGCTAAAGACTGAAACAATATATTTTATAGCTGAGTTACCAATTTTAAAAGATTGCATCAGCTCATACTTCTAATAGCATTTCAGGTTGGCAAGAGGGTGATTGTGTTTCATCAAGATTTTATTTCCAGCTGATTCAGGCAGAATTAGATTTCAAATAAAGTGTCAGAAGGCAAAAAGCCCAAGAGGCTAAAAAAAAAAAAAAGGTGAGAACTGGGAATTTTGGGGAGGGGGGGACAGATATGGAACAAGCCGCAGATGTAGCCTGAGAGCAGCACCTTCTGGAAGTGATTTGGTATTACAATCTCAAGCCGCAAGTCATTAGGGTAGCAGAATGGGAGAAGGACAGATCCGACCCGTGGAAGCTATCCTGCACGGGTCCTAGTGAAATGAATCAGAGCCATGCTGTTGAGCAGCTTGAAGATATTAAAACAGGGCTTGTGTGCAACAGAACATCCAGGTGGATTATGCCTCAGCCTAAAGTGTGTGTGTGTAGTTTTTCTACTTTGGCCATCAAAATATCCTTGGTTGGTTCTCTGTCAGGAACAAACTCCCCATTGTATCTAATCAGGTTGTGATTAGATATGAACTTGTGCATGCGGTTGTTTAGGGCACTATGGCTGAAATCCTATGCAGACTCACGTGGGTAGAAGTCCCATTGAACGATGTTTAAGACCAGGCTTGGCATTTGTTGAGATGTGCCAGAAAAACCAGCAGATGTCTAAAAAGGTTGTTAATACCTGTCATTGGATGGACTTCTGTTGGTGTAGGAATGTGCATTCATTCCATCAAGCAAAACCTTCTCCTTCACCCAGTGAAAAGTTCCAGGTACAGCTCATTATCTGGCAACAGATATCACGTCTTCCATTATGAGTGTTTTATTATCTGGAGCAGAGCTAAAATATTAATGGCCTATCATCACTGGATTGTGAGTGAAGGCCAAATTAATTCCACTTAAGATTGGCTTGATCTTGATGTGCAAATTCCTGACATGTGAGGAAGGGTGGTGCTCTCGTGGCAACTAGACCATAAACAGATGTGCGCTTGGGAGCATTGGAGAGGAGCATGGGAAACGGACTGCTGCAACATGTTGAGTAATCCGATGTTCAGACGGCTTTAATACCAAAACAAGCTGGACTTGGATCTTCCTTTCCTGTTTTTTAAAATTCTTGTTCTAACAGTCTGTGCTGATATTAATTGTAGATAACTGGGGGGACTTGAAAGGGACAGTGGCAGAGCTTCTGTCTGGAATTTAGCTTTTTTTTTTGGTAACTCATAAGCACCCAGCAATTTTTGCAATAAGCAGTCTTCTACGGGAGGAAGGCTATGGTCAGACTGGCCCTATTTTGGCGCCTTGAAGTTTTGCAGGACCCCTGCATTTGTTACAGTTACCCCCTCCACTCCTCTGACGAGCAACGAACAAGCCCACACCTTGGGAATGATCGAAACCGATTCTGCAGCCCTCAGTGCAGGTTTGCTTGCCCAGTCTGATGCCTTCCTGGTGCTGTGGACTGCAACTCCCATCGTGGGACTCCCATCATGGTCCCAACCCTGCTGGCGAGGACTGATGGGAGTCATGGTTCAAAACATCTGGAAGATACCAGGTTGGGGAAGGCTGCTGTATACATTGCTCTGGAATGCATGCTTTGCTGCACACAGTACCCCACCCAAGAACTTGAGCCCCAAGTGGGATGAGGAGAATGCAAAGGACTGAATGCATCCTTGTGCTTCCACCTCTGGATTGGCACTTAACCGTAACCAGTAATCTGACTTTGCTGCCATTGGTCTACCAGAGCAGTTTGTGTGCAGCAGCCCAGTGCTAGGTGCACATAATGCTGGACTGATCCATTTTAACTTGGAGCTGGTATGCCTTTTGCTGTTCTTCCCATGCCTCTGTTGGTACATGCTTTCTTGTGCGCCACTGATGGAGAGCCTTGGTGACTGGGAGCAGCTGCCGAGACCACATAACACCGGTCTTGAAAGACCTACATTGGCTCCCAGTATGTTTCCGAGCATGATTCAAAGTGTTGGTGATGATCTTTAAAGCCCTAAACGGCCTCGGCACAGTATACCTGAAGGAGCATCTCCACCTCCATCATTCTGCCCGGACACTGAGGTCCAGCGCCGAGGGGCTTCTGGCGGTTCTCTCACTGCAAGAAGTACCAGGCAGAGGGCCTTCTTGGTAGTGGCACCTGTCCTGTGGAACGCCCTCCCATCAGATGTCAAAGAGATAAACAACTATCTGACGTTTAGAAGACATCTGAAGGCAGCCCTGTTTAGGGAAGTTTTTAATGTATGTTTAATATTCTGTTGGGAGCTGCCCAGAGTGCTGGGGAAACCCAGCCAGATGGGCAGGGTATAAATAATAATAAATAATAATAAGTTGTTGTTGGTATTATTATTAATAATAATAATAAAAGGCAGAGTTGAAGGAATGGCCTGTGTGTGAGAGAGAGAGTTTATCAGCTGTGCTGTACTTGCTTGCTTTGACTCCTGACTTACCTTCAGCTCTCTCCCCTCCAAAGCTCACTAGGGGAATCCCCCTCAAAGTCTGCAGGCTCGCCCAACATAAAAGAAGAGGCGAAAGAGTTATTTATGTCAAATACCAAGTGTTTTCTGTTAGCAAATACTGTTTTGTCTACCTCTTTAAGAATTATTATTTCAAATCGCTCTTCCAAGGTCAGGCAGCGTTTCAGCAGCTTCCTTACTCGGGGAAGGCTTGTTGTTTTCATAAGATGCTAAGAGACCATATGCAGGATCCAGAGCTGCAGTAGCAGAACAGTTCAAGTTACTGAAGCCTTCAGCTTGGCAGGTCCTCTGCCTCTGGCCCCTGAGCGACGGCCTTGAATCTCGCTTGCTTATTGCAAACAAATGCAATGCGTACGTAAATATTCCTTAATGTCATTATGGTGTTCCACGCAGGCTAGGAAAAAGAAATAGAGATGAGGCAAGTCCTTCTCAGCTTATTTGTGACCAATGAGCACCTTTGGTGGAAAAACCTGAAAAATACTTACTATGTATAATTTGCACATCCAGATTCTCGCCTATTCCTATAATGCATGAAGCAATTTAAAAGTGGGGTGGGGGTTTCCAGCAGTTTCTTTAGATCCCTGTAGAAAGAACTCTTGTCTGCTTGTGGGCTTCTCAGAGATGTTTGGAGACATCTGGACCAGATGGACTTTTGGTTTGATCGGCCAGGTTCTTTATGTTGCTTTCAACGGTTGCTGGAAATAGCGTATAGTGGTAAGGATATCTGGGAGCTGCAAGTACTAACAGACACTAACTAAAAGGCACTGAAATCCTGGGAGCAAGTCCTATTGAACACAGTGGGATTCACGTCTGAATCAACAGGGAGAAGGTTTCACTCCGCATTTAGCTAAAGTCAGATCTGCTCCACTGAGAGCTATGGAACTGAAGTGGTTTATAATTAAGGACCTATCTGCACTATACATTTAAAGCAGTATCATGCCACTTCAAATAGGCCTTCAGGTGCCCTCTACCAGAGTTAAGTAAGCACAGGACTTTTACTGCATTTATCTCTTTTTCTCCAGCATCTTTTTCCATTTGGCATGGAGGATACCCCCACCCCAAGACATCCCCCTTCACAAATCCCCCATTTCCCCACCCTGCATCTGATTTGGAGTTTGACTGCCTAGTGATTTTGTGCTATGGTACTGAAAGTAAGGAAGATAGGAAACAACAGGGCATGCTGACAGGCCCACCTGGCTATAATCTTCTCAAACCTACCTCTTTCTCCTTGCACTGTACAGTACCCGACAGAACAGTGGGAAAGTGAGGCACAAGCGCCAGGCATTGCAGGACATGGCACGGCCGCTAAAGCAGTGGTTGTACAAGCACCGAGACAACCCATACCCCACTAAGACCGAGAAGATCTTGCTGGCTCTTGGCTCCCAGATGACTTTGGTGCAGGTAAGAATGAGCTATGCCCCGTTACCTGTGTGACTCGCACCATCTCTGAAGATGGGCTGGCCTGGTTGCCCCACTTGTACTGAGCATCTTCAAGCTAAACTAGGTGTGATTGCAGCAGATCTGTGTGTTTTTAAACCAAGGTGTGACATAATTGCATGGGAGGCATCTCCCTATATCCCACTGCCCAAACTACGTCCTCCTCAGCCAGGCTCAGATTTTGGAAGGGAGCTCAGGTGGGAGAAACATATATTGGGTGGAGGATCAGGAAAGGTGAGTCACAGCAGCTTTCGGCTCCCTTTGCAGGATGTCGGTTTGCCGGAACAAAGGGATGTCTTGGGAAAGGAGCAGGCTCTCTCTTCCAGTGGTTTGCCTCTTCGTCCAGGCCCTTTTCTCCCAACCCAGCTCACTTCTCATTTCAGATAAGAGAGACTGCAAGAAGGCCAGTTATATGAAGGGAAAGGCTTGTTACCCAGAGACAGCCCTACCTTTAAGCAGAGTGAGATGACCAACTTAGATGGCAGCAAGGCCTTGGGAGGAGAAATTGGTTTGTGTGTATCACGTGGCCTCTCTTCCCTAGGCTAACCTGCTGCCTTCAGGTGCAATGGAGGCTGCTCCCTCATCTCCAACGTTGAAGGAAGATGCAACAGAGAGGTTGTAGCTCAGTGGTGGAGCACCTGCAGAAGGTCCCAGGCTCAGTCCCCAACATCTCCAGGTTGGGCTGGGAGAGACCCCTGCCTGAAATCCTGGAGAGCTGCTGCCAGTCAGTGTTGACATTACTAGACTAGATGGGACAATGTTTTTACTGTGTATAAGACAGCTTCTTATATCACCCATGTAAACCCACACAACTGCTCCAATCTGCAGAACTGGCATTCTTACAGATTCCACGTAAAAACTGCTCTGCATTTTTAAGAAATCAATGTTTCAGTCCTGCAGTACCCACACTTTGCGACTCCCTGCTTATTGACGCCAGGCAGGCAGCTTCCTCCACTCTTTCCAGTGCCTGCTAAAAACATTTTTGTTTTGGCAAGCCTATCCAGACATGTAAAAGGTTGGCATATGTTTTAATCTGGGTTTTAGCCTATCGTTTGACTGGTTTTTTAATGTTTCGAATAGTTATTTTAATCCAAATTTTATGGGTTTCTTCTTTGTATAAACCACTTTGAGGTTTTATTACAATCAAGGTTCTGTACATGAAATGGGGAGCACCAACTTATCCTTTGCTTCAGGCAGCAAAATTTCTTGGGGGAGTCCTGACAGTGCCTGGTACCCCCACACCCCTTTTAAAGCCAAAGATTGAGGGGTTCCTGGAGGACAAAGTTGCCTTCCGCAACTAGGTAATGATAGCACAAAGTTCATGGCAGCCTTTCTGGAACACCCTTCGCAAAACACTGTCCAGCCTCCATTCATTTTAGGAGAACTTGGGTTAGAGAGCACTTAAGGGCCAAAGTTTTTTGAACCGTGCCTTCTTGACTTCTCAGAGATTATGTTCTTCAGAAATAAAATGGCATGTTTGGTAAAAGAACACTTCCTTTGTTGTCTGCAGATCTGTCTTGGTTGACATGTAGTCCAAAAGCAAAAAATAATAATATTAAAATAATAATAATCCAGATGCTCCTTCCACACTTTGCCCAGAAATGCTCTCACATCTGCATGAAAACACATCATTCAAGGGAAAGGAAAGAATGAAGTTGTGGTCCAGAGCAGATTACTGCTTACAAAGAACTGATCCTCCGAGACACACAGGCAGGGGCACTATCACAAATCACACCAGAGTGATTGCAGAACAGCCCCACTGCAGTCAAACTGACTCAGATTGACAGTGATGTATCTGTGAGAACTGGGTCATGTTTTCACATCTACTTGGAAAAAATTGTTTCTTGTTCCCAAAAGCTGCACACTCCAGATTATCAAATAGTACTGCATAACTGGCTTTAATCTAGCACCGCACAGTGCCAGAACATTTCTGGAGGAGACCAAAATAAAATGTGTTTTCCTGATTTGTATTTCCTAGGCTTACATTCCTGAAGCTTAGATTGGCCTCCTCCTTTTCACATCAATCTGTCCAATTCCTTAACACTTGCTGGGTTCCTTTTATTCAGTCCTGCTGTCCTTGTGTTTGAGCCATAGCTTTATGTTAAGTTGTTCTGGCAAGCCTTCCCTTCATCACAGTATCTTTGTTTGTTCCATGCATACCACTTCAAGAAGTGTTTGCTAACAAGTAAAAGCTGGGCAGCCAACCAGTTAGTTTTTAGCTAATTAACTGGTTACACCTGCGCATATTCGCATATAAAGAAAAAATATAGTTTTAATATTTAGAGACTGTGAGTGTGGTCTTCAGGGACATTTCCACTTCTGCCTTGCGCAGGACAAAGTTACTCAGATAATAGGGTGGCTGCTTAGACATGGATAAATGCCACAACAAAAAATTGCAAGAGGATGCAGATTGTGTAACATCTGTATATGGTAATTTATATGGGTCGTGTGCAAATAAATAAATCTACTACTGCAAGGACCTTCGGCTGTGCAAAGGAAATTCCTCTCCTTGTGCCTGGTGACACCGAAATTGGTTACAGGGTTTCCCCCAGTCCTCTGAGGCACATTTGGGGAGGGCATCTGGAAAGGGAGAAGTTAGGATGTGCAAGCAGAAAGCCTTGGGCTAGCGGATCTATTTAGATACTGCCCTGCGCATAGATCCAAACTTAGAAGTGATTACTGTAAATTAAATAGATATGCAATACATCTTCCCATAGTGGAGAATCATAGAAATGTAGAATTGGAAGGAACCCCAGGGGTCATCTAATCCAAACCCCTGCAATGCAGGAATCACAGCTAAATTGCATGTGTTTCTTTCATGTAATACATGCATGCAGAAAATGAGATTCCCAGTGCGTACTACTGTTGTTCCCGATACAACATTGTGACCAGGTGACCTGTGTGCCTACTCAGTCTGCCATCCAGGTGTTAACCATTGATGGTCAATTTCAAGGCCTTTTCTGCTCTCCCTTCTAGTGTCACTTTATCATTAAAGCAGACCTGGACTGCACAGGCCTTCAAAGCGAGCAAGGCCTTCAAACAGCGAACATTATCTGACAACCCTTCAAATGGAGGACTTGTCATCCATCAGCTAGGATGCAAGGCTACCCTTTCTTTACAATGTAGCTTGTCTTGTTATTGCATTATGGTGGCTTTTAAAAACTGCTTAACTGGGGAAATGTTTCTAGTCAAATCAAGATGTGTTGAATCAATTAAATGTAGTAAGCCTACTTAAAAGATGCACTCTCCTCTCACCCTGCCTGTGGCCTCGCCTCTCTTCTTCTGTGCTGAGTACTTTTGGCTGTTTCCTCTGTCCGTATCGTCCCTGCATCCCCAAGGTTTTTATTTTTTGTCTTCTGCTTTCTTAACTCTTGCTTCAGTTCCATCTACATTAACACACATACATACAAAACCAATTCTCATGCACCAAGGAAAATCCTACAGAAAGTTAAAATAGTGTTTCACACTTCCCTGAGTAGAGGAAGTTTTACAGTTAGGGAGGTGTGTGTGTGTGTGTGTTTATGAGGAATCATAGAGTCATACAATTGGGAGGATCATCTACCATGGCCTTTCTCAACCTGTGGGTCCCCAGATGATGTTGAACTACAACTCCCATGACCCCTAGCTAGCAAGGCCAGAGCTCAGGGATGATGGGAGTTGTAGTCCAACAACATCTGGAGACCCATAGGTTGAGAACCGCTGATCTAGCACAACCCTCTGTAATGCAGCTGTCCCGTGTGGGGATCGATCCTGCAATCTTGACATTATCTGCACCACACTCCAACCAACTGAGCTATCCAGGCCCCCGAGGAAGTGCTGTACTAGAGACCTATGTTTGCATGGCATGTTTGCAGTATCAATTTCTTTTAACTGTACAAGCCCGGAAAGGGAGACTAGGCAAGCACGCAGACAAGTGCTTAGCTGTAAAAATGCCATCAGTTCTCCCAAAACCAACCGTGTGCCTTTTGGAAGACCCCCTGGTTCCTTTTTCACCAGCCAAATGTAAAAAAAATTTGGCTCCTGTTGGCTCTCAAATTGTTTCGCTTAGCCCCAGCCAAGTAGATGGAAGGAGTCCTGTGGCCACTAGCCACCAACTGCATGACTTGGTCCACTTAGTGGGGTGTGGAAACCTGGCCAGTGGGCAAAGGGAGAGGTGGGGGGTGGTGATGTGTCCTATTTTATATAGGACAGTCCTCTGCTGTGCAGCCCAAGTCTGGTTTAAAGATGAAGTACTATAAGAAGCTCCTGCCAACCTAGCAGTTTGAAAGCACATCAAAGTCCCGCTCCAGTGGGAAGGTAAATGGCATTTCCATGCGCTGCTCTGGTTTGCCAGAAGCGGCTTAGTCATTCTGGCCACATGACCAGCTGTACACCGGCTCCCTCGGCCAATAAAGCGAGATGAGCGCCGCAACCCCAGAGTCGTCCGCGACTGGACCTAATGATCAGGGGTCCCTTTACCTTTACTATAAGAAGAGAGCAAGAGGGCCCTTGAAGTTGCCAATCAGTAGTTAGCACCACCTGGGCTGAGCAGTCACCTGGTCAGTTTTCTCAACTGTAGGGAGGTGCACTGTATTTCTATTTAAATTATAGGAATTTGCACCAACTCAATTGGCATATGCACAGAGAGGTCATCAATTTTGGTGATGCTCTCATTTATTTATTTTTTGGCAATGTGTTAAGTGGACACTTTAGGTGCAGACCACATGGCAGAGGACAAAACAAAAGGCAAAGGCATTCTGCAGCTTCCTAATTTGTCTTCAGTGCTACAAACCTGGCTGAGAGTAGGAAATTTTTTTTCAAGAGGGGCAAATGGCCTGTACAGAAGAGTTTGGTGGGTCCCGGGGTAGATGGCCAATAGCACACAGGCTGATGGGATGCCCGATATATGTTGTCTATTCCTGTGGAAGCTGATTCTTTGGTGGAAAGGAAATTTGTAAGGGCCCCAGGCCTCTAGAGAAGACTTGGGAAAAGAACCACTCAGCCTAAACGTAGTAGGCTGAATGCTGATTATATTCATGCAACCCTAGCAAAGCCAATGGAGCAGTATGTAGTACAAGTTATTAGCCGCCAGCCCTCCCGTTTTGCTTTAGAGTTCGAAACTTTATACTCCTGAAACTAGCAGAACTGGAACAGGAAGCCAGATCCGTCTAAAAGCCACAGCCTATATTTATCTCGCCAATTAGCCTCCAATTTGGAGGCTAGCAATTTGTCCTGCTAATTTGCAATGAATATGTCATGTTTTCATTTGCCCTATTCCCGTAGGGGTGGATTTATTTTATTTTAAATTTGGGTTTAGCCATTCCTATGAATTTAAGGGGGGGGGGAATGAAGGAACATTCTTTCCAGAAGGGGAAATATGAATGGCTTTATTGTTGAATATGAAGTTATTTGCCACAGTATGACTAATGGACTGGTTCTGGCTTGCTAAGGATCATGCAATATTCAGGTTTTCACATTCATATATAGGATGCAACTTACTCTGAAAGGGGGAGTATTTTAAGTTACAGTCCCCTTCTTGATTATTAACAATGTGTAGTATGGGATGATAATTATAATTCAACCAAAGAAGATAAAGATAGGCACATTATTTTGCTGTTTTGGAAAATGGGGCTGCCACTTTTAAATGAAACCAAGCCCAGGAAACACATTTGCTGAATGGAAACACTTTATAGGAGTAAGTAGCAGGAACTAAGGAGTTGTAAGTAATTTTTTTTTTACAATTTTTAATTAGTTTTTACAATTTACATTTATATTCAAATAGTATTCATAATAATCATACGCATAAAAGATTCCCTGAATCCTTGAACTTCCCTCTACCCCTCCATGGGTTCCATTTACATTCCCTTTTTCTTTTACTACATCTTACAAGTTCTCCATTTTCTTGAAATTCCCTATTTTCCCACAGTTCTTGTTACAAGTGTTGTTACAATCCTGCCAAAGTTTTTAGTTGTTTACAGTGTTCTCCAAGATAAATTATTTTTTTTAAAAAAATTCCCATTACTTAGTAAAGTTTCTATCTTCTTGATTTCTGATCTTCCTGGTCAGGAGTTGTAGGTAATTTCTATTCCCTTCGTTTAGTCACGTCTCCCTAACCTGAAAAGCACGACACACATTTTTGTGCGCACACCCACTTACTTACTTATATCCTGCCATTCTTCCATGATGAAACTCAAGTTGGTATTACATTGGATTCTTGGGTGGAGATCTTCCATACAGGCACTAATCGAACCTGAGGCTGCTCAGCTTCAGCAAAGTGGCTGCATCACATGCCTTTAGGCTGGGGGTAGCCAATATGGCGCCAGACTACAGCTTCCACCAACTTTGACCATTAGCCATTCTGGCTGCCGCTGATGGGCATTTTAGTCCAACAAACATCTGGAGGGCACCATGTTCGCTACCCCTGCATCTTGGGCATATGCCTTGCTGTTTAAGAAACCGTGTGTGAAAATGGCTACTGAGTGTTTGCTTCCCAGGCCCGGAAAGCCCCATTCTGGGAGTGAGGGCTGCATGCCCAATTATTTGTGTGAGAAGAGAGCAGGCAGCTGAATCCATCCCTTTCTTCCCCCTTTCCCAAATAGATGATTGGTGCTACAGCCAGCAATCTGACTGTGCTGCTGTGGGTCTGGAACTATATACAACAACCCACTGCTGATTTTGCATGATGCTGGGTTATGGCCAACTAATATGAGACATATTAGTCTGTCACATTATATAGTAGGGATATATTTCATGCTTCAGCTGTCCTTGTTGGCCAGGGGGCTGTTGTTATTTTCTTTGGGGGATTGTCAAAACTTGGCTGTTTACTAACAGTTGCTACTCTTCAGGATATAGTTCCCTCCTTGGGGGCTCTGGAACCCATAGAGAAGTTTGATCCCCCAACCTAAAATGATTGGGGATTCTTGTTTTTAACAGCTATCTTATTTTATTTGTGAGATTTTTCATTCTCCTGGAATGCTTCAAAGAGGAGCTGTTCATATTCGCATGAATAATGCTTGCGGTTGACATGGAAATGTTGAGAGTGCGGTGTTTGCTGCTGGCCTTTTCAACCAAATAGTAGCACACGCACATAAATCACACTCGTTTTTATTGCTTGTTGTAAAGAGCTCTGTGGATAATACCCTACTTTCTATTGTTGCACGTGGCAGTCTGATAAGGCCAAGGTATGCTTCCGTGCTGCTCTTTGGCAAGCGAATGCATTGCCTTTGACAACTGCTGCAGACATTAAAAGTCTCCCACTGGGATGCTGAGCATATGAATGGTCTTAGACAGAGTCAGAAAGCTGGTCAGTCTGCCTAGTGTCAGACGGTGCTTGTGACTTCCAGATTACAGGGTCTTGTGCTAGCCTCACAATCCTCTCTGTCAGATGTATGAATTGCATACCCTATGACATTCCTCATATGAAAATAGGAGCATTTCTCACTTGCCCCCCATCCCTCCCCCACGCAGAGCATTTCCTATCAGAAGAAGGGCGATTTCCACCACTACTACACCATCATCATCATTTTTTATTTGTATGCCGCATTTTCACAGCTAAAAAAACAATGCTCAAGGCAGCTTACAGCATAACAAGATTTACATAATTACAAAAGTCATAAACAATAAATAAACCATATAAAAAATGGGAAACAATTTCCATATAAATCAAAATCTAAAACTAAGAATACAGCATTAATATCACAGTTTAAAATGACATAGGTAAAAAATAGCAGCAATTTAAACAAAAACAAAACAATGAGGCACATCCTCCATCATACTGAGAAAACCCCCTAATTCCAGTTTTATTCTATTCTTTGGTGGATGTGCAAAAAGAAAAACACACGCCAATAAACACATCTTAGAAAGGGGCAAGATCAGAATGGATGCACAAAGTATTCTTATTTTTATATCGAGACTCTTTGCGCTCCGCTCCTCCTTGCTTGCTCTCCAGCAGCCGCTACAAGTTGCCCAGGGCCAAGGAGAGGTAACGGGATGCTCCTTCCCCATCGCTCAGGACAAGCGCTGGCTCATCCTCCTTTTTGAGCTTGGCGGCGGCAGCAGCACTGGCAGGCGAAATAGGGACATTCCAGGATCAGATCAGAAGCTGGGGTGACTTTCGTAATCCTAGGACTGACCCTGGGAAATTAGGATGCTTGGAGGGTATGGCATTGATCAGTAACCACTGCCAGCGGAAGGTCACGACTGCATGGCTGGGCTGCAGAAATGGGAAGTGTTGAACTCAGAACCCCTGAAATTGCAGCTGTGCTTCATGTTTGTATCGTCACAGGAAGTGCAACCTGTTGCATCCTCCTTGCGGAAAGAGGGACAAGGCAGTATTTTGTTCTTCCTTGTTCCTCTGAAGCAACAGAAGTGCAAGATGATATAGACGTGGCCTTGGGATGAAGGCTTATGCATATATTTAAGCTGCTTACCTCAAAACCATAAAGGTGGCTTCTAATAAAGTTAGATTAAGTACTAAATATTTTCAGTGTTCATACTTCTTTCATTTTGGCTTTTGATGAAATAAAAATGCGAACAGTCTACTTGTTTCTCTTTCACGTGTCACAAAACACACGCCAGTGAGAAAACTCTTCAGTTCTCTCTTGAAGGAGGGAGAAAACTAATGCATTTTGTCTTTTATTTAGGTGTCAAACTGGTTTGCCAATGCAAGACGCCGCCTTAAAAATACTGTCCGGCAACCAGACCTCAGCTGGGCTTTGCGAATCAAGCTGTACAACAAGTATGTTCAAGGAAATGCTGAAAGACTTAGTGTAAGCAGCGATGATTCATGTTCAGAAGGTTTGTTTTCAATATATATTTTTGTAGATGTCCAAGCAAAGCCAGTAAAATTGAAAGTGGCCGACAATTCTCAAGGAGTTGGTGCTCTTGCAAGCTGCAACACATATGCATGCTAAAATTTAAGAAGCATCCATTCTGGCTTTGAGGAAGATGAAATCCTGGAAGCCATAGGGCTTAGGTGATCCCTACTCTCTGTACTTTTTATTTCATTTTACAATGTTTTTATGACTGGCTATCCAGGCAGCTGATGGCTTTAGGACTTCTGTGGAAGCACCTGCTAGGCATCAGAGCCTTGGTCCATTTTGTCTCCATTTTGGTCAGATGCTGGCAGTTCAAGGAATTCTTTTGCCATCTGCCTACACTTCCTCAGAATGAATACTGTATTAGGTAGCCACTGTGTTTTCTCTTTTGCAAGATGGAAACTATCCCTTGTCAGATTGGGCTGCAATTCCTAGGGCTATCTTTGCTGCCACAGTCAAAACAAAATAAAAAAATTCCTTCCAGTAGCACCTTAGAAACCAACTAAGTTTGTTATTGGTATGAGCTTTCGTTTGCATGCACACTTCTTCAGATACACTGAAACAGAAGTCACCAGACCCTTCTATATAGTGAGAGGGTGGGGAGGGGTATTACTCAGAAGGGTGGTGGGAATGGGTGATTGGCTGATAGGTGTGGTAAACCTGTTGACGACTGTTAATGACTGCAATTGGTCTTACAGGAAAAAGCAAGGTGTGAGATGGCTAAAAATAGCCTTATCATATATAATGAGATGTATAATGCTGCCACAGACACCCCAAAAAGTCAGGTCCATCTAGGCTCTTGTGCTACATTACTCCCTAAAATAATGGTGGTGATCACTCTGACAGAACGTCAGCAACACTCCTGCATGTCATCGATAGATGCCCATCAACAATTTGATTTCAGCAATTCTCGAATGGTGCACCACACCATTTGACCAGATTTAATTTCACGACCTGTTCAGCAAATAAAACATATGCTGATCATAAATCACTCCATGTAATTCGTACTGAAGATCAAAAGAATGCTCAAGAAATACCTTACCCCTTCTTCTAGTTTGAAGAAATAATCTGAAACTGGTTTTAGATGAGGCAGGGGAAGTGACTGGTGGCATTTAATGTATTTTCAAAATGGCCCTTCTTATAATCTAGTCTGATCTCACTTATCCTCTAAAGGATGAATTATGAATAAAAATATTTTTAAAAAAAGATACATAGGTAATGGTGTTCTCTGATGGGTCTTCTCTCTTCAGATGGCGAAAACCCTCCCAGAAGCCATATGAATGAAGGGGGATACAACACACCCGTTCATCACACCGTGATTAAGACTGAAAGCTCAGTAATTAAATCTGGAGTTAGACCAGAAGGAAGTGCCAATGAGGATTATGTATCGCCCCCCAAATACAAAAACAGCTTGTTGAACCGCTACCTGAATGACTCGTTGAGGCACGTCATGGCCACAAATGCAGCCATGATGGAAAAAACAAGGCAAAGGAATCATTCGGGTTCGTTTAGCTCCAATGAATTTGAAGAGGAACTGGTGTCTCCGTCATCCTCCGAGACTGAAGGCAACTTTGTCTATCGGACAGGTAGGGTATAATTTCCAAAGCTCTCGTGTTTTGTTCATTCATTCAACCTGGAAACAAATGTTATGGCTCCTGGTGGTGCTAATTGGTCTTCTCAGAGTGTTTATAAATCATAGCACTTTTAATTATGGCAAGTACCATGAAAATGCAGCCATCTCATCAGCAACCTAGTGAGGTAGGTCATTGTGGTTTTTCCTGGGGTTTTTTGCAGATGGATGTTTTCAGATGAGAGTGAATGACCTGGTTAGCCTCCCAAGTGTTGCTATGATAAACTGAATGTGAAAACCAGTCATAAGTTCCAACATGAGGACACAGCTCGTTGATCTACTTCGGCTCAGTTAAAATACAGTGGCTTTATGGGTGACCAAGACTCATCCAGAACCTGTCTTGGATAGCCATGATCAGTACTAGATTATGAAATACAGTCTTCTTAATTTGTGTATCCAAGCATGTGTATATACACTTGCTGTACTGTTTTTTCCTTCAAGAAAGGCACAAAAGAGTTTGTGTAACCGAAAGTAGGTGCTGGTGGAAAATATCTGAGTTTAGGCCACCAGTACTGAAATGGGTACCGCAGATCTTGAAATATTCCTGCACACCTATCTTCAGATAAGTCCATATACAGATTCGCAGCAATTACCAGTTAGGAACTTAGCTGGGGTATTAATCATTCCAGCCATGGAAGATAGAAGTGCCTCATTCTTGAAGACCTGTGGGGAATGGGTTGGTAAACTATAGATAACTGAAACTTTCTAAAACTGGATCAGTTCAGGGCATCCTTTGTTTGATCTTATCACATATATGGTATGCTTGGATTAATACAGTCATAACGTGGTTCTCAAACGGAATCCATTCCAGAATTTCGTTCGACTTCTGAAAATGTTTTAAAACCAAGGCACAGCTTCCGATTGGCTGCAGGAGCTTCCTGCACTCAGTCGGAAGCCAGGTTTGTGGCGTTCAGGAGCCAAAACGTTTGAGTCGCAAGGTGTTCGACAATCAAGGTACGACTGTATAGTCATCATCCCTGACCACTGGCCATGATGGTTGGAGCCAACGTCCAACAACATTTGGAGAGCAACATGTTGGGGAAGGCTGTTCAAGGCTTTTTGTGGGGATTCTGAAGATTGCTTGGCTGGATTTCAGACATGCACGTTCTGTTTGGTTTAATCCTCAAGATTTCCAGAACTTCAGCAGGTCTTCCACTTGAAGACTAAATGATCACACCTTGAGTTGAGGAGGTTGGCTGGGTGCAGTATAACATAGTGCTCTAAAACATTTTGCGTAGAGTAGGAGCTGTGGTTGCATAGTTAGTGTTTTCCAAGTGAAATCTCTTGGTTTTTCGAAAGCTATTTTTCAACATTCCAAGTGCATTTGGTCTACATTATGTGATAATCGCCTGCCAAATTTTAGTTTTAAAATGAGTGTTGTTCAAATGAGCACACGGTAACTTAAGACAAGTAAACTTCTGGTTTTCTATACTTACACAACTGGAATTTTAAAAACGGGCATAATCTTGAGTAATCAAATTGTTACTGGACTCTGTCTCTTGCCTGCCAGCATTTTAGCTTTGAGTGGGGAAAAAAGGCTCTTTTAATAGGCTGCGGCAGCTGTACGATAACCGCTGCAGCATTAACGGGCTGAGCATTTGGAAAAACAAGCTACAAATTGTTACACGATCGCTCTAATCTCCCTGTTTTTATGTGTGCAGAACCTCTCCTATTTAGCATGCAGTCACACTTACCTTTCACTGCAACACTTTTTTTATTCAAAGCGCAAAGCAACAAAGAGGTAGATTCATAGCATGTTCATAGCTGCAAACAATTCTAGTGGGTTCCCCCCCACCCCGCACATACTAAAACTGAAAGAACAAAATTTATTTTATACATGGCGTGGTGTTGTATTGAGCCCTTGCATCTACTTCTAAAATATATTATATTCCAGAATTTATTTTACTACTATCTTTTATAAACATCTTGGCCATCTTGGATCAGTCTGTTCCGTAAATGCCATGAAGATAACTTGCATCTTTCTTTTTTCTCTCTCTCTTTTTAAATCCTCAACAATGTATTATCATTTTCTGAGGTCTTCCGAAACGTCTGCATATAAAAACCCTAGTGGAACTTAACAGCGTGTGGCTATTTTGACCTCTTTCCATACATACAGTTTGGATGACAGAACCAAAAACATTTTCCAGAGGGGGAGCCATATAAGCCTGTTGCAGCAAAAAAAGGTCTTGTGGCACCTTTTTAAAGCCTGACACATTTATTATGGCATAAGCTTGAGTGGCCTGAAGCCCACTTCATCAGATGTATGAAATGCAATCCTAAACTGGCAGGCATTTAACGGGATGGGCGGGGGAGTGAGGTCAGAAGGAAATGAAATGCAAAAAGAACAGTGGCAATTATGTAAAAAGCAAAATAGTTAGCGGCCATTAACAAAGCCTATTTTCCAGAGGGCATTTGGAGGAGGAGAGACCTAATTGCCACTTTGTGGCTCCTTGTTGTAAGTTCTAAATGGATTGTGTGTGTTTTTCTGGATTTTGTTGTCTCTTTGTTTCTTTTGCAAATCTCTCCTGTGGCCTGTGCAAAATGGTTCAATAGAAACCATAGAAAGAAAGAAGGAAAGAAAGAAAGAAAGAAAGAAAGAAAGAAAGAAAGAAAGAGGTGTTGGCGATAACGTAAACTGTCTGGTATTCCAAGTCAGTTTCTGCCACGTTAATTACATCCTGCAGTGTTAGTTTGGAATGTTGGTTCGTGCAAGCTATCTTAAATCACAATTATTAGCATCCATACCAAGTATATATATATATTTGTTATACTTTGCTGTTACACGAGACTCCCCACTGTTCTCCGGCCATTCATCTTAACCCAAGTATAATTGTTGCAATGAGACTGTATTGTTCGGAGTGATTGCCACTGGGGCCAGCCAATCAACGTTCTGCACAGCCAGCTTCTGAACTCAGTTCTCTTAAGAGGGTTATGCCATCTCCATCTGACAACTCACCAAACAGTGTGAATATAGAGTTGTAGCACGCTCTCTACTCATCCTAATGTCTGTGTGCAAATCAAAGTGGCAAAATTCTGTGCATCAGCACTGCTTGCTAAGAACCAGACGATTAAAGCTTCTGAACCAACCACACTACCACCCAACATCTCAATTTAGTGTAGTTGTCAGCATGTAATGTGGCACCCCAGGGCTATGCTGCCCATGAGGCAGAGCAAACCAGCCGCCGCTGGCAGTGGAATCCTATGGGGCAGTGCCCCTGCGGGCATCCCACCTGCCCCTGCTGCCACTGCAGTCGCATGACATCTCACTGGAAGCTGCCACTGGAGCCACGCAACCCCAGTGAGCACGGCTTCATTGGGCAAGGAGTGGGGCTGGGCGGCCAGCACTGTTTTGCTTCTTTGCTATGCTGCTTTCCCAAATACAGTGGTACCTCGGGTTACAGATGCTTCAGGTTACAGACGCTTCAGGTTACAGACTCCACTAACTCAGAAATAGTACCTCGGGTTAACAACTTTACCCCAGAATGAGAACAGAAATCACACGGCGGCAGTGGTAGGCCCCATTAGCTAAAGTGGTACCTCAGGTTAAGAACAGTTTCAGGTTAAGAACGGACCTCCAGAACGAATTAAGTTATTAACCCGAGGTACCACTGTAGACTTTTGCTGGCCTGTACGCGATAAAAATTGTGTTTGATTGCAATTTAGCGGAGGATCTGTGATTATATCAACCAAGATGGATTGTTCGCTTGACAGCTGGTTGGTACATGTAAAAGATATACTCAGAAGTTTCAAGTAGTGTTGAGTGGGAAGATTGTGGCTTTTGCCTCACTGGAATGTATGAGTTGCGTTACCCAGATTGTGGTAACTATGGAAAATGCATTGTATTTGGGTTTGATTGGTGTTGGATCTCAGGGCCAGCACTTGGTGTTGATACCAGAGCTTATTCCTGGAACATAGCAAGTAAGAATAGCTGTGAATGCCTCTGTGAAAGCACAGAGTGCATTGCCACCGAGTAGCTACAGCACGTCTGAGCTGAATTGAGCTCTAGGGCCTGATGGTATACATTGCCTCTTTAAAGCACATTATTTCCTTCAAAGAATTTTGGGCACTGTAGTTTGTTAAGGATTGCTGTGAATTATTAATTCTGTCATGAGTGTACATTATAGTGCCCAGAATTCTTTGAGGAAAATAATGCGCTTCAAAGATGTAGTGTATACACAGGCTTCGTCTTAACAGAAATTGAACTCTTAAGAACTTCAGTCCAGAGCTTATTTGAAAGCAGCAGCTCCAGATCGTATTGAGAAATTAAGAGCAGTGGACAACAGAACAAAGGAGAACTGAAAAGATGGGGCTGTCGTTGATTTTATTTGCATTTGTGTTGGTCGGGAAGGCAGAGCAATTAAAAATGAAGCAATTTAGATGGGGAGATCTTGAAAAGGCTGTTTTTGAAGACTATTGCTTATTTTAGGTGTTTACATTGAGGGGAATTTGTGGGTTTTGGATCTCTCCTCACTTTCTTATTGACTTCCCTTTTTGCCCCTCTATTTATGGCGCTTGACCTTTAATATGTTCTGTAGCAATAGATGCAGCACCACAATTCCCAGTGGTTCTTCTGAAAAGTCAGAGTGCTCTACATCTTAACTGAAAGACTGTTCAGAAGAGGCCAGATTCATAGGTATACTGTCTTGTCTGCCTTGCCAAATTTTGTTGTTTCCAGTTAACTTTTACAAAACATAACATGTATTTTATTTTATTTTGGTTTTTAAAAGGGCAATAAGTGCTGCTCTTTTTTCCAGGACCATTCAGGGGCTTGCAAAAAACAACAACCCCAAAACCCTCAAGCCACTCCTGAACATCTGAACTGCATTTTGGTGAAATGTGCTGTAGATTTCTCTAAAGGAAAGCGGCATTGTCGTCAAATGCCCGCCCCTACAAAGTGCAAAACCAGACTCATGCAGCAGGAAAATGAGAATATCAAATAAAGCATGAATTCACATTACTGATATGTAAAGGACGTGTAATATTTATGGGATATTTGTAAAAAAAAGAAGTTGGCTAAAAGGCGTTTTAAAGCATTCTTGTTTTTTAAACGCTTAGCTTTAATTGCCACTGTAAGATGACTATCACAGGTCCTGAAAACAGGTTGTATTTTGATGCTACTTAATGATACTGATGGTGGCTTCTAGGGCAAGTGACAACCAAGTAGTTTCTATTGATTTTTTTTTTTTTAATGCATCTATAGAGTCAGCTAAACCATTTATGACGTCAGTCAGATTTATCCATTTTGGAATGGATAGGAATCTACTATCTTTGGTAATATAACCTGCTCCTTGGCAATATAAAAGATGATACATGCATGTGCGACTCCTCCCTTTATAAAAAGTATTCTGACCATGCATCCATGGTAGTGCTGAAATGCACTTATCTTATTTGCATTTCTCTCTTGCCCTGTCGCTGATGCCTGGGTTCGGACGTAACAGATAACATTGGCTTCGTGCTACGTGAATACATGCTCCTCTCTCCTTTTCCTTCCATGCCTGGGGGGTGGGATGAGAAGCTTCTGCTTCTGGTTTTAAACTAACCACAGTTCCCTGTGATGCTGGAGCTTGGAATTGTGGATTGTTTAAACAATTATTACAGAATCAAACTGAGGTGTCTTTTTTTTTTTTTGGTGAAAGTTATCATTTAAAGTAAAGGGTTTCAACATCACAGGGAAGTGTGGTTGGTTTGAAACAAGAAGCAGATGCTTTTAATCTCTTCCTCCTGGTGTGTGGATGGGGGAAAGCAGCAGCCAGAGGCTTGCAGCTGCTTATTAGTCATCTTATTTATTTTATTTTTATCTTGCACTTATAATCCTGCCTTTCTTCCACCGTGCAATCCAAGGAGATGTACATGTGGCTGTTAGGCAGCCTGCCACCCAGGCACTGGACCCAATGGGGACCTCTTCTGCCTTCAGACAACGTTCTAGGATCATTTTCAGATCCATCCTAAATTATGCTCTGAAGAGTTCACAAGAAATAATAAACATATAGGTTCAATGGACACAATGATATATCTATGCTGCAATACTTCATAATATAGTGTATATATCTACATTAACATAATAACGAACACTACAATTTTTTCCCAAGTGTTGTTAGACTTCAACAACTACAGCCTCAGCCAGCAAAGAATTGTATTCTGCAACATCTGGAAGGCTAGATTATCCCCATCCCTGTTTTAGCAGGAAACCATGGTTTCCTGTTACCCCAGAACTGGGATTAAGTCTCAAGGTGAGCAGCTACCACATTATATTGTTTTCATATTATTCATTTCCTTTTCTGTTTCTTCTCCAAATCTTTTGGATCAAAAAGGTAGCACTTAAAATAATTGTCCGGGTTTCTCTAAGACCAAGTCGGCATTGTCACCTGGAGTTAAGCTAGAACAGGTTGTACAATTTTACCCCATCATGCCTGCTCCTTGATCTAGTGATACATTATTTCTTCCTGCTTAACGTAAGACCCACTGGAAGATAATTTTGCTAGTTTTTAGCTGCTGAATTGCTTCTCACAACCCCACATACATGCTCAGAATTGGCAATGGTAAGTATTTTTTCAGAAAAGCCCCCTCAATTTTTATAATCCTGTGATGTTAAACTTTTGCAGCCTATCACTGAACACACACACCACTGTCTTCCTTACTCACCCCAGGGACAGAAAATATCAGAGGATCTCATCTCCCAAATTTCAGGATGCTCTTGAGCATAGGGAAATAGATAGCTATGGCGCCTCCAGTCCAACCGCTGTTGGTTGTGCTTTGGTGAAACAGAACAGGTGAGACACAGCAGAGATCCATGATCTCTGGGCTGCATCAATAGGAGTATAGCATCTAGATCAAGGGAAGTAATAGTGCCACTGTATTCTGCTCTGGTCAGACCTCACCTAGAGTACTGTGTCCAGTTCTGGGCACCACAGTTCAAGAAGGACACTGACAAACTGGAACGTGTCCAGAGGAGGACAACCAAAATGGTCAAAGGCCTGGAAACGATGCCTTATGAGGAACGGCTAAGGGAGCTGGGCATGTTTAGCCTGGAGAAGAGGAGGTTAAGGGGTGATATGATAGCCATGTTCAAATATATAATAGGATGTCACATAGAGGAGGGAGAAAGGTTGTTTTCTGCTGCTCCAGAGAAGCGGACATGGAGCAATGGATCCAAACTACAAGAAAGAAGATTCCACCTAAACATTAGGAAGAACTTCCTGACAGTAAGAGCTGTTCGACAGTGGAATTTGCTGCCAAGGAATGTGGTGGAGTCTCCTTCTTTGGAGGTCTTTAAGCAGAGGCTTGACAACCATATGTCAGGAGTGCTCTGATGGTGTTTCCTGCTTGGCAGGGGGTTGGACTCGATGGCCCTTGTGGTCTCTTCCAACTCTATGATTCTATTCTATGACTTTGAGGGGACCCTCTACAGCAAAGCAGCACTGTGGGAGGTTTTATATATATAATTTTTATTTGTTTTTGCACACGTATTCCAAACATAACATCCCATCTTATACAATATAACAAACCTTTGGCTATCACAGCCTAGGACTTCCGTCAACCTCGACTAATGGTTTTCTAACTTTCTTTCTGATTTTACATTTTATTTTAATAGTTATTGCTATAAAATCCAAACACTAAATAAACTCCTTCTTAGTCCTTTTTTGCAATAATTCATATAGTTCTCCTTACAAAACTTCTTGCAACCCTACAAGCGATGTCACCTGATTACAATTGTCTTTCAAATATATCATAAATTTCTTCCAATCTTTCAGGAAAGTCTGGTCTTGCTGGTTCCGAATTTTCCCGGTTAATTTTGCCAACTCGGCATAGTCCATCAGTTTCACCTGCCAGTCTTCTTTTGTTGGTAGTTCTTCTTGCTTCCATCGTTGGGCTAATAGTATTCTTGCTGCAGTTGGCGCACTGTGGGAGGTTTTGTACAGGATGATGATGCAGCAAGAAGTGGTAAGCAAAAGGAGGGACCCCAAAGCCATTTTTCCTCCCCCTGATGGCAACACCTTGTCAAAATTCCAGGTTCATTTGTCTGCAGAAGTGCCTTCCTTTTAGTTGAGCACACTTCTGGCCAGTGGCGTAGCATGGGGGGTCCAGGGGGGGCCGGCCGCACCGGGCGCAACATCGGGGGGGGTGCACTCGCACTCGTAGCTCTCTGCCCCTACCTGGCTCACGGGTTAGGGGGCGCAAATTACTTGCCTTGCCCCGGGTGGTGACAACCCACGCTACGCCACTGCTTCTGGCATCAACATTTGGCTAAGGATAGATAGCCTAGATGACTGTAATGGAGAAGTGAAGCTACAGGGCGGGGAAGGGATTGACATTCCTTGCTGTGTGACTGGGGTGAGTCCACAAATCTGTCTCCATCTCCTTCTGGTTGGCCCAACACACTTGCTCCAATGGGGCTTAGTCATGACTTCACTCTTCCTGTACTGGGGCCAAGAAGCTTTCTAATCTCCATCCAGTTAAGGTGTGTAAGGATCTGGGCGATATTAAAAAAGAAGACTTCTTTTCTGGCTATCCTGGCCTCCGTGAAACTCTTCCAGCACCTGGTCCCCATTTAGGATTGTGGCCAACCAAATTTTGTAAGAAAGCCACCATTTTAAAGATAGCATATTTAAAGAGTGTGAAACCTGGAAAAGAAAACGAGACCCCGAAGAAACAATAAATTGCTGATTTAATTTTAAATCTTCTTTAAGGCCAGGTGGGTTAAAATAGTTAATTCATGTCCCACTGGATATATATGGGTCGCATATCGTATTTCTTACTGACATTACACTCACACTCACCTAGCTTGCAAAATTTTGAAAAGTTTCCTCTTAGCTTAGTGGGGGGGGGGAGCTTTGGTGCAATCCACTTCAGTTTTGTTACAAGCAGATGCCACTAATTTCATAGTCCCATGGGGAGGACAATTTAAAAGCCCAGTGGGCAGCTACTTGGCTACCTCCCTATGAAAGTAAATTGGAACTGAGTGACTCAGGGGGCAGTATATGCAACCTGCTTGCTCAGTGGAAGTGGCTGCCTCTTGCAGACCTTGCTATGAGTTGAAGCTGCAGTTTATTCCAACAATTTGCATACCACTTAATCACAGTTGTCATTAAGTGGTGACCCAATAAGGCTAAAAATGAGTTTAAACTGTAAAATCAGAGTTCAATCAAAACACCTGCTGGAATAAAATAATAAGTTCCGTTGTGAGGGGCCCAGTTTGACCTCAACTGAAAGGAAGCACCATAAAATCGGGCCCACATTAACAAACGAATTGCTCCTGGTAGATACTCTGCATCCAAGTCATGGAGCAGCGCTCCCCTGAAGACGGTAGTGATAGAGCAGGAATATAAGGGATAGGGCTCAAGGTATCCGGGACCCAAGTTGTTAAAGGCTTTGTAAATGAAGAAGAAAGGCTTGAACTTGGCCTGGTAATGTATGGGCAGCCAATGCCTGGTTATGAGCACTGGAGTAATTATGTACAGCATTATTCACCCTGGCTGTGCATGGATGTGTAGGAAAATGTATGTGTGCAAAGAAAGCGCCATGATTCTAATTGAAGAGAAAATACAGAAGATGGAGAAAGCCACATTCTGTGGAATCTTTGCACGTGAGGTGTGAAGGGGAGATGCGCAAGCCGCCATTGGCTGGGCCTCCCAAGTAAAAAAAGGTAAACGGACCCTTGACCATTAGGTCCAGTTGTGGCCGACTCTGGGGTTGCGGCGCTCATGTCGCTTTTTTGGCCGAGGGAGCCAGCGTACAGCTTCCAGGTCATGTGGCCAGCATGACTAAGCCGCTTCTGGCGAACCAGAGCAGTGCACGGAAACACCGTTTACCTTCCCGCCGGAGCGGTACCTATTTATCTACTTGCACTTTGACGTGCTTTCGAACTGCTAGGTTGGCAGGAGCAGAGACCGAGCAACGGGAGCTCATCCCGTCGTGGGGATTTGAACCGCCGACCTTCTGATCAGCAAGTCCTAGGCTCTGTGGTTTAACCCACAGTGCCACCTGCGTCCCTATGGGCCTCCCAAGTATATGCTCCCAAAGTATATGGCTATTGAGTGCATGGGGAATCCGCTTCATTTTGCATTGTATTTACTGTGGTGAATACTGTTTTGTTTTGGCTTCTGTGTAAAGTGTCTAGCAGCAGCATGATGGGCAAATGACATGCGATGCTAAGTGCACCACTAGAAACCACATCGGTTTTGAGAAATGTTGAATAGCTTCTGCGCCTCCCAGATTTTCATTGGAACTGACTGCAGCGTGTGGTCCTCTCCCTGTCTGCTGAAGTTCCCCCCAAAATGGAGGCCCCTACACCTGCAGTGAAAGTTTTTAAAAATACTGATGTAGTTGACATGTTCAGGGTCATGCACAGTTTGACCCTAAGTATATGCAGGAAGGGGTCATGTCTTCACTTTGAAGAACTGCCCTTGAAATTGCACACATTAAATCCTTTCTGAAAGACTATTTGGTTTCTAATATTGCATGCCCAAAGCTTAAATGTTGAAAACGATTAAGCTATTTTTCAATTAGTGCTTTGTGTTGATCATCTACCTTCTGCTGTGCTTGGTTTGAGCGTTCCAGTTCCTCCTTGTGACCTCTGGACAGGGGTGTGTGTGTGTGTGTGTGTGTGTGTGTGTACATTTTAGTACACTAAAGCCTGTGCATATGGCTAAAATATAATTTTCAGGAGCAGAGCTCTCTCTTTTAACAGGGTTTTTTTTCTTGCAGGAGAATGTTGTCACCCGACCATTCGCCACCCACCCTGTGTGAGCACATGTTTGAAGTAAAGCTTTAGTGCTCAGTTGAATGGAAGTGACACGCATACATACTTATGAGGAAGCAAGAGTATGATTAACGGAAAGCCCAAAATGTTAATTCTACAGTAGCGTGGAGGGGGAGTTAGATTTGGGGAGACTGTAGTTCTTGGCAGTAATATGAAGGGAAAGGAGAGCCCGTAAAGACTTCATTTCTTTCTGGAAAAATGTCTGACTTGAAACCTTATACCTGGGAGGTATTTTTGTAGGTTCCAGTCTATTGCTACTGCTTGATGTAAATAAGACAATGGCGACTAACAATTTGTTAAATTCTACCTGTGCCTCTGTCTGATCAGCCCATGCCCCTTGTGTAAAATTAGGCTATCATGGTGCTGTTCGTACCACTGCGTTTAAAGGTTGTATCAGTATTTCCACAAAACCCTTTTTTAAAATATACATAGCCAAGCTTTTATAATCCAGCTGTAAAAATTCAGTCTGGGTTGAAACTTGGCAAAGCACCGGACTTATTCTCCCATCTGTGCTGAATGGATTTAAGCAGGTACCTCTCAATGATATCTGTCTGTGCATTAATGCACTTGCAAATCTCTTGCTCTTTGAAGGGGGAAATAAAACTGGAGGCAATTTGCAGAGAGTAGACATACCTGAAAAAGAAATAATAGCTTCCCCGGCAGACCTGGTATAAAATGGGGGGTTTTAAAAGCTTTTTACTTTCTAAAAGTGCAGCGTTTTTCAGCCAGTTACATTTCTCCTTATTCTGGTTTTAGTCGGATTGTAGCTGTTGTCTACGTGGGCCATTTCCCATTTCATCGCAGCCCCTCACCTTTAGTTGTGATTTCTGCTACCAAATTATCAGATTACCAGATTTGCTCTTTAAAAATACTAGACAGTGCCTGTGTGTCCCCTCCTTTCTAATAAAGCTCTCACCTGTGTTCCAGTGTCCTACCTGGATATGATGCCAGGGATTGGACATAAGACTTTCTTCGTGCAAATAGTGGCTCTTCCCACTGTTCAACCAAACAGTGGTCGCACATTGATGCAGGGTTTGTACTCCTGGAACAGGAGCACCCAGTCTCTCCTGGGAAGAGTAAGAGGGCATTGGGATTGAGTCCAGATACCTCACCTCTTCCCCAGTGGCAACAAGGGCCAGTACTGATCAGCTGCTGGAAGTGCGGCTACATGACTGTTGGCTTTGTCCCTTCACAGGCAGAGAAGCTGTTTGGGCTTCCAGGCTACTGGTGGTATCATTTGTTAAAATAAATTGAATCGGAATTTGGAAATAAACAGCATTTTGTTTTGCAAACGTTTTGGTATCTCTGGACTTCTGCAGTTTCTTTCTAATAACCATTGTGTCACATTCCATTTTAAATGATTGTGACTGATGGTTAAAGTGAATTACAAGAGGGCTTCCCCTAAGAGTACCTTTTCCAAGTGGATTTTGAAAAAGGTCAAAAATGTTCTTAAAAGCTAATACTCTTCACTCCTAATAACAGTTTCCTAACTTACCTGTCTGAGTTAGGTTCTTTGTGACTTCATAGACTGTTTCATGCAATGCCAGAGTTGATGAACCAGTATATCCTCATGTTTGAGCAAATCCTGTGTCCCTTTATAGATCTGAGGTTTTGTGTTTTACCTACCATGATTTTAAGAACTGATTTACGCATTCTGCTGAAACTGGCCATTTGGCCATAATTGCAAGAGCAGAGAGACTCCATGATGGAAGCGCTTGACTGAGCGAAACCAAAATTTCTTTAGCATGTATCAGTGGATCTTCTGAGGAGCGCTTAGGGTAGGATCTGCATTCCAGTGAAGCAAAAAGAAAATAAAATCTCACTGATTTTAACACACCATAAAGCTGTGGGTCTTTTTATCCCAGCCACCTTCAGTTTTATGTTCTAATTGGCAATACTTCACCAGTTCTGTGAAACCTTTCAACAGATTTGTCTTGAAAGGAGATGAGTAAAACAGAATTACCACCACCAACCCCTTGTGCTCCAAAAGGTTATGTTCAGACTCCCAAACAAGTGTGCATAATATTGCAGGTTTTGGGTGGAAGGAGTCCAACGCATATTCTTGCAGTCATGGAAGAATTCTTGATCCAGCGTAGGTGTCAGCTAACAAAAGCGGGAAGCTGTTTTATTCCTTCTACAACTCCCCCCCCCCCCCAATTCTACCTTCCACTTTGTTTCGGAGGGTCCCCCAGCTCTATAGGACTTATTTTTGGGATGGCAGAAATAGCAAAAATCACTTTCCCTCCTCATCTGTTAATGGACACCTCCACTGGGGTCAACAGTCCTTCCATAAGTGCAAGCACACCAGCTGGGTTCCAGTGAGGTCTGAGAATGTGGATAAGGTGCTAATAATAATAATAATAATAATAATAATAATAATAGTAATTTATTTATACCCTGCCCATCTGGCTGAGTTTCCCCAGCCACTCTGGGTGGCTCCCAATCAAGTGTTAAAAACAACACAGCATTAAATATTAAAAACTTCCCTAAACAGGGCTGCCTACAGATGTCTTTTAAAAATAAGATAGCTGCTTATTTCCTTGGCATCTGATGGGAGGACGTTCCACAGGGTGGGTGCCACTACCAAGAAGGCCCTCTGTCTGGTTCCCTGTAACCTCACTTCTCGCAATGAGGGAACCGCCAGAAGGCCCTTGGCGCTGGATCTAAGTGTCTGGGTTGAATGATGGGGGTGGAGATGCTCCTTCAGGTATACAGGACTTCAGGGCTTTAAAGGTCAGCACCAACACTTTGAATTGAGCTCGGAAACATACTGGCAGTGGTTTCAGCACAGTATGTTCTGTTGCTTCTTGACCACCATGGGTGGTGTAGCTAGCCTGGTGTAGCCAGATGGTTCAGGGAGTGGTTGACATGTATCTGCATGAGGTGTTGGTGCCTGATGGTTTGTAGCAGGCGGTAATGTCCCTGGTCACAAATACCCATTTTTTGATAAAGTGTTTAAAAGGGTATCCGTGGTACATCTGCAAACAGTTGAAGGAATTTGATGATACTGATGGTGTAGGCCTGGGCTTGGAGCAGAATCTGTCTTGGTTGCCCAGGTGGATTACCTTTTTCAGGAGAAAGGATGAGTTTGATCCTATTGGTCTCACTTGATCTCTCAGTCATTTTACTGTTGACCACACTACCATCTCGGACCAGCTCTGTGAGATGGTGGCACCTGCTTACAAAGTTGGGTTCAGAGGATAGCACTGGGGGGTTATGCATCTGCCCTCAGGCAGTTGGGTGCCACAGACAGAGTGCTATTTTGTCTCCAGTGCTCTTCAATGCCACTAGGAGATTTGATGCATGTTATCATCAGTATTCTGATGACACTGAACGGTATTTCTTACATCTGAAGCTGGAGATCTGTGATTGTACTTAATCAGCACCTGGGTGCATTGTTGGGCTGCAGGAGGGCGAACAGACAAAGACAGAATCCTGGTAAGACAAAGACTCTGTGGCTGAGCAGCTCCCAGCTCTGGTTAATTTGGATTGGTGTCACACAGTTACATAGTTTGGGTGGGGGGCTGCTCCTAGATGCATCTGTGTCACTGGCAAGCCAGGTAACCTCTTTGACTTAGGTTGATATGCCAAGTAGACTCTTTCCTGAACAGGGAAAACTTAGCCACCATGATTCATCCATTGGTAAACTCATGATTAGACTACTGTAATGTACTCTGTGTTGGGCTCCCCTTGAAAGTGGTGTGGAAGCTGGTGGTGGTGCAGAATGCTATTTCTAGGTTGTGGAGCGGAAGTGCAGCAGCTGCCACTGGGCCATGTTAAAGGTTTTGTGACTTGCATTTAATGCCCTGAACAACTTGGAACCAGATTAACTAACCTTGTAAGATCACTTAGATCATCAGGAGAGAAAATTAGTTGTGGCACCTGACACTACAGAATGTCACAGCCTGGTGATCTCTTCATGGGTATTTTCTGATATTGCCCTCACTATGGAACACCATATGAAGCATCATCCACCAGTTGCTTCAGACATCTTATGTCTTTTTGTTCAGGTTTTTCATGACCTGTAAGATTGGACACCGTTGTTGCTTCTTCTCTCTTTATTGTCTCTGTATTTACCTACTTACTTACTTACTTAATTAAATGCATATCTCATCCTTCCTTCCAAAGGCATCCATAAAGGTATTTTGCTTGTGGGATTTTTTTGGGGGGGGGTTGTTTTTGGATTGTTTTCATTTTGTAAATGCTAAGAGATTTTAAATACTGTATTAAGCATTTTGGAAATGCTTTTAAATAAATATACAAACTCCTTGCATAGATGTACTTTTTGAGGTCTTTTCATATAAACTTATATCCCACTTTTCTTTATAAATACATAAAGCTGTTGACTGTGAATACAAGAAGATGCAGATTATAATAATGAAACACAATAAACAGAACATAATGACAACTGACATCAATCCACAATAGAGAACCTCATTTCCAGCAGTGATAAAATTAATAGCAGTATTTTGAAAACAGAGTTGGCCTGAGTCAGAGCAGCCCAAAGAAATCTAACAACCTCGCCAAAAGCTTTCCCCCAAAAAATAGGTGGTAAAAAGAACCATTTGATGTCATTTATTTGTGATGATAATTTTTGCAGCAGTCAATTAATCTGTTATTAAAAGGTAGCACAGGTTTTACGAATAGTTACTCAGCTTTTACAGTTATTCTCCAAATAATGAAGAAACAGGACAAACCCTCCTTATAACTAGGAAGCTAGCTGACTGGTAACCATTTTGGATATCCACATTATATATTCAACTTTCTAGGGGGAAGTGCCAAATGCCTGCAATAAAATTTTTTTTAACGCTTTCCCTCTAAATTCAATACAATGATTGTTTTTAGTCCTTAATTGAAGAGGCTCTCATATTTCCCAGCAAAGTGTAAAAGAATTCTTTCTTTCAAATCTTTCATTGTAATGGTAATATTTTTAGGAGCAGGACTTTTGATCCTTAGTAGTCTTCATTGTTTAGATATGGATGAAGACATTCACTAACCATTTCTAATTTAAATAGCAATGCTCCCCCCCCCCCCGCCAATTGATCTTCTCACTGAGAATTACCTGACAGCCAAAGGTTTCCAGGAAGGAATACAGTTTAGATGCTGCTGTTTTGGTGGAATACATTATTTCACTCACTGTAAGACACTGGCATCTGGGCCAACTGGTAGGTTATAAGAAGAGTGAGACTGGTACTTCATCATTTGTCTCTGGAGAAGCAAATTGTCTTTTTTGTGGTGACCATAGGTCACATCCGCACCATACATTTAAAGCACATGGCTTCTCCCAAGGAATCTTGGGAGCTGTAGTTTGTTAAGGTCCTGGGAATTGTAGCTCTATGAGGGAGAAAACTACAGTTCCCAAGATTCTTTGGGGAAAGCAGTGCGCTTTAAATTTATGGTGTGGAGGTGACCTATATTGCACTAGCAGTAGTATTCTATATTCTGTACATTCCCTTTGCTCCTGTGACCCCACATTAAAATCTGTGCTCAGATGCTGCTATGTTTAGAGGACTCTGTGTATGTGGTTAAGGGGAATTGATAATAATTTGGTGGTTCAGATGTTCTCTGTGTGCTTTTTAACACCACTATTCTCTTCATTTTGAATGATAGATAACCTTGTCTCTTTCTGATTGTCCAGTGATCTAGGTTCTGTTGTAGCAGATTGCAGTAATATTTTGGGTCCATATCAGGAGGTGCCAGGCAATATAGAAAATGCGATGGTCTCTATAGTATAAAGGGCTGTGCTCCAGTATTAAGTGGAAAGGTATGATAACTTCATATCACATAACTAGATGTTATGTGCTGTAACTCATAGATTTATACAACTGGAAGGCTTGGAGTTTGTAGTGTGGAAAATTCATTTGTGTAAATTATGTGCAAAATTAGACATTCTATAAAAATGTGAGCTTTATCCAAGTCTTGGTGTGAACATCCTTGCTTGCTTAGACATAACGGGAGGGTTTTTAATCTGTCTTGCTTCTACAAATTCAAAAGAGCACAGTCTGTTCTGTGATCTTGTTGTGCTACAATATGCACATGTCAAACCTTTTAGGAATAGTTCCATTTTTCTTTCAGTGACATCACTTCAGTGTAAAAATATGAACTGCAGGTTTTTACGGAAACCAAGAAAAAAGAAAACACCATATCAGAGTCCCCCGATACACAAAATGTCATAAATCTTAGAATTGTAGAGTTGGAAGGAAACCCGAGGATCATATAGTCCGATCCTATGCCCATGCAGTTATAGACAGAAGCACAAGAATTCAATTTGTGAAAATATGTATTTGTTACTTATAACAACATCAGTAATGATAATAACAGTATGATTGGCATCACTGACATTAATCCCATGCTTCTGAAATATGTCTGGAGTGCAAATGTATACTGCTTTTATGTTTTATTTCAGAATCGTAGATACACATTTTCTGTTTTGCCTTTGTTTTTAGTTTAACTCATTTAAAAAATATTTCCCCTTGAATAAATACAAATAACCCTATACATTTCTGACAATTTATTTACCTTCTTTGAGCCCAAGTAATGCAAACTTGCACAGCAAATTCCATACATGTGTTATCTTTCTCCCTTTTGAACCTAATTTTCTGTCACTCCAACAGTTTCTTTTTTAAACAGCTGTATCAAAAACAGAGGCAAGAGATTGTATGCAGGGAGAAAGAGTAATTTTTTTCTAAGTCCTTTGGCATTATGAACATAGATGTCTTTACTGTGAGAAGTAATGAAAGACAAGAGAGTTCTATATTTACTTCTCTCTTCGGCATTAAAAAAACCCCCTCCTATCTGCCATTCCTGCCTTCATCACAGACCTCATTCCTTTCTCTTCTCCATTAGCGTTCTCTGTTCCCTTCACCCTATAGTTTTGCCAGCAGCATGGCCCAAAGATCGTTTGGCCCATATTTTTGTCTGGCTCTAGCTAAACAGTAATCTGACATTAGAGTACTTTTCTCTGGGTTTTCCTTCTCCCCCCAGGGAACAATACTTCAAGGGCAACCTGCTTGTCCAGCATATGAACATGTGGAAAAATCCACTGCTGTGCAGTAATGATTTTCAGATGGCCCATTGTTGCTGAAAATCTTCTCGAGAGCAGCCGCTTCTCCTGCTGTAGCACCTCAGCACCTTGCCAAAGTGGGGCTCTGGAGAAAGCCCCATATTTTCGTTTTGCTCGGTGGTGAAATGTGCTACGTTGCACATACCTGACGGAGAATCATTTGATTCCAGCAAAACGGAGTAAATTTTCCGGCGAGGGGCTTGCGTTTAGCGGAGCGTAATGTGTATCTCTGCCCCACCTTCTCATTCCAGCCTCGCTGCTAAAATTCTGGAAAAAGTCTGGTTGTGCCAAATATCCACAACGGCAATGGCAAAAGCATCCGAAATATTGTTCCACAAATGAATGATTTTCACATATTTTTGCTTTAAAGCATTCAGAGAGAGGGAGGGCCGGAGAGAGAGAGGGTATCCTTTCTGTGGAGAGAGCAGCAGATTTCAAAATCCAGCTACTTTCTTTTCACTGTTCTACTTTGTGAGAAAAGCGCGTTCCTTTAAAAAGAACTTTCACTGCTTAATCTTTAATTAAAGGCAACATTTTCTTTTAATTTTAAAAGGCTTGCCTTGGACTAAAATAACATGGAACATTTTTAAAACTCGGATCCAAGCTGCTGTAGATACATTTTCTTTAAACCACGGAGACTGCAGTGAGATTCCTCGCTCTGCCAAACAGACTACAAATTGTTACTGTGGGCAATAGGGACTGACTTTCTGAATGCCAGTCAACCGGACAAGAAAGCTTGTTTTTCTAGAGTTGTTCCTCCCCTTGGATCCTGTTCTTGAATGACTTAAACCCTGTATATAACAAAGTGTTGTCGTCTCCATAAGATAATTATGTAGATATTCTCTCCTCTGTGTTCCTTTCATGTTTCCTTGTCTGAGGTACTGAATAGCAATCGATATGCAAAATACGGAAGCAAAATGGAGTTAAATAAAAAGCAAGAGGAAGAAAATAGAGGAAAGAGATAAACAATTCCGAGTAGACCCTAGACAGATTTCACTTGCTTAAGCAATCTTGATTTAAGCTGAGAGGGAGTGAAATATGTAGTAGTAATTCTTAAATGTTTGCCCTATTAAGTTTCCAGTGTTGCATTTGTTCAGTGTGTGGGGTTTATCCTCCCTCACTTTATGTCTGAACCACAGTGGCCTCTCTAAGGTTAAGCAGATAATTTTTTTTCTGTTCTAAATATTTTAGTGGAGATTTCATCCTTGTTGTAAAAAGAATTCCCCAGCTCAGTTGTCATCTTAGATTTTATTTGGAAATATAAAGAAAAGTGGAAGTCTGAGTGTTTATGGTCAAAGTCTGGCTGGGAGTAACGTCTTCTTCATGGTATTTTTAAATTTTATTTTATTTTTGAAATTTAAGGATCAAGTGTGCAAAAGAATTTTTTTACTAATTACTTCCAAAAGCGAATGGAGTTTTGTGCTAGACTGCATATTACTTCTGATAAAATGCTGAAGGAATATTTTACTCTGTCTATTTCTGTCTAGCCCATGTTGCTTGTGTGTTTGCTGTCCTGTTTCCATCTATTTCCACATGAACCTACAAAAACTTTTAAAAAACCTGCACAAGAAATGCATTTAAATATGTATTTTTAAACGTATTTTCTTTCATCATCCACATTTCTAAGCATGCCCCCCTCCTCAAAACATGAATTTTTAAATTTCGTCTTGGTACAGTTTTTGTGCTAAGAAGTATGTCCAAACATTTGGGAAATATAATATCTCTAAATGACTTCAGATCTACAGATTAGTCTGAGAGGTATGGATCAGGGCAACACATCTATGAATTCACAAAGATCAAATCCCTCAAGCACCCTTAATTTTACATTTCCTGTGCTTTTAATTTCTTGTTTGTTATTGTCAGTACAAAAATTCCTGTGACACCCATAGGCCAGAAATTAAGAATTCCTGCCACAAACCTAGTTTACAGTTTGGATGCCCTGCAATACCTTGTCTGGGGCTGTACATGTTTAGGGGGTGTTGTTGTTATATTCCCAAACTGGGCAGCTGAATTTGCATATTTTGCAAAACATTTGCTGATTGTGCAAAACTCTTGTTTTGCTTGAATAATTTTGTATGTTATTGAAAAATCTGAAAATGCAATTTGTCTGCAAGTCAGTCCAGTTAGTTGCATACGATTGAACACCAGATTTGGGCTGGAAGGACGTTGGAGCTATACTGACCCTTTGCTGCAACTTGTGCAAGTATGGGAGACGTTTAGCTGGAAAAACCAAAGCAGTCTTTGCTTAGAATTTGGGGTGATTTTATATCTGTGGGGGCTCTTCCTGTGCTCTCTTCATTGAAATGGGTGGGGCTTGTGCTAGACTCTGTAAAGGAGGCCCAGGGGAGAGACTGAGAGGGGAAATTTTCAGCACTTACTTATCTCTGTGATGCTTATATATTGAAAGTATTGGTCTCCGTCTCTTGTAAAGTGAAAGAATGAATGACCACAACTGGAGGTCAGTAGCTCCAGGCATGCTAAGCAGTTGGTGAGCAGCCTATGGGTGTGGATATTCAGGGACAGGTGAGAATGGTAAAGGTGTTGGCAGAGTGAGTGTTCAATGATGGTTTCTTGCATATGCAAAAAGGTTTGGACTGACCCTCCATATGAAACCTCAGCATGCCACGTGCCTGTAGTTATACTTATTTTAATTAGTTCCTATATTATTTAAATCTGTTTAAACAAGGACAGCGCTGGCTCCCGGCCTATAGAGTGAGATGAGCGCACAACCCTAGAGTCTGGCAAGACTGGCCCATACGGGCAGGGGTACCTTTACCTTTACCTTTAAACAAGGTAGCCAATCAATAGGTGTATTTATAGTATATAAACCTCTTTCTCCATTAATTCCATTTTAAATTTAAGCCATTCCTCAGGGACTGCTTTAGAGAACAGAATGTTGAAAATTGGTGTTTATTTGTTTAATAAATTCCTAGCCTGTGTTGCCACTGTGAAAGTGATATCGAGTCAGCTTACAAACAGTACAGTAAATACTAATTTAGCTGCTAGCAGAGGGGTCCACCAGTGTTTCTTGAGTTACACTGGGATACAATCGACTTTAGGGGCCTCTCCTGAATTAAACTGTTGGATAAGTTCCACTACTTTGTTAGCTGAAACTGGTGCCCAGGTTGACAATGGAGAAAGTTCTCTCATTAGAAAGATCCATTGGGATTAGACTTCTGATTCTGGAGTCATCTAGAGGACATCCTTTGCTCTTCGTGGAAGTGACAAAGGTGTGGAACATCTTCCATTTGATGAAAAGTCTTGAGGTGTTTGATAGTTTTAGAAAAAGGCAAGGTGGGGAGGATGGGAGAAGAATGCATGTTTTAAAAGTTGTGAATATTGTGGAGAAATGATCCTGATACAGCAAAGTGCCTACATTCTTAAGCAAGAGTGCATACGCTCAAGATCACTTAACACCAATGGATTAACAGTTACAAGATCCAATATTCGCCCTTGGTTTAGAAATTTAAAACACATTTGGGGACCATAGGGATCTTAGTATTACACACAGAGAAAGAGAAATAGAGAGCACACAAGATTGACATCAACCCACCCTTTCCTTAAATGTGCAAATTGTGATTTGTGAGACTCTTCAGGTTCATTGTGCTTGGTGACTCCAGTAGCAGTCAGACTGCCGCCATGCTGACCCTGCACCGCCATTTCCAGCTTCTTGTGTGTATTGATTGCCAATCCTGAGGTCTCCAGGGCTATTAGGCAAAACTTGCTTTACCTTCCTAGAAGTATATGCCATTTGTGAACCAATGTATACAAATTAACACTGGCCGGCTTCCAATTATGAGGCAGCTGGCAACTGCCTGTGCCAGTGTGCTTCAAAACAACATTTGCCTAGTGTGAGGAGAAACCTTAGTTTAGATTATATCATCCAATAGTGCAAGAAATATGTGCTATTTTTTTCTCACTGTATAAATATCTGCCAGCAGAGTAAATAAGTTTCTGCTTAAAATACATAGATTTTGTAATTAGAGCACAGCAAGGTGCATTTGCTTGGGTTTTGATCATTAACATAGGCTTCAGTCTGGGCTCCATTCTCGGGAGATAGCTGAGTAATTTATAGTTACATGAGGGTTGTTATGATACAGAGAGTTTCCTTCTGAAAGGAGTGAAAGCCATCACTCTTGTGATATTCTGTTCTGTTTGCTTTGCAGTTTTTTGGGCGGGAGCCCATGAAAGCCAGTGGGAGACACACTATTGATATTTGCTAGGCTGAAGCCCAAATCCTCCAGCCACCATCTTTCACCAATGTACTACGATGCCCCTAAACAAAGAATTATTCTTCGTGAGTCTCGCACGTAGTGTAAACCCCATGGAGGTCAGGGAGGCCAATCTCTTTGTTCAGTAAAAATATTTATGCTCAGATCCCAAAAACGTTATGAATCATTTTTGGTGTTTTAAGGTCAGGATGTGGAGTAAATTATTCCAAAAGTTATAGTAGCCAAATATTATTCCCTCCAAAGGTTTGTGTAATATCTGTTTATCTGTGGTCAGATGACTGCCATGTATAATTAGAGGCAGACTTTGTTAAGTTACAGCTACGTCAACACAGCTGAATATAAGTTGAAGTTGTTGGTGTACTTCTTTTTTTATTAGCTACCAGAGGACCAAAAGTTTTCAAGAAGCTTCATTTAAATGGATCCAGACCAACAGACTAACAAGCCCCAGGGCTTCTAGGTCCTCTGTGGAGGCCCAAGCAATTAGCAATGGGTGACTCTTCCAAGCTCACCTCAGATTAACTTGGAAATGATGTGAGATCTTTCCTCAAAATGTTGAAGATCTCAGATCATTTCCCCAAGCCAAGGCACACAAAAATGGCCCAGCTCTCAGATTCCTATATACCCCCATTCAGTATAATGGAGCAATGTTGAACTATTAGGGGGAACATAAAAAAACCTCAAGGGCAAAAGCTGCAGAGGGCAGGAAGCTCCCAGCCACCCCACTGCTCCTCTGCAGACTGAGGAGAACTTCACTGGCATCTCTACAAGCAATTACAAAAAGAGCCATAAGCTCTTTATTGATCATAGTTCTGCCCCCCCCACCTGCTTGTATTCTAATCAATAGTGTGTTCTTGCACTGTGGCTCCCCACTTAAAATCTTATCGCAAGCGACACAGTTTTGTTTAGCGCAGCAATTCATAGGATTGGGTGCTACTCATAGGTCTAACACCAGAATTTGTGCACTTTTCAAGAATCCAAGGACTTGGATGAAGGACACCTCACCAGACCAACCCAGAGGGCAGTGCTGGTTTTGAATGAGAGCCAAGCTTAGCTCTCATTGCCAGCCACCATTTTAAATTTCCCAAGATGCAATCCCTTGGTTTGTGGATCTATGAAATGTATTTGTTTTCTTGATCTATAATTTGAGTAAAACATGCATGACTTGGCCATACCTTGGTTGGGGTGGTGGGGGTCACTGAGTCCAGCACACACACACACACACACACAGAGAGAGAGAGAGAGAGAGAGTGTCTGACACCAGTCCTGACTGCTCAGCTGCTTTTTACATGTATTTGATTAGATGTGATAATTCACCTAAATTCTAACCATATTTCAGGCAGATTAGGAAGACAGAACTTGCATGTTTATATTAGCCAACAAGTACTAATGGAAAACTTTTGAAGCTCCTGTATTTTCAGTAGAAGCAACCTGTTTTTGCAACAATGTTCTTCCTCAGCAATTCATTGCCCGGCTTTTGGAGTGGTATTATTCAGTACTGCTAAATATACAAGTGCAGTGAAAGTTTCAATTTTGAAAAACAAAACAGCTGCTTCTTTTCACTCTCGAAAATATTTTCTTCAAAGGACATCAAAATATGTAACCCACAAAAACTCGATTAGGTGTGTACATAGATTTTGTGTGTATCTCAGTTGTGTTTCCTGTCCTTTCATGTTTACTGCTATTTTGCTCTTCCCCATCAGTACCTTATTTCAAACTCACAGAATATAACCCCATTTAACAGAGTAGGCTTTAAAGATTTATAGACTGCTGCCAGCATTGTTAAAGACTTATTTAGTAGCCAACTACTTTCTGCAAAATCTGTACACGTGTCGGAAAGGCTAACATCCATTTTCAAATCCTCATTTTTGATGAGTTCAGTGCAAAAATTTGCCCAGTCTTCTTAAATGGTTCAGGACTACAATACCTCAAGGGCCACCTCTCTCTGTAGAGTGAGATCATTTTCTGAGTACCTTCTTTGTGTGCCTCCTCCACAGGAGGTCCAGAGGGTGGCAACACAAGAACAAGGACTTTTCTGCAGTGGCGCCTTGTTTGCTGGCCTTCATTATAAACCTTTAGGCACCAGACAAAACATTCCTCTTCAACCAGGTCTTTGGCTGATTGACATCTGATGCCCTTTTAAATGTGTTATTGGAGGGGGGGACGTTATTGGTTTGTTGTTTTTCTTATTTTTACTATGTATTTTGTGGGTTTCATATTTTAATTTTATGTTGTGAACTGCCCTGAGATCTATGGATGAAGGGCGGTATACAAATTAAATAGATGATGATGATAATGATAATAATAATAATAATAATAGGCATTACATCCACCACCACATTCACATGTTTTGCCAAAGGAGAAAAGCCTTTGTTATATGCTTTGACTGACTTACCATTGTCTCAAGTCCTCGCATCAATGAACAGTGTTTTGTCCTTTTCAGCCAGAAACAGATTTAAAGACAGCACAACTTCCTATTCATTTACAATGTATGGGGGAATGGGAAATAAGCAACATGTATATTCTCTCAGACATTTGAGAGGTCTAATTAGTCAGTGTCAGAGAAGCAAATCATTCAAGAAATTTACAACCAGTGCACTAGAACTCTGACACATGGCTGCAAAGGGGACTGTCTAGACAGCGCAATTTGGCATGAATAAAAATGGTGTAAGGAAGATGATTGGGAGCAACCAGGCCCCTTAAGCGACATTTTGGCCCCATGGAAGAAAATATGTCATGGGGTCTCTCTTTCCCCTCCTGCTCATCACTGACCTTGACTCCACTCCAGAAGGACCTCATCTGCAATGATCATTATGGTTTGAGTTTTTTTTATTTAATGCAGCTCTCTTTAACTACACACAGCCCCAGACCCAGCAATTTTGCATCTGGGATGCAATCCAGCAGAGTTGAGCATGCATGAGCTGATTCATTTCAGTGGGCCTAATTACCAGTAGAATTATGGCATTAATCTTTAAATGGAGCAAGCGATCAGTTTTGAATAATCTGTTCCTTTTTATTGGAGTACATTGGAAGAGACAATCAGGGAATTAGAGCAATTCCCCTTACTTTGCAGCTCTTTTATGTGTGAAGAAGTCTTAAAATCACCTGGTTGTGTGTGTTATAGAGAATACCTGCTTCCACAGCTAATATAACTAAATCATATTTTACTGCTACAATGTCAGCATTAAGGATGAAATATGGCTTTGAAATCTATCCTTTCCCCCTGCGATTTAAAGCAAAAAGCAACAGGTGTGTATATAGTAGTGCCTATCCTGGCTGTATTTTAGAATTTTAACTTCTTAACTCTTCTTAGTTCCCTTTTACACTTTAAAGGTTTTCTGCTCCAGTTTTCTAAAACAATACAGGAGGAGAGAATGAGACTCTTGGCTCGACCACCAGGAGCTGGAGTTAAGAAATTGGCTGCTGCATTTCTTGAATTTCTTTGTTTTCGGGATGTTTTTATTGATTTTACCATAAGCGGACTGAAGAATAGACAGGATATATGAATGTACAACCGATCAGTGAAAAAAGAGTTTTTGACACCTTGTGTGCAATCATGGTATGTATTCTCATGCGGAGCAAGTTGCAAAGTGGGTTGCCCCTAGCATAATAAAAATAAAGAAGAATCCCATTGAAGGGATTGGAATATATGATCCATATCAAGGATGGGAAACCTGTGGTCCTGCAGATGTTGCTGGACAGCTTCTCCCATCACCCCTGACCATTGGCCAGGCCATCAGGGGCTAGTGGCAGCCAGAGTCCAACCGTGTCTGGAATGCCACAGGTTAGCCATCCCTGTTCTGTGTGATGCACGTGATCAAGAGGGCTTAAAGCTTCCTGCCACCTTTGTGCCAGGTGTGCTGCCATCACACTTGTGTGCTTCCATCATGACCAGGCACTACGCAAATCCCTAGAAAAGTTTTAAGTGCTTGGCTGAGATGGAGTGAATGCACCGGCTTGGCTTCTAATGGAGATCCACTCTGCAACTTGCTCACACTCTTAAAACAAGGTCTGCACCAGTAATAATAATAATAATAATAATAATAATAATAATAATAATTGTACCCCACTCTGGGTCACTTCCAGCATATAAAAAAATAATAACAAAACATTCAAAGCTTCCCTATACTGTACAGGGTTACCTTCAGATATCTTCTAAAAGTCAGATACAGCGGACGCTCGGGTTGTGAACGTGATCCGTGTGGGAGGCATGTTCGCAATCCACAGTGCCATGTCTGCGCATGCACGGGTTGTGATTCGGCACTTCTGCACATGTGCAAAGCGCGATTTAGCACTTCTGCGCATGCCTGAGCACTGAAACCCAGAAGTAACCCGTTCCGGTACTTCCAGGTTCGACACAGTGCGCAACCCAAAAACACGCAACCTGAAGCGCCTGTAACCCAAGGTTTGACTGTAGCTGTTTGTTTCCTTGACATCTGATGGGAGGGTGTTCCACAAAGTGGGCACCACTACCGAGAAGGCCCTCTTCCTGGTTCCCTGCAACCTCACTTCTTGCAATGAGATAACTGCCAGAAGGCCTTCGGAGTTGGACCTCAGTGTCTGGGCTGAACTATGGGGGTGGAGATGCTCCTTCAGGTACGCTATTTGTCCCAGCTTCACCTAGATGGGAGGCAGCAATGCTGCTGAATGCCAGTTGCTGGAAATGAAGTGTGTTTGTGTGTGTGTGTGTGTGTGTGTGTGTGCGCGCGCGCTTTTGTGCTGGAATCCTGCTTGAGCGTTTCCCACCGGCATCTGGCTGCCCACTGAGAACAGGACGCTGGACTAGACGAGCCATTAGCCTGAAGCAGCCGGCTCATCTTATGCTCTTATGTTCTCACAATTCTTCTTGTGGGTTTGTCAGTGGCCTACAAGTCATAGATAATAAATCCTGATGTACTTTTCCCAGGCCTACAAACTGGCCCATAATGTCAGATGTTGCATCAGAACCAGTCCTCACTTACTTGGTTTCATTTGCTCTCTAATTGTAGCAAGACCCAAGAAAACGTCTATTTTGATATGTTCCTATCAGTAATGGACTTAAAAGCACTAAATAACTTGGTTCCATCTAGTAGTGAAGCCCCTATTTATAAGTATCTGGCTTGTATATTAGCTTCTTTAGCATATAACCTTTGACCACATTGTGAGTAAGTGCAGTATCCCCATTAAAATTTGTCCAGGCTGGAAAATAATCTGAGCATGTACTTCCTGGTACCTTGAATATTGTAATGGTGACAGGGACTGAGGGAAATGTAATTTTTTTCTGAAGTGCCCGAGTTCTTAGCAAGCACGTCAGGCACTCTCTTAATACCTGGGGTTCTGCTGAGTGCCTGGCACCTACACTAAGGACTCAGATGTCCTGGGAAATGACATATGAATGATTCACAGTGTCAAGGAGTGAGGAAGACTCCACTTTATTACCAGGTAAGTGGGGAGGCAGAGCAAGTTGCAGGGGCCCTATGCTGGAGGAGGCTTCAGGGATCCATTGTGGCCCCAACGATGTCTGCAGGAACACGCCAGTGTCTGAAGTTTAGAATCAGGCTGGAGGGGGGGGTTCTGACATTTCCTTATAGCTCAGTTGGTTAGAGCATGGTGCTGATAACACCGAGGTCACAGGTTTGATTCCCGCAAGGGACAGCTGCATTTTCCTTTATTGCAGGGGATTGAACTAGAAGGTCCTCAAGATCCCTTCCAACTCTGCAATTCTATAATACTTTGAGAATTAAAAGGTAAAGGGACCCCTGACCATCAGGTCCAGTCGTGGCTGACTCTGGGGTTGCGGTGCTCATCTCGCTTTATTGGCCGAGGGAGCCGGCATACAGCTTCTGGGTCATGTTGCCAGCATGACTAAGCCGCTTCTGGCGAACCAGAGCAGCGCACGGAAATGCCGTTTACCTTCCCACTGGAGCGGTACCTATTTACCTACTTGCACTTTGACGTGCTTTCGAACTGCTAGGTTGGCAGGAGCAGGGACCGAGCAACGGGAGCTCACCCCGTCACAGGGATTCAAACCTCCGACCTTCTGATCGGCAAGTCCTAGGCTCTGTCATTTAACCCACAGTGCTACCTGCGTCCCTACTTTGAGAAATGGCCAAGTCCAATTTCAAATCGGGCAAGGTGAGTGGCCATCACTACCTCCATCATACCTGAACATCAGACTGTGCCATTACAATCCCAAATCAGGATAGCTAATGTCTTTCATTATCATTCAGTATCAATTTAGGATCAAAAGGGAACCTGGGATGCCTTCTCCATGGCATGCCCTCCCCCTGTTAGTTGCCAGGTTCCAAGTCCAATAGATACAAGATAATATCACCAAGGCAACTATCTGTAAACAAACAATAAACACCCGTAAAAATGTCAAAAGTAGTTTCTTTCCAAAATAGGTTTTATCTTATTGTTGTTGCTTAGTTGTTTAGTCGTGTCCGACTCTTCGTGACCCCATGGACCAGAGCATGCCAGGCACTCCTGTCTTCCACTGCCTCCCGCAGTTTGGTCAAACTCATGTTGGTAGCTTCAAGAACACTGTCCAACCATCTCATCCTCTGCCGTCCCCTTCTCTTTGTGCCCTAGGTTATATCTTAAATAACTGCAAATGCAGTAAATAATGAACTGAAGGACATTGTCCTCTTTCTATGTTCCTCCCAATGGAAACATGCTGATGGGGACAGATACACCCCTGCTTTAAGTCGTTTATATATGTATATGATTTACTACAAAGCTTGATAACTAAGCCCTTTGGGGATGAAACGCCTAATTAGCGGAGTGACGTCTGAGCACGGAACAAATGATACGTCACAAGTGGACTCTTTATTTACTGCATTTGCAATTATTTAAGATAAAATCTATTTTGGAAACAAACTATCTGTTTGTTTGCAAATAGTTGCCTTGGTGATATTATCTTGTGCCTATTGCAGTAGCCATTGTATCGCCACCCTGTTTATTGTTTTATTGTAGATTCCAAGTCCAAGCATTCCCCCAAAACAGGGTGGCCTAAAACTTGAATATAACAAAAGAACGTTATTCATTCAGATGTTATTAATCTTAAACCGTATTTTAGTTTTGGTAAAATTCCATGTGGACTTTGGTTTTGGAATCCATATGAGCATTTGTGACATTTCTTCTGAAACAACATGATTTTATGAACTCTAGTTCACCCAGCTTTGCCCTTTGCTGTTAACACTGTGAAACTTTATGATGCATGCAAACCTCATTTGTGCCTCTAAACTGTGGTTTGGGAGAACTGCGCATAACCTAGAAAACTACACTAAATCATAGCTGTGTGTGCTGTTGAGCCTTGCCTTGCTATTTTCTTCCTCCCACTCTTTCCTGCTTCAGGTTATCTGGAAAATCTGGGTCAACACAGTCATCTCCAAAAGTAACAAAAACCAGTTCACACGAGATTTGAAGAGAAATAGTTGAACGTGCCTATGCCAGATTTGATATGAAAATCAGAATTGCTCAGTACACTGCCAAACATACACTCTGTACTTTACTTTGTCTTTACTTCTGAGCTAATGTTCTCATTCCAGTTTTTAGAAGAAACGAATGCAGGGTTGTGGAAGGCACTGCTGTTCCAAATTTGCCCTGCCACCTTCCCATCCTTGGTGGTGTGGAGCCCTTGGTCCAACACAGCCCCGTTGGTAGTGTTTGCAAGGACAAGGTCCACATTTTGGCTCTTCTTCAGCCTTTGGCCTAATTGTAGTCATTCCAGCAAAGGAGGGCTAGGTTGGGGTGCAATTACTTGTTGAATGTTTTGAATAAAGTATAGCAGAGCGAACAATGAACCTGCACAGTCGCATGGCAGTAATTCTCCAAGGTTCAACTTGGGGGAGGCTGAGGAAGACTGGAGTATCTGAGAGCTAGGAGAAGCCAGGTGACATGCCCTAAGACAAGGGGTGGTTAACCTGCGGTCCCCTCCAGCTGCGGTTGGGCTCCCAAATCCAACCAGCCCCAGCCAGCATAGCCAGTGATCTGGCATAATGAGAGTTGTAGTCCAGCACCACCTGGAAGGCCACCAGTTAGCCACCCCTGCATGTGAGCTGCTCTAGCCTGGTGTTGCTGATTTGGGGAAGATACCAAAGGGCTTGGGGGAACACCTGCCAGAGGAAACAGGCTGAGAAGTCTGTCCTTTGAGTCTGGAGAGGAGCAGTTCTTGGACCAGGGAACTGAAAGGTGTGGCTCCTCTCTGAAGTGTGTGTGTGTGTGTGTGTGTGTGTGTGTGTGTTTGAGAGGGGGAGAGAGTGTCATTAAACCACAGAGCCTAGAACTTGCCGATCAGAAGGTCGGCGGTTTGAATCCCCATGATGCGGTGAGCTCCCATTGCTCGGTCCCTGCTCCTGCCAACCTAGCAGTTTGAAAGCACATCAAAGTGCAAGTAGATAAATAGGTACTGCTCCGGCGGGAAGGTAAGCGGTGTTTCCGTGTGCTGCTCTGTTTCACCAGAAGAGGTTTAGTCATGCTGGCCACATGACCCGGAAGCTGTACGCCGGCTCCCTTGGCCAATAAAGCGAGATGAGTGCCACAACCCCAGAGTCGACCACGACTGGACCTAATGGTCAGGGGTCCCTTTGCCTTTACCTTTAAAGTGTGTGTCTATTGTGGTTTTAACTTTCTGCATGTTTTAAATTATGCTTGTGGGTTTTTTAGTGAGGGTTTTATTGTTTTATCTTTTTGTAAACTGTTTCCTACAACCAAGTAGTATATAATTTTTTAAAAAATAAATAACTATAGTATTTTTACCATGTCCCAAATACTGGAGCAAGAGGTGTTATGTCCCCTGTATCCCAATCCCAGTGTTGTCTTAACGAGGTTTCTGATTCAGAGGACTCACACTTGGGGATGGGCAGCTCTCAGCACCCTCTTCTATACTGTCTTGCAGTCCCATGTAGAGCTTGTATGAGGCCCAGGGCAGGAGTTTTATTAGAATAAAGTTATAAACTCCCACCAAAAAAAGCAGCCAATCCGACTACATGGAATTGGCAGAAATGACTGGCAGAATCCGAGACCAGGGAGAAGAGTCGGTGAAAGAAGACTGGAAGAAATTTAAAGACTATTTACAGAAATATTGTAAAATTAATGAATCTTAGAAGGATGTTGGATAGAAACTAAGTGGTTTCCAGCTGTAATGCTTTAAGAGATACGAAAAAAGGTTCACAAATGGGTAAAAGCTTAATGGTAAGGATTTGCTGAACTAACAAACTGAACTGGAATACAAAAAAGGGAGGTACGAGGAGGTCCGGGGAAATAAGTGTATGGAAGATATGCTATGGAAAATTAATGTGTTTTTAACTGTTTTTCTTTTTATTTTTCATTTCTTTGTTATATCTTAATAAGGGTTTTGTTATTCTTTTTTCTGTATCTTGTATTTTCTTGTATTTTTATTTTTTGTTTTTGTGTAATTCTTGTATTTTTTGAAATTTTAATAAATATCATTTAAAAAAAACAAAACAAAAAAAGCAGCCAATCCCTGGTGGGCCCCCCAACCCCCTGCCAGTTTAGACCCCCAAGGCCTGGGGCAACTGTACCCAGCTACCCCCACCCATCACAGGCCTGATGTCCTGTCTTGGGGGCATGGCTCTCCCATGATCCTCAGAGTGTAAAGATAACTCCCCTATAGCTTCTCCTGCTCCACAGCCATGCAGGAGCATGGGGGTGCAAAACTGGCTGTGGGCCCTTTGAGAATTGTGGACAGTTCTCCAAGGGGCATAGAGCTGTTTGAAGAGCCTTCATAAGCCTTTGGATTCCTTTGAGCCTCTGAGAGAACATCTTCCATAGGGCATCTAGGAGAGCCTGGAGCTGCCCAAGGTCCTGAACTGCCAGGCCTGTAGCAGAAGGAGCTCTGGGCACTGCATCCTGTTCACCTGTGAGCCCCTGCAGAGCAGGGCAGTAGGGTTAGATTCCATATATTATACATAGCATTAGGTGGAGCATTACAACTGTAAGGACAGAATGGCAGACAGCAGGAAACACTGAAGGGAGTAGCAATGGAAAGCTCTGCCTGAAAACTTTGACCCTGGTGCAGCTAAAATTAGCCACAACCAGTAGAAATGAAACAAGTTCAAACAAGTACTATTGTTTTTAAAGGTACATAGTCATGGCTAACTAACTCAACTGGAGCCTTTTGCTTTTCTGATGTCATTACCGACAGAAACATCAAAATAGACATATACTTGAGTCTTGCAACAACCATCTTCATATTTTTAGAGTGTCCCCCATTTCAAAAGAGTTAATGTTGTTATTTCAATTAAGCAAATCCTTATTGCGCTAAAACCTGTTCCTGTTGCAGATGTGGAGGTGGATGAGCTAAAACGGTAAAAGAACAGAAATGGGAGCCATTTTACTGAGGAGAATAACTTCCTCCAACAGCAAACTTTGAGTGTTTTCAATAACCCAATAAAAATATCAAAATTTTCAAGCAAAAGCAATACATTAAGTTAATAAAACAAATTTCCAACAATAAAAATCATAGCCATAAAATGCAGTGACAGCAGTCAAGACAGAACAATGTATCACAAAGTAGAAAGCCAGAAAAGGAAAACTGCCCTGAGCTGGTCAACAAGGTTCGCACAATGTACATGTCTCAGAGTGGGGAAGTCCACAAATGTGGGGCACTGCCACAGAAAAGCACCACCCTCTGATGCCCCCAGATATTTTGAGCCACAACTCTCTTCCGCCCCACCCCAACCAGCCTCAAGGACACCAAGCTGGCAAAGTCTGGTCTGAAGAGTAGGGCCTTAGTGCATGAATTGTGCAGTTGCATACGGGAGCAGGATGCCAAGCTGAATAGAATACATCACTTTGATATGTGCCTGCAAAAAAATTGAGATTGTGTGTGTGTGTGTGTGTGTGTGTGTGTATGCATCTGAATAATATTTTATTTGATGTTCTTTTCAAAAAGGAATCACAAATACAGAAATATTATTTAGCAGCATAGTGTGTAAGATTACATATTCTTTAATAAGTTTATATTTTGCAAAAAGAAGAGCTGGAACAGAGGCAACCCAGCAAGCGATATCCTGCTTTGTTAAAAGGATGGTCCTTTTCAGAGAGAAAAAACAAGCCAAGGCACATCTGGCAAGCCTAACGTACACCAAGAAATGTATAATTTTGTGGATGAGTGACTTATTTAACACTTGCATTATTTAACTCAGCTGTGGTATAATTCAAGACAGGATTATTCCATTGTTTAAATTTTTGCAAAATTCCACTGTTTCTTTGTACACCATTAGTGTTCTTTGGAGTAGTGTGCAATGCATAAAACTCTCAAAATAAGCACTGTGCTGTGTTCCCAGGAGGCGACGTGAGTGATAAGTCTTGGATTTTGGTATTTACTGAAGGAAATATATTGGAAAGTTATCCCCCAAAAAAGAACTTGCTTGCTTTCCCCTTCCCTTTCTGCTGTGCTTTGTACACATAAGAGCCTCTTTGTGTACAGAGTCCCTTCCCAATTCTCTTTTGCAGCTCTCTTTGGGAGGTTCTTACACACAATATCTCAGAATAGGAGTATGTTTTAAATGGGAACTGATACATGAAGTGTTGCAGATTTTTAGCTGGGTGCCATATAAATGAGGATGCTAACAAAATTTGGAATATCCTAGATTTCAGTGGCAGATTCTGGAATCCCTCTCAGGATATTTGGACAGGCTCCAAGGCTTACTGGACTCTGAGGAGATACAGAAAAATATTATTCCCTCCATCAGGGACTTGCCGACAATAACCGAAGCAGGTTATTGCCATGATCAACCCTTGCCAAGGTTCAGTGTCTCAGCCCTGGCCTAATAAAGCTCTGCTTTCATCTGCAAATCATCTGGATTTGCAGACACCTTGGAAAACAACACAGAAGCTTTAATTTTCCAAACTAGATAGGAATAGGAAAGGACTATCTTTAAAAATTGGGGAAGGGGGTACAAAAGAGGACACAGATTAGCATGGAATTTCCATGTGCTGGTTTGTACAAAAAGATGCAAATTTAGGAACAGCTGCTATAATGTAAATAGAAATACATTTCTCCATTGTGTGTATACATCTCCAGCATGCAGGTTGCTAGCTGACTTGTGTGCCTATTCAGGGCTTGTCCGAACTAGAGCAAAATGTGGATCGTCACTTGCCTGTCTCCCCGTTAATTTAAGGGTGTCCACATGGCAACCTTCCTACTCTAGTATTGTCCTAGAGCTTTGCCCCTTTTCAATCATTGTAAAGTCCAAAGTGGCCAGGATTGCGGGGAGGGGGCGGGGGACGGACCACATTTAATGAGGTAAAGGTCTGGGACGACACTGGGATGAGGTCCACATTTTGCTCTGGTGTGGATAAGCCCTCTATTTGCTGTCCAGACGCTAACTGCAGGGGGCTGCCATGTGTGAAGTAAGATAAATGGCCCCCTTAGTTGGCACCAGAGATGGTTTGCCTATCTTTATAAAGCACCTTTTCCCAATTTGTTATAGCTGGCTGTAATAGTAGTATTGTAACCTTAGTGTGCATCTGCGGCACTCAGAGTGAATTTTAGCATAATAAATATATGGTACTGAAAAACAGCATGTTGCAACACAGAGCTAGTATTGACCAATGACTAATTTCTGGGCACTGAATGCTACAGAGTTAGTATTGTCACATGCTGAAAACATCTATTAATAGGGTGAAGAACTCGGAATGGTAGGAGATTTATAATCCTCTTGGAAGCAATAGGCAGGAGGCAAATGATGGAAACAGGATGAGGCCTTCCTAACCAACCAGAAAAATAGCACTCCCCTGGTGTTAATGAAATGATGAAGTCTTGGAGACAAGCAGGAGGGGGAAACAGCCAGCAACCAGTTACTGCATAAGAGTGTCTTTCATCCTCAAGGACTCTAGGAAGTGATCACTTCCTCCATCAATGATGAATGGTGCCACCTTTGAAAATGACCTTTCTGTCTTCCGAAGAGACTGCACTCTGAAACATGTTGGGTAGTCAGAACTACAGTGCAATGAAGTCAATGAGACATGAAGGTGACCAATTCTTAGAAGCATCAGTTCATCAACTTTGTTCATACTTTTGGTCTACAGCAGGCATAGGCAAACTCAGCCCTCCAGATGTTTTGGGACCACAACTCCCATCATCCCTAGCTAACAGGACCAGTGGTCAGGGATAATGGGAGTTGTAGTCCAAAAACATCTGGAGGGCCGAGTTTGCCTGGGCCTGGTCTACAGAGTGGACGGTGTCCACTGTCCTCACTGTTAGATTTCATAGCTTTTTTGTAATGCCTAATAAAGGTTTGGCGAAGTCATAGCTTTCATGGTGCATACTGAATAATGATTAAGAGTTTTGCAACCACAAATGCACCCTCCAGTGGCCTTACAAAACATTTCCTGTGTTGCAATATTTAGTCTGGTCTTGCTTTTTCAACTCACTTTTATTTTATAGTTCTTTCCCCCATTGAAATGAAATAGCATGCAGCTCTTATGAATTAAAAACTGCACGTATCTTGCTTTAAAAACAGATTAACAGCCCATTCACACAGCAGATGCTAAACACATCTAGATGACCACCTTCATTGCTGAGGTTATAAGACACAAAGAGAAACGCAACCCTTGAATAAGGCTGGTACCAATTAAGAAGATAAGTTCGCAAAGTGTACAAACCCATTTGACCTCAGGCCAGATCTAGATAATGACTCTAGGTGCAGTGTGACTTACCTGGATCAAGGCAAATGTGTTTCAGCGAGAATCTTCTAATGACAGTGAATCCCAGTGGTGGTGTTTTTTCTTCCTTCTTCTGGAGGTCCCTTCAAGATTGCATTGTTGTTCCTATTCAGCATAAGAACGTTAATTCTCAACAGGGATGTAGTGGGGGGGGGATATTCATTTGCTCTAGACTGAATATGAATGTTCTCCATTAAACCATGCATTTTCAGTGTTGTGCAAATCAGAGATCTGACCTTGGGAGCAAAAATGTGTCTGAAACTAGGGCTGCCATCCATATGCTATCCAGTGCTGCTTTAAAAATGAATGAATGAAAATTGTGGATTAACCAGATTATTATCTCCTTTCAGAAACTCTGGAAAATGGACCTAGCAAGTGTGAAAGGTGAGTAAAAGTTACCTTTGCCAGTTGCCTATTTCAGAAGTCTATGTAAGGTGCAAGGAGTGGGGATGGGCAAACATTGCCCTGTTCACCTCAGGTATTATTATTATTTATTATTATTATTTATTATTATTTATTATTATTTATTATTATTTATTATTATTTATTATTATTTATTATTATTTATACCCCGCCCATCTGGCTGAGTTTCCCCAGCCACACCCCAGGTATTTGGCAAGCAAGCCTGGAGGGGCTTTGCAAAACCCACATCTTATGTGCATTTGACTTACACGGTTTCAACCATACCTGGCTGAAGGTGGGTTGGTGCGGGGAAGGACTGGAGGTTCCAGGCAAGGCCTGCTTGGCACACCTGGAAGTAGGGTGACTTTGGCCAGTGGCGCACCATGGCTCTGGGACTGGTGGGGATTTGCCGTGAGATCATGCAAGAGCCAAAGGCAGCTCACTCACAGGGCACACCACCAGCAGGCCTTGCCCAAAGGTCAAGGCCTGGCATGGAAAGAGATTTTCAGCTCTCGGCCTTTCTTCCCAGGCAAGGTGTGCTCAGTTAAAGGGAGCATCCCCACAACTCCCAGAGCCACTGTGCTGCTGGCCAAAGATGCGCCACTAGCAGGGTGCGCCAAGCAGGCCTTTCCCCCTCACTAGCCAGCCTGTAGAAGGCAGGGTGGCTCAAAGGGTTATTTTGGGATAGGTGCGGTTTAGCTTAATCCTCGAAACCTAGCCCTCACATAAGAAGTGATTCCTCTGTAATAAAAGAGAACGTGTGCAGAAACCGACTCTTCCCCATTTGCAAGCTGAGACGTGGGAAAGGAGGGGAGGGGAAATCCCTTAACTTTGGGGGAATAAGTATCCTATTTCACACACACACACACACACACACACACACACACACACACCCTTATCTTATCTTATCACAGTTCATTCATCCCTGTGCATCCTGCCCTCATTGTGTGCAAAAAAGGTGCAGGAAATGAATTTGCAACTGCTGCATGAAGGACAGTAAGATGGGAATTTGGGGAAACTTATTGTCTGCTCCAAGGTTCGCTTCCAAGTTGTTGTTTTTATGTGGGGTGTTCTTCTCAGGTGTACTGGAAATATTAATAAAATGAATCTAAATAAGTATTGTTTAATTAATATAATATAATATTTATATAATTTTAGTGGGCTGTGTCACTGTAGTTCAGTTTCTCCATCTCTCTCTCTTTGCCTTCTGCTGTTTTATCTTGGCCAAAAAAAAGAAGACTTCTTTAAAAATGAAAATGCTGTAAAATGCATTGCCTCGCTTTCTAAGTACTTGACAAGAATCATCATCAGACACGGAAACATTTTTTGTTGCTTGATTCTAGTGCAGCTAACAGAAAGAGATCAAACAAAGATGAGACCTATTGGAAGGAGATCAACGCAGCGATGGCCTTAACAAACCTTGCACAAGGAAAGGACAAACTCCAGGGGACAACCAGCTGCATCATTCAGAAATCGTCACACATATCAGAAGTAAAGACTGTCAAAGTGCCACTAGTACCACCGTTTTAAAGAGAGTTGTTGCTTTTCTTTCCAACACATGTGGACATGTATTTTTCATGCCATTGGTTTCCCCCCCGTAAGATCAGAATGAGAGGTCTGCAGCAAGAATTGAGAACCAGGTTCCTTTTGTAGCACGGTCAGTCAAAATAAGAATGGGAAGTTCTCGCCATGCAGGCATGCTTGAAATCAATGGCAATCTCTCAAGAGCCTGGGCGTGTTCTCATACGATTCCCATTCGTTTCAGTGTTGCTTGTGCAAGAGACATTCCCAATGAATTATGCACAACGATGGCAATAAACAAATGCTCCCTCAGGCTAAAATATTTTGATTTCTGGAATAAAATATAAAAGCAGTTCTATAAAGGGCATGTAAATTATGGGTGGCGAAGCCTCCCAAGTTTGTTTGTTTTTTAAGTCAAAACTATTAACTTATTTTATTGTATTAATCAAACTGCACATTAAGCGCTGCATTGCTATAACAATAAGTGCCTTGCTTTCGTACAATAAGCTAGAACGTGGGCATAGCTCAATACAACTGTGCCTCAAAAGTGTGCCAACGCCACAACGCTTAACCTTTGCATGTAATTTCTAAATGCATCCTGACCAGTTTAAAGCTGACCTCAGAAAAAGGGTAGACGTTTCTCAAAAGCCCTCGAGCATTTGGCTTGTATGGATTAAATAAATCTCTTCGGTGAAATTGCGACATTTTACAACGGAAAAGTCCACTATGTTAACAAGTAATGTGGGGTTTTTCTTATTCAAATAGGGGAAACGTTGCTATGCCTCTATGGCCCCCCCCCCGACTGCATTTGCCATATGTTAAAAAATACAAAGAATAATTCCTTTCATAAGTGCAATACTGTATGTGGGGGAAGAGTCTCATCTTTTTTCAAGGAGAATCCTGATTACGTACATTAAAGCCGTTGCTTCAGTTACTTTGCAATGTGAATGTAAAAAGGAAAAAAAAAAACCCTCCAATAGCCACAGGTGGACAAAACCATTATAATGGAATTGCCCAGTCCTAGAGCTTTTTCTTTCATATGGACTAAAAGGGCTGCCTTTGAGTGTGTGTTTTATGTGAAGAAAAATGTACGTTGACCAGAACGGTCATTCACATTACGTAGAATGCCTCTCCTCAGATGGCCTAGTCAGTACATTGACAGAGATTGGAGGTTAACAATAATAGAGAGTTCAAAGGGGATTTAAGCCTTACATAAGAACACGCTCTGATTCTTTTATGTAGTTCAAATGTTTAACTATAAAAAGACTCATTGTGATAGTTTAAGTCGTTGTCCCAATGATGAAACCATCAGTAAATCCACTTGGGATTCCTTCCTTTTAAGCTCTCCTTCTGACTTATTGAAACTGTTATGTAAATAAACAAAGCAGATCACTTTTCTGGTACCAAATCAACCTATGCTTCAGTTTGTTATTTATACTGGAGCTCAATAACTTTCCACAACGGAAACTGTTATTGCCTTAATGCGTCCAAAATGTTTTTATTTTGGTACGGAATGTATCAAATGAAGAAAATCCCCATTTCAATGAAGGGGGGAAAAGAAGGCATAATGAAATCTATATATTATATAAAGCAAATCATTGGAATTAAAAACATATGGGGCACACACAACACACCAAACAATTGTGGCACTGAAGCAATTTAAAGTCAAAGTAGATGCTAAATTGGGCATTAGAAACACCATTTTAAACTCCTAAATTTGACTAAAGCAAGTATATTTTGCTCCAACCATACAAAAATATTCTAATCAGGTTTACACTCTTGAATAAGCAACAGTAAAGCCAAATATAGCTTATACTCGGGTCAGTAAAATAAAACTGGGAAAAGAGCTGATTGTCCAGAGTCCAGTTCAGGGGAAATGGAAACCTAGCTTAGTTTCCTTAACCCAGTTTTAATGTTACATCTGAACAGTGGCGTAGCGTGGGTTGTCAGCACCCGGGGCAAGGCAAGTAATTTGCGCCCCCTAACCCGTGGATTTGCGCCCCCTCACCCCCAGATGTTGCGCCCGGTGTGGCCGGCCCCCCCTGCACCCCCCACGCTACGCCACTGCATCTGAATAACAGTATCCAGGGTAAATCTGTAAATCTAGTTAGAGATCCTAGTTTGGAAATGAGTTCTCAGTCCAGGAAAGCTGCTAATCCTGTTTTTATACTCAACCCAGTTTGCTACATAAAAAAAAAATGACCAAACCCTGTTTGAGGTGGGCAGAGTCACAGCAAAGATCATTAAGCAAAATGCCTAGAACCTGATCCATTTCATCTTCTATGCAGGTATTGGGTGAGTTCAGTTTTTCCGGTGGAAAAAGCTATCCAGATACAGAAAGAGGGATAGTTTCAGGACCTTACATGCATGGATCAGCACAAGACACAGTGTGGAACTGGATGTCTTTGTAGATTTGCTAGTTTGCAATACAATAATGAGGATCAGGCAATGCAGCCAGAGCAAAATAAACTACATTTCGATTTAAAATCTGAACTGGGTCTTTTGGTTTGGGTAACCTATTGGAATTTTACTCCTACCCCTTCTGCTTCTAATAAGACCCAGTGAACTTCTAAGCTGCCCATTCCTTCTTTACTTGACATATATGGCAAACTCCCGTATAGTGAGGAAGATCAAAACCCTTGGTGAAGCTGACTTTCAGGTATGCAACGCGTTGCTCAAGCATAGCCAGTTCCAATTGCACTAATATAATCTAGATAGCAGATATCAAACCTCGATGTAACATGTAGAACGCATCTTGATGTAACATAGCATTTTGTGGTTGTTGTTGTTTTAAAGTGTACAATTAAAATGATTTGATATGAAAAAATATTTTGTACATAAATATATATATTTTTACTTTTTTAAAATTGCTATTTTGCATTGACATAAAAAGCAGGAAATATATGTTACGACTGTATGAACAGTTGAAGGATACTTTTGGTTGACTTGCATCTTCGTGCAAAAGAGGTCTCCCCCCACAACAGTGACTTTCAGACCTGACCAACTAGACTTTGTCATAACAATGTGAGTTTTTAAAGAAAACAGAGTAAACACTTCACTTTAGTTCATACTATTATAAGTTATTCTATTAACTATTTTGTGACAATAAACTGTCTTGCCAAACTTTTCTGTAAGACATATTCTCTCTGCTTTTTATTTGGGTGATTGGCAACAAAACGGAAGTACTAACAGCACAAAACTAACCATGCCTACTCAGAATGACATCGGACTGAAAAGAACGAAAGCCACAGGACTTGCTAGTATCAAAGATTCTGTGTGCGAGTGTGTGTAAGTTGTTTTTTAAGGGGCACCTATGAAAAATCAGGTACTCTGAGAGGTGCAATGTTTCTCCAGAGTGCATGGAGCATCTCGGATTGTGCCGTGCAGCCACTTGGGGGTAGCAAATATTTTTGGTCCATCCTTTCGGTGTCAGGGCCGGGCTGGAACTGTGAGCAGACCTGGAAAGCGTGATTTTCAGCCATGAGTCCCTGAGTTCAGGGATCTAACCTGTTGGAGCTGAGCTTTGAGATGGGCTCTGGAGCCCAGACACCACAGACAGAAGGGATGTTGTGGGACAGCCTGCAAATGCAGGTTTCTAACCACAGATTTTGTTCCCCAGGTCTATTTAGTATCAAGCCTAGAGCCCATCAGAGCCCAAATCAAAATGTGCCTGTTTCAGGGCAACGTCCTCCCTGGAGCCCTCCTCAACGCCAGTTTCCTTTTGCAACTGTACCTCAGTGAGGGGATCACAGGGTGAGGTTGCTGCAGGCACCATGATGGGGCTTCTTTTAGGCTATGCATGTGGAAGACAGGAGTGCCTGGTGTGCTCTGGTCCATGGGGTCACGAAGAGTCGGACACGACTAAACGACTAAACAACAACAACATGTTGTAAGCATGCATAGCAGTATCTAGGGCTGCCAGAAAATATGGGAAATGTGACTCCCAAGGTACTTTGATATTACTGCAAGTCATCCATTATGGTTCAACCTAGCATGGGGAGAGGGCAGTACACATGGATTCTGGGAACAATGAATACTGCATTTCACATAATATATTGTGGCCCCAAATGCTATGTCTAAAGAGGGGTCCACTGCAACATCCACCAGGAGCTCTCTTTGTCACATTGTCTAGGTTTGGGAAATGGAAGAGACCAACAGGGGCAGAGTGAGGTTGATCAGTACTGACTGAATCTAATTTTGGGCCTAGGTAACGTTGCCCAATATTTAGAGCATTCTTCAACATGGGTTTGTAGAAGTTGGACTCCCAACTCCTATTTTCTACAACCAGCTTAGCCAATGGTCAGGGATTATGGGAGCTGTAGCTTAACATATTGGAGCCCAAGACTGAAGAACCTTGATCTAGAGCAGGGTTCCCCAAACTTGGGTCTCCAGCTGTTTTTGGACTACATCATCCCTAGCTAGCAGGACCAGTAGTCAGGGATGGGGGGGGTTAGCTGAAAAACAGTTGGAGACCCAAATTTGGGAAACACTGATCTAGAGGAAGTTCAGCAACAAATTTAGGATCTCCCAAATTATTTCTGGTGTAGAATTGGGGGATCCACACATTACTCATCAGAAGGAACTGTTCTTTGTCAAACTAAGGGCAGGAGGTCAGGTGGCTAGCACTTTTATGAAGCCTGGCCAATCCAGTGGGTTCATAATGCATTGCAAATGGACAGGCTGGTGTTATTCACACAAATTCCCTTCTGTGCCAAGAGTATGCAACCACACACTCCTGAAGCCCGTTAGCTGTAAACACTTGCGACTGCCAGTTGATTTCCACACATAACAAACATTCAATTAGACCCTCGAGTTTCAAACTTAAGAGACACTTGTCCTTGTTTTTTTTGTTACGTTTTTACTTTAATTTAGTCTTCTTGTTGCTGCATAGTTTCTGGAAACACAGATTTAAAGTTTTCTTAAAAACGCAAGAAGCATGCTCAGTGGTGAGCCAACAACTAACAGGGTTTCAGTTATTTATGATGTAGAAAACCAAGTATCATTAAAATTGCTGGTCTTTGTTTCAACATATGTAACCGTTTTAATAAAATAAGTAACTTGGTTTTATTTATAATAAAAATAAAAAACAAGCTTGCCATTTTGGAAATAAATGATCATTCCTTGGGCCATAGATTTCATATGCATGTTCTGTTCGCATTAAGTTGTTGCTCAATATCTCAGGGCTACAATCCAAAAGAGTGTTAAGCACGCTTGAGCCCATTGATGTCAATAGGTTTAACTTGGTACTGGACTGTTGCCCAGGAGTTTATGTGGAATGTGATACAGAAATTGTTCTAGGAGTAGGAGGCAGCGGCTCGCTGCAGAGATCTGGCACATGGTAGCTGATTGTATCGTCGTGATAACAGATGCACAGCAAGATCACATCTAATTTGTGCTCAAGTATTTAAAAGACAGGGAATAGTCTGTATTATGATATAGCAATTCTGTGCCAGGTCCTTTGGCTGCTTAAAAGGATCATAAGCACATATGCTTTGTATTCCGACCTTCGAGTTTAATGTCTTTGGTTCTGGCTCGATAACGCACTGTTTGCCTTCAGAAGTTCACTGTCAGTTCAGTTTCATCACCGGGTGTTTTAAAAAGCTGCCAACAAACAGCGCCGATCAGCCCCAGAGCTACCACTGCACCTGCTACACCAAACATACCCTAAAGGGAATACGTTTTCCAGAAGCTTTTTGTTGCAGGAAACGAAATGCAGTTTTGAAACATGGGCCTACAGTGCGTTCCTGACCTTTCCTGGCTCTCACAGAGGGAATCAGAGAATTGCAGAGTTGGAAGGGATCCTGAGAGTCATCTAGTCCAAGATCCTGCAATTCAGGAATCTCACCTAAAGCATCCATGACAGATGGCCATCCAAACTCTGCTTAAAAACCTCCAAGGAAGGAGAGTCCACCACCATCTGAGGGAGTCCATTCTACTGTCAGACAGCTCTTAGTGTTGGACATTGCTGGGTTTGGGGGGCAGTTTTGATAGCTAGGGGTATGTGGAGGTGTGAGTTGAAATATTCAGATACTATGGAGTGCCTTGCCAGTCCATGATGCTTCAGGTTTTGAGACATCCCTCCATAAATCAAAGTCTGCAGATTAAGGGTGAGCATCATTGACGGTCACCTAGAAAAACTAAATGTAAACTGAATATTTGGCTTTCCCCAGACATCAGTGATTGTAAGACCGACCTTAAATAAATAATAAAAACCAACCCTTGGGCACATTGCTAAACACCTCCTGTTCCAGAAGGGAGCAGAAAGAGGACCACGATGAAAATACGCATTAAGAGGAAAAAATGACTAAAAGAGAAAAGAGGCCATGGACACGTAAAGCTGTAGATTCGCCGCCGCCCCCCTCCCCTTCCCCACCCTCAGTCTCCCCTCCCCAAACTCTCTTAAAGCAACTGTTATGTCAGCTTGGCTTATTGGCAGTGGATGTGGTTGTTGGCAGTGGATGTTAGGTCTGGCTCAAGACAACTATAACTCACGCACCTGACTTTTTAAGCAGCTGAGGTCTGGTTTCTTAATGGATGTTCTCTTTTATTTGTCTTGTTGGTTCCTTCTTCAGATATTTTTACTTTCCTGTTCAGACTTTTTCTGGACATGATCCCTCCACCCCACTTCATCCCCCCCCCTTTCCTGGAGAGAATGTTACAATACGCTGGTTCTTTACACCAGATGATATTCCGCTCACTTTTATCACAGAACAATTAAAAGTGTTTCTTGCTGGCTGATTGTCTTTTGCCCTCTCGGAGCAAAGGTAGGCACCATGTTTTAACAGATGTTCAAGATAAAACATCCTTTTGCCCCAGAACACACTCTGAATTATCAGGTCTGCAAGTTTTCAGTGTGTGGATAAACTGACCCAAACTGGCTACAGACAGTGCTTTGACCTCAAGTTGCTTCCCTCCATGATAACCAAGGCAGGTTATAAAAAAAGAATAAGCTGAAGGAGAAAATATACACATCTAACTGTGTCTATATTTTTAAAAAGCTACACAGCCCATATGTGAGTGCAGAAGCAAAACTGAACACTGAAGCAGAAGATGAACTGCTGATATGCTTGTCTATAAAGCAAACTGCAAATACAGAATCACACTACTGTGACTACTATTAAAATGTGTGTCTGTCTTCACTCTCATTGTGATATACTGCCCTGTTACTTCTCTGGGAGTGCAGGGTTTTGTTTTGTTTTTTTACCTCAGTAAAGGCCACTTCCTTTTTCACTGTCATTACCTCACAGGAACAGAGACGGATGTAGCAGGTGACAGTGTTTATTTCTCCCACCTCCCACGTCAAGTTCTACATTGCTGGACTTAACAAACACAGCACAATTTTGGAGGTGCTAAGACTTCAAGAGTGTGCTGCAAAATTGCCTCGGCCGGCAGACTCCCTCATCTATCGCTCTGTACTTAACTACTACTGCTTTTGGCTATCTTAAGTCCCTAAAGGACTGTCATTCTAACCATAACTACCTAAGACCTGCCAAGACTCATTTTATGAGCTGCTGCTAAGAGTTTAGCTATTTAAGGCTGATTTTTAAACAATTTTCATTGGCACTTGACGGTACATACTTGATTTACAGTGCCGTAAATAACCACAAATAAGGGACATCTCTTTCTTTTATGATATCACAATGTTACATTATTTTGAGGGGGAGGAATGACAGGTTTCTTGAGAAGCTCTGGAATTTATTTCTGGTTCTGTGATTGACTTCTGAGGTAGCTGTGCAAAGTGCTTTCTCTTTCAAACAAATATAAATATGACTTTGTGATATGCAGTAGAGACTAGACTCTTCAGATGTTGAGGTTCCTAAATATAAGAAGGCTGTGAAATGCTGTGGGGTTAGTGAACCAGAGGTTCTGAAAAATTGGCCTCTTGCTATGGCTTCTTTAGCTGCTTCAGTGCTGTGAAGTTGGCCAAACAGCAAGGAATTTCCCATTCACCCATCCAGCAAACGTTCCATATTGCTGGGCCACATACATTACTATATGTAAGGAGTCATTGTCTCTCTGCAGACTTTTCAGAACTTTTCTGGTGACTAGTACCTAAAATAAAGTAAATGAAAACCAGAAAATTTTGGGACCCAGTAGATGCTAGTTGGTGCAGGACCTCTTTGGCAGCATGCAAAATGACTGAGTATCAATTAAGAGAGAACCATGCTGTGTATTCTTATCCACATCAGATGAATTTTAAATAGACAGTTTTGGTTGCAGATAATAAAATGCACCAAGTAAAAGAAGCCTTGAGGCAACAAGATGCTTACAAGTGTGCATTGGTCCCTCGCAGCAATTTGGCATCTAGCTATTTTGTCTATGATTGTCAACAACAATGCTATCTGAATCTTACCAGTCTGCACTGGGGCCTAGGAGGCAGCTGATCTCAACTGTGTGCACATCTGCCGCCCAACTTCTCTCTCATTTGCAGTGCTCATAAACATGCTTGAGGGTAGTAACGTACAAGGGTGGAGCAACCCTGGCACATTTTCAAATGTTCAGTAGAGGCTGCCAGTAGGATGACGAAGAGAGTTGAATGATTAGGATTAGAACTGCTAGAGGTTCCTAAATTTCAAAGGTCTTGCTATGGATTTCTCAAATTCCTGCATTGCAGGAGGTTGGACTAGATGACCCTTGGTGTCCTTTTCCAGCGGTACAATTCTAGGTTTCTAGCGTGATCCTTCAAAAGAGGACATGGGGGAGGTTTGCTCATGTAGTGAACTGGACCATCTCTTGCGCTAGTGTAACTGCCCAAGTCTAAGTATGCAGACTTCACAAGCAGTTAATATTGTCCTGTCACCTATGCCATTCTGAATAAGATGATTCTATATACTAAAATTAGTCTTAGTCATGCTGGCCACATGACCCAGAAGCTGTACACCGGCTCCCTTGGCCAATAAAGCGAGATGAACGCCGCAACCCCAGAGTTGGTCATGACTGGACCTAATGGTCAGGGGTCCCTTTACCTTTAACTATATACTAAAATTAGATAAATTATCCATCTAGTTCAATATTAACTACATTGACTGGCAGCAGCTCTCTAGAGTTTCAGAAGGAAGGTGCCTGAAGGTGTCTGCCTCTGAGGCAGGACCCTTCCCCAAACCTAAATATTTGCGCTACAACAGAGAGAACTGAGGAGGAAGAAGCAGTACTGTTTTAATCAACTGGCAAGGAGAGGATTTATGAAGCTACAAGAAAGCATTGTTATTCTCCTTGCTGTTGTGACCTGAAGGAAATTCCTCCTTCCCTCCTCAGGTTTGCATTCTATGAGGCCTGGATAATTTGCAAATCTTCCTTGGATTATTCTGAAATGAAGATGGTTTAGGTATAAATTCCATGTCTGCTCCAAGGATGGAAATTCAGTGTCCATGTACATTCTTGGGGATAAGTTACCCTATTGTGTTTGCTACATGGCAAACAGCTCCATGGGAGTCTGAAATATTTGTGGGAGGGTCTCCAAAAGCAGCAATGCCTGGCACGTGCTTTGATTAAGCATTGTTGCTTGTTGGTGCTGTTGTTCCAAGGAAAAGGTTCAGTTCCTCAGGGGCTATTACTGCACTGGCCTGGAGGGGGGGGGGGGGGAATTAGTGTAAGGAAATGCAAGTTAGCCAAATCAGCATTGTCACTTGCACTGTTCTTCATTAAGAATCTGTAGTGGAAAAATGAACTGACATAGGTAACAGGAAAGGAAAAAAGGAAGTGTACTGTTACAATATCATTACCTCCAGTAGAACCTAATCATCTGCATGTTTATGCAGAAGTAAGTTGAGAAGGAAATTAAGCTTTTAGGGAGGAGAGAGCCATTAGTCATGAGGGCCACATTGCAAATTAAAGCAGGGAGGACTCTCAATGTGTTTGCCATTTTAAAATCAAACATCACACACAAAAATCCTATTGGGCACAGAAATCCCTTCACCCCTGTGGGTCCTCTGCTGTGATACTGCCATGCCATGCCATGCCACATATATACCGTATTTTTCGCTCTATAACACGCACCAGACCATAACACGCATGTAGTTTTAGAGGAGGAAAACAAGAAAAAAAATATTCTAAACGAAACAGTGGATATATGATTTTTGTGGTTCATGCTGTGGCCACAGACATGTGATCTGACAGTGAGTTTGGAGTAGCCCAATGCAAAAATCCTGAGGATCCATGTGGATCCATGCTTTGTAACCACGTTTTAAGTGGGGAAGGAAGGAAAAGCACTCAAGGGACAAGGAACACACGTGGGGTGTGTGGAGAAGGATGCTGCTAATAATGCAGAAGAGGGGTTTAAGGGGAGAAGAAGCACGCGTGGGGTGGGTGGAGAAGGATGCTGCTAATAATGAAGAAGAGGGGTATAAGGGGAGAAGGCTCCTCTCCCCTCCCGCTTTGCTCCTTTATAGAAGTAGGCTCTCTGTCCCTCTCTCCTCCCCACTCTGCGGCTCTTCTCCCGCTTTGCTGTTTCAAAGCGAGCCACGGAGGAGGGAAGGAAGGGGAACCATGGATCCTCTGCTCACGACTGCAGCAGATCCCCCCGCCACCCGTAGGCATTCCCTCCATAACACGCACAGACATTTCCCCTTACTTTCTAGGAGGAAAAAAGTGAGTGTTTTGGTGCAAAAAATACGGTATATATTTTACTGACTGCTCCTGCAGGTCCCTTGTTATTGTGATGCCAAAAAGCAAGACCTTCCCCCCCCCCTCCAAATTTGTCCATGTCTATATTACTGAATTTAATAATGTATGATAACATAAATTAAAACAGCAGCACCTTCTGGAAGGCAGCCTTGAGAGCTTTTACATGTAGCATCCAGAGACTTGGCCATAATGAAACCCCAAGAAGGTTAGCTACCTCTGTTCTGTCTGCCAGTCCTTCAGATGTTTGAAGATGACTGCCATATCACCTCTTCATCATCTCTTTTCCAGGCTAAACAAACCCAGCTCCTTCTACGTTTCTGCACTGGACTGAGTCTCCAGGCCCTTTGCCATCTTTGTTGCCCTCATCTGCTCATGTTTCAGAGCCAGGTAGCAACATACGTGTTCCATTTCTTCTTAGCAGGAAAGCCAACATGTCCTGGACTTTCCAAACACATGTCTTAAACCTTTAAAACCCCGTCTCCAAGCAGTGAGAGACTCAGGGGTTCCAGCACTTACCCAGGCTTTGATTTCCCTGGAATGAAGGTCAACAGACTATGGTGACTTCACAATATATGGTTTTAGTTACCCATATATACAACCAGATCATTGGATGGAAGGGCTCATAGCATCACAACTCCAACAGATCCTCCCCCTATTGTGTGGGCAGGTGGTTCCTCCCCCTACCTGGCCTGATAACCTTGGCAACGCCTCCCCAGGCGGGATTGGGCAACTGGCTGAGGTAGGTGGAGACCTCCAGGTATCCCACCTGGGGAAGGCGGAGCCAAGCCTGTGCTAATGGTGCCGCATAGGGTTCAGGGAGCTGAGCACGACCACGCAAAGGGCGCCCCCCATTTAATGTGGGAAGCAGCCATTATCTCAGCAAAATAACTGGCTTGACCAGTTCACCAGGCTTTATACAAACTGCCCCCGAAAGACTTCCTTTTATAGGAAGGCACACATGTGACCATTTTGGAACCTTCTGTTCCACAGAAACTGTTCTGAGTTCTCATCATTTCATTGAAAGGTATAACATGGTAAGCTGTTAGATGCCGATTGCTTACACGCCATGGATTGCCTTTTAAACAAAACTTTCCATTATGTTCTCAGTTTCCTAGAAAAAGCAGTTTTTCTCCACTAATGCTATCTTAACCACAACAGCTTAGAGTAAAGCATTTACCACATCATCAGTCATAAATAAAACACAACATTAGATGTACTCTTAAGCAGCATTATGCGGGGGCCCTTCAGAAACAAAAATATAGGCAGCAGTCTTCGTTTTACAGTTTCCTCACAGGCGACAGAGGTGGGAATTTAATCTACAGCTTATATTATAAAATATACCTCAGTATCTGTTTCACCGTGACATGTACCAGCATGAAAATGGCATTTAGTGGAGCAGGGATTTACAACTGGACATTAAACATGGGCATGTGGAAACATTATTAGGTGAATTTATACTTAGCTACCCTTTGCTGCCTTCCCATTACAGCAACAAAATGGTAGTGCAGAAGAATTGTGCCAACTACAGCATTTTAGGCCCTTTTTATGGAATAGCAAAGAAAGCAGCCTAGTGAGGAAGCTGGCTGACTAATTGCCATATATCTTAATAAGAAACATCCAAGTGGTTTACTTACTTTATAGGTTAACATTCAGCTATGCTGTAATGAGTGTCAGGTAGTACACCAGCTCTGAAGTAAGAAAGTCAGAGTAATAAATAACATTTTGTGCTTCAAGATCCTCAGTTTGTGTTCTGGTCCTGTTCTCCTCAAACACACTTGGTGGAAGCTTCACTGAAGATTTCCACATAACCAAGAAGAAGCCCTGTGAAATTTTACAGGTCACTGGAGGCTCATAAAACACTAATGAACTTCCTGGGTTCTTTATTTCTGCGGTTCATTTAGATTATCCAGCCACTATTTGTGAAAGAGTGTGCCAATCCTCTCATACTCTATATCCCCAAAATGCAAAACAGTGACCAGGTCTCTAATCTATACAACCTCTATACAGTACAAATTTTTCAGAATTCAAAGAATGATGGGATGGGTTGGGAATATGAACTTGAATCCGTCTCACCAAATACTGACAGTCTGGAAGCCACCTTGTACTCTTTTAGAGAAGAATCTCCACATTGATTTTTAATTTTGCTTTCAGGTAACTGCCGTGGTAGTTTTGCTATCTGCATCCAAAGCTGAAAGAAAATGCTGCAGAAGCATCTTGTTGGTTGTGCTGATATAGCTATCTCATCCCTGAACCCAATACTTCTTATGTTGGTTCATGTAGGTCAGGCTGAAAATTGTTGACTTTTAATTAAAACATGGGTATGGCTTCCTGGTTATTTTTAAATGTTTCCCTTTTGGGAAGATGGGACAAAGAACCCATGTTACAAATGGCATACAAGATAGGTAACATTAACACTTTTTTCAAGTATTTTTGTTTAATGAAAAGAATTAAATGCTAAGTACAAAAAATAAATAAAGAAGGGGAAGAACAAAATAAAAGTAGCACACAACCTCAAAGCCAAGAGACGTAAGATCCCAGCGGAATGAAATGATTCACAACATCACTGGCAAATTCATTTTAAGTTCATATTCTGGATCCAGTAATTAAAAAAATATCACCACTTTTGTATCAACAGAGGGAAACTCATAATTAGGACTATTTCTTATCTGATTCTTTTTAAATATTTTAGTTAGCCATTGGCTAATTAAACAATCTATGGCCTTTTAAACTGTGTGTAGGTGGCTTATTGTTCTTGTTTGTTACCATGTTATGTATTTTTGTGTTTTTATATTACAAACTGCACTGTGAGGCTTGGATGAAGGGCAGTAAAGAAATTTAATTAATTAATAATTATAATACTGTACAATTCTGAGTATTTTCACAAGCCACTCTAACATGGTATGGAGCATTTACAGATAGAAAAACTGCCCCAGGAAGTATCACCGGAAACAAAACTGAAAATGAATTTGGAAATTTCCTCCCTAAAAGAGTTTTGTAGGAGGGCTTCAAGTGCACACAAGAACTTCAGGATTGTGCAATTCAAGTGCTCAATGGCAACAAATCCACCTTAAAAATGAAACACATACTTTTGTGGTTTGGAACATGATAAGGATATGCATTTAAATGTGCAAAATGAATGAATGAGTGGAAAGGTTTGTAAACACCCCACAAGCAAATCAAGATGAACACTCATTGGCATATAACTAATCAGGATGAATGCTTGATCAAGAAGGTACATAATCTAACTACCGTCTAAGCTTTGTGCAAGCAAATCAGGATGAAATCTGAATAAACAGGCTGTCTGGAGGAGCTCTAAGCCCTGTTGAAATGTCTCGGGCAATTTTTGTCCGCTCTTAGTAGTTACATTGGCACAAACATTTAGCAATCAGTTTACATCAACATTCATATTTGGTTAATATGGTCATTCTCCCATGTCATCCACACCAAAGGGACCCTAGAATCACCTATTGGTACATAAATATTGGCATTCTCTGCCCCCCGCAAGTCTGTCTCTACCCGCCACCCCACCCCCATTGGAACTTAGTGGGCAAACAGCCTAAAAAGGCATACGTATCTGCCAGAGTGTGAATTTCTGACCAGCATTGCATATCCAACTCCAGCCTCAAATCATAAGTCTGGAATGCTCTCCTACTGCACCTTTCCAGCTCTCTCTCTCTCTCGTTTGCTATAATGACCATGACAGAGAAGCATGTTTCAAAAGTGCAAAAGTCAGCCTGGTGGGAAATGTACCAGAACTACTCTCTTTCCACTTACACATTTTCAGTGGTCCAAGAAACACAATTAATTAGTGTTATTGAGCCGCTTTGCTCCCTAATAAAATTATTTCAGAGTGGTTATATGACGAGCCGGGAGTGCCATAGTCTGCACGCTGAAGTAATTAGCAGGACCTTTGATTATATTACGACAAGTTGAAACACGTTGTTTGGAACACTACACACATGGAAAACACATGTTGCCTGGAATCCTGTACATAGTGGTTTAGACTAAAGGTGTTGATGAATTGTGTGGAAATTATTACACCGTCTGGTGGCATATTATGGGCAACACATCTATGCACTTCCCAGACACATCATTCGAAAAAAGCAGATCTTCCATTTGTTTTTAAAATAGAAGGTACACAAAGAAGTGCCAGGATCTGTGTTGTTGTTGTTTTTTTTAAAAAAATCACACTTCTCCATAGTCCTTTCAAACAAACAAATGAAGAATTGCAGAGAGTACTGCAGAGACAAATTTTAACACAAATACAAGGGAATTCTGAAGAGGAATATCCACAACATGAGTTACATCATAGTTGAAACAGTGTGTTATTAACTTGGTGTCTTACTGCTAAAAGACTGTTTTGTCTTATACTGCTGGAGGGTCAGCCATAGGGTCTGGGTCACAGCCAATGCACCATGGTCAGTCTGGACTCTGGAGAGCTGTTCCAGAAAACAGCAGATCATATTTTCCTATTTCAGTTGAGGTATTTCTACGCTACGAATGGGAACACAGTAGAGCTCATGCACATTGCATTCTACTGTAGGCATGAAAAGGAGGCACGCACCTGAATTTGCTTGTATGCAATTCAATTCCAGCTGAAAAGAGTGATGGCCTGGAAGTGTCCCTTGGCAAACTTTAATATTCGAATTTTAATATTTTGATCATTCCAACCAAGACTGATTATAGCTATTTTATATTTTCTGTGCCTCCGTGGCCTGCATAGTGTGTGCACGCACATTGTAATCTTACAGTAATACAAAGTGGTTGAGGACTTTAAAACTATTTTCATCTTTATCTAGTTTCCCTAAAGATAAGAGGCTTTCCAAAAGGCTAGGAAGCATGAATCCTCCTGCCAGAAACAGGCGTAGCACTACATTATCCCACAACATTGCTTCCAGGTGCTGAATGCAGAAGGGATGGCTGCCCCCGTGTAATGATGTAGTGATAGTCATATCCCCCCCCCAATACAGTCCCTGGAAACGACATCATGTGAGCACACAATGCCCATTCCAGCTGCACTAGAAAGTGTGCAGCAAGAGTCCAGTTTATTGGCCTCTTAGAGAGGCTTTTATCTTTAAGGAAGCTTAAGAAAATGATTTAAGAGCTCTTGGCCTACTCTGCGTTACTATAATTTTAAATCTGAAGATACTTTGAAATCTTGTAATAACAGGGAACTTTGGTCTGAGATTATAGCATTGGCTCTCGGTGAGCAAATGATAAATTATGGTAAGATCTATTCAACCTTCACTACATGCTGTGCCCCAACAATGTGGGCAGAGAAGGGTGTGTGACCAACCAAAGTGAGTGTGGCAACCATTATATTCCAGGTAAGGTGTAAACTGAGCCTGAGGGTATGCTCTCGTCTATTTTATTTCTTATGTTTAAATCACTTCTCTGTACAAAGCATCAAAAGCAGCTTATAAAAAAAGTTAAAGCACGTCACAAAAATAAACGCAAGGTTAAAACAAGGCAAATCAAAATGCAAAGTACAAGCGGGTATTAAAAGCAGGCACTGCCCAAATGAAAATGGGTG